AATATGGAATATTCTGTTCCGTTTCCCATGTAATAAATATATCTTTTGCACGCCTGACCACCTTCGTATTAGGGTTTTGTGTCTCTTTTTTTAAAAATGGCTATCTCCTTTTTTCTAAATTTCCCGTTGGCTTCCAAAGGGCTCTGGCATGATTCCTTGCTGTGATGCTTTAATAAATATTCCAAACCCATTTTGTGAGTAGCATTGGGGCTCATTTCTCATTCCAGCCTTTGGACCCCCAGAGGTATGAGTGGGGAGGGGAGAGACCCACAGGGCTGCAGACACAATATATATTTAAAGCATGTAGCTTCCCCCAAAGAATTCTGGGAAATGTGGCTTACAGTTCCCCGCGCCCGGAGCAAACTATGGAATATTAAGGGTATTCTCATTCATCCTTCATTGGCATAATTTAGACAATAAAATCAGAAAAGGGGGGGAGGGAAACCAACCATATAACATTGGCAATCCAGACATATTAAACACATAAAACATATAAAACACTCAGTAGCCACCATTAAGTAAAATTAAGTGGTTTTAGATTCAACTTTCAAAATCTCGGCTAAATATCCTGAAACAATTTCAGTTGTTTCGGGAATATCATTCCTCAACAGATACTGGATTACAGATTCTTTGCAAGTAGGTACTTTGAGCTTCAAAGGAGTCGCCAGTAGGTCTCTGCGAAGAATGTCAAAGGGAGGGCAGTACAAAATTATATGGTCCAGTGGTACCTCAGATTACATACCCTTCAGGTTACAGACTCCGCTAACCCAGAAATAGTGCTTCAGGTTAAGAACTTTGCTTCAGGATGAGAACAGAAATTGTGCTCCAGCGGCGCAGCAGCAGGAGGAGGCCCCATTAGCTAAAGTGGTGCTTCAGGTTAAGAACAGTTTCAGGTTAAGAACGGACCTCCAGAATGAATTAAGTACTTAACCCGAGGTACCACTGTATATTACAGTGCTTTCCCCCCCCCCTTAAAAATATGTTTAGGGGTAGTCTCATTTTGACTCAAGAAAATCACCCTTTTATGGTTCAAACCAGGAAAAATAAACAGAGTAAATGGATAAAAGTATAAAGATTCACAAAATGTTTAGGGGTATGCGTACCCCTGCATACCCCTAGAAAAAAGCACTCGTATATTGTATCTGGTGTATTCATATGACAAGAGCAAAGTCTATTCTGGAAGTGGGTTTTTTTTTTAACTTCCAGACAGTACAAATGAGTGGAATGCATTTAAACTGGCTAACAAAAAACCCCCTCTCTAATATGAAGGTAAATCTAAAGTATAAAAATTGTTGGGTACCATTCCGTGAGGAGGCTACGTAAGCAGATAAAAAATACAGAGTAGTCAGTTGGATAAAGTTTTTGAAATTCATGATCTAACAGGCTCTGCTTAATGTGAGAGAAAATATGTAACTCATCCAGTAAAAGGAGACTATTGCAATCCCTATTTGTTTGAGTTTAAAGGTAATTGCAGATAACCATGTAAAATGACGCAAAGATCTCAGTAAATAAGTCAGTAAGCTTTCTGAGGCTGTACTAAAAATGAATTTTTAACCAGTACAGTGGTACCTCTGGTTAAGAACTTAATTCGTTCTGGAGGTCTATTCTTAACCTGAAACTGTTCTTAACCTGAGGTACCACTTTAGCTAATGGGGCCTCCTGCTACCGCCACGCGATTTCTGTTCTCATCCTGAAGCAAAGTTCTTAACCCGAGGGTTAGCGGACTCTGTAACCTGAAGCATCTGTAACCCGAGGTACCACTGTATTTAAATGAAGGGTATGTCTTTATTTAAATGAAACCCTCAACTCAGATGCTCAGTGTCAGAGATTCAGGCATTTCTGCTACAGTGGAACCTTGGTTGTCGAACGTAATCTGTTCTGGAAGACAGTTCAACAACCAAAAATATACGACAACCGAGGCTCAATTGCCAGTCAGCAAAATCCTTTGAAAAATGGCGAAAAAATGGAGAAATGCGCCTCAAAAACAGAAGCATTCACTTCCGGGTTGTCGGCGTTTGGGTTCTGAATTGTTCAGCTTCTGAAGCGTTTGACAACCGAGGTTCCACTGTACTAGGAGGCCGAGGGACCCAGAGAGGTTTGCAGATGACTCCACCATCTCTGCCATCAGTGATTTTGGGGAAACCACTCGAAGCATCCATCGTGCCAAGCTACTTCACTTGCTTTTGTTTGGTTCGCTGATGGCAAACAGCTGAAAGTCTCTAAATTTTGATAATCTTCTACTTCTTCTTTGGCGATCACTCATAGCCGAGTAAGATTGTTTCCATAAACATGGTTTTAGCAGTGAGTCCGTAAGTGACTGTGGAGGCCAATTCTGGATCCACACGTCCTTCCATAGTGGGGACGTAGGTTTCTGGGTGGGAGTTTCTCCCTTTCGTCCTGAGTTCAAAGCCCACGACACCTTTGGTAAAGGCTGTTCTCCAGTTGGAGCACTCGCAGGCCAGTGTTGCCCAACTGTATGTGTTTATACAACAAACTCCTCTCTCCCCCTGACTTGGGAGAGGCATGACAAGGGCAGAGCAAAGGGAAGCGACACACAGGCGTAGTCTCTGACTGGAGTGGGGGGATAGATGGCTGTGGGAAGGTGGGGATCTTTAATCCTGGCAACTAATTTCAAAGAGTAAGATCTACGTTTCTCCCTTTCGTCCTGAGTTTGAGCATCTTCAAAGTTCATGACACCTTTGGTAAAGGCTGCTCTCCGATTGGAGCGCTCGCAGGCCAGTGTTTCCCAATTGCCAGTGTTTATACTACTTTGAGAGAGAGAGATTTGCTTCGGATAATAAACCTGATTTGCAATGGGGGTTGAATCATTTTGATTGTCACTGTATACAAATGTCAACAACAACAACGGTCTTAATCCTGGCATGGTCTTCAGCTAAAGCTAACCTAAGAAATGAAATAATAATAATAAAGACTCTGGGGTTGCGGCGCTCATCTCGCTTTATTGGCCAAGGGAGCCGGCGTACAGCTTCCAGGTCATGTGGCCAGCAAGACTAAGCCGCTTCTGGCAAACCAGAGCAGTGCACAGAAACGCCGTTTACCTTCCCGCCGGAGCAGTACCTATTTATCTACTTGCACTTTGACATGCTTTCGAACTGCTAGGTTGGCAGGAGCAGGGACCGAGCAACGGGAGCTCACCCCATCGCAGGGATTCGAACCGCCGACCTTCTGATCAGCAAGCCCTAGGCTCTGTGGTTTAACCCACAGCGCCACCTGGGTCCCTTTTAGTAGCACCTTAGAGACCAACTAAGTTTGTTATTGGTATGAGCTTTCGTGTGCATGCACACTTCTTCAGATATCTGTGGTACCTCGGTTTAAGTACTTAATTCATTCTGGAGGTCTGTTCTTAACCTGAAACTCTTCTTAACCTGAACTTTAGCTAATGGGGCCTCCCGCTGCCGGAGCACGATTTCTGTTCTCATCCTGAAGCAAAGTTCTTAACCAGAGGTACTATTTCTGGGTTAGCGGAGTCTGTAACCTGAAGCGCATATAACCCGAGGTACCACTGTATTTGGTATCTGAACAAGTGTGCATGCACACGAAAGCTCATACCAATAACAAACTTAGTGCTACTAAGGTGCTACTGGAAGGATTTAATTTTTTTTGTTTTGACTAGGCAGACCAACACGGCTACCTACCTGTAACTAGAACTAAGAAATGAAGCCAGGCTGCTGCCCGAGGCCATCTCACATATTCTCTTGAGATTCCTTTGAGCCGCCAACAAGGCAAAACTCCCATCTGTCAAATGCAAAAAAAAAAGGGGGGGGAGCAGAGATCTGTCCTGGCAAGGGTTAAAAATGCAATGAACTCGATTCCTAGAGAGGAAAGGGATTTGGGGACGAGGTCTTTGCCAAAGCGCCTCCTTCCGAAGCGCCTTCCTGCCTGCCTGCCTGCCTCTCCCTCCCCAGGGTGGCCTTGACTCGCCTTTGCCGCTGCGTCGAGGCGCCTCCTGCCATCCGGTGAGCTCCCCCTTTTGCGCATGGGGAGGGGGCAAAGGGGTGTCCCGGGGGTGGGATCGAGACAAAGGGAGGGGGCCCGGGAGGGGGCCTGCAGCCGATCCGCCCGGGATCTGTCACAAAACGCCACCCGATCTGGGGAGGGAGGGGGAGATCCTTTCTCTGCCTTCCTGCGCGCAAAAGCGCAAAGCTAGCAGGCCATCCGGGAGGCGAAGCCTCCTTTGTGCTCCGGAGAGAGAGAGAGAATGGATGGATGCTCCCCCCACATTTTGGCCTGCGAATCCAGGCAGGAGCAGCCCCTCCGATGAAAATAGGGACGTCCTATTCTATTATTATTAATATTATTATTATTAATTACACCCCGCCCATCTGACTGCGTTACCCCAGCCACTCTGGGCGGCCTCCAACATATAGATAGATAGATAGATAGATAGATAGATAGATAGATAGATAGATATAAAATATAAAAATATTTTATAATAACAAAACATTAAACTTTTTTTTAAAATTCCCTATACAGGGATGTCTTCTAAAGGTTATATAGTTACTTATTTCCTTGGCTCGGGGGTCACATAACTCCACACCCACCAACATTTCTCTGATGATAATAGGGGCATCCTATTCAATAATTTTTATTTTATTTTATTTTTATACCTCACCCATCTGACTGCGATGCCCCAGCCACTCTGACCGGCTTCCAACATACAACAAAAAATATATTAAAATGTTTTATAATAATAAAACATTAAACATTTTTTAAAACTTCCCTGTACTTGCCTTCAGATGTCTTCTAAAGGTTGTATAGTTACATATCTCCTTGGCTCGGGGGTTGCAAAGTTACTTCTCTCCTCAGCTTGGGGGTTGGATAACTCCAACATTTCTCCAATGGAAATAGGGACATCCTAAGGAAAAGCGGGACATTCTGGGATCAAATCAGAAACCTTGAAGGCTTCTGCAAATTCTGGACCGTCCCTGGATAATAGGGTCCCTTGGAGGGTCTGCAAAAGGAGGGGATCTTTGCAGACAAATCAAAACCAGCAGCTTTTTTTTCATCTAAAGCAGTGGCTCTCAAAGCTGCCAGAATCCAAATTTGTTTGAGGCTTTCTTTCTCTTTTTTCTTGACACTCTCTTTTATTTTAATTGTTTTTATTAACTATTTCCTTGGGTTGCAGAAGTACATACACCGTCTCTATTTTCAGATCATAAAGTCCTTTCTACAGATCAGTTATATTCGATGTGGGCCTTTAATGTATTTTTTATTTTTATTTTTAAAAATGCTTTTATTTTTGCTTGTTTCTAGTTGAAATAGCAACAGAGAGACTGTTCCATCTTTAAGAAACAGAGTCATTTGGTAAGTACCCTTTGATTCCAGTACCTGGTGCTTTTTTTCTGGAAAAAAGTGGGGGGACTTGGTTGTTTGTTTGTTTGTTTGTTTGTTTATTGTGGGCCCAGTCGCAGTGCTGCCACCCCCCACCCCCCAGTGACTAAATGTAAAATGTGATTAATAAACTCAAGCAGGCAAGGATGTGGTGACAGCTTTATTGATTACAGATATAGGTGGATTTGGGGCTCAGGTATTTGGGTGTATATCCGTTCCAGCACCCCCAGACAAAAGATAATAATTATTTAATTTTCGAAAGGTAAGGGAACTGAGTTCCCCCACGTTCCTGCTAAAAAACAAACAAACTCTGAGTAATTTCATAAGCACCCTTTGATTTCAGTGCCCCCTTCCCCAAATCAGTGTCCGTGACAATGCATTGGTATCCCAGATCTTCCCTGTGTGGATGAGGTTGTCACAACGCAAAAGGTTTTAATTGTGTGGTTCTCAAAGTGTGTGGCAGGACAGGATGCCAAGTGGAGGATGGCAAGATATCAAGAATCATCAAATAAACATTTTAACATTTCTTCTTCTTTTTTGAATAACAAATTTTATTAGTATTTTCCACACAACAAGAACAACAACATGAAAAATATTGAAAAATAACAATACACAAAACACAAAAACCAGCATACAGTAGTACCTCGAGTTACAGACGGTTACAGGTTACATACGGTTCAGGTTACAGACTCCGCTAACCCAGAAATAGTACCTCAGGTTAAGAACCTTGCTTCAGGATGAGAATAGAAATCGTGCTCCGGTGGCGCAGCGGCAGCAGGAGGCCCATTAGCTAAAGTGGTACCTCAGGTTAAGAACAGTTTCAGGTTAAGAACAGACCTCCAGAACGAATTAAGTTCTTAACCTGAGGTACCACTGTACAAAAAAAACCAAATCCATATCTTACAAGTTAATAATATAAACACTAAAAAGAAAAACAAACATTGACTTCCACTAATCCCACAGCACCTCCTTTACCTCTCATTATGTCTTCCTGTTTTCCTTATCTCTATCCTAGCATCTAGATATATATCCCTCTTTCTTATCCTTTCACTTCACAAGGTTATTCCAGACTCAGCCAGATTTCTGTCCTCGAACCTTGGCTTTTAAGGTATTCGTTTAGGCACTCCCATTCCTTCTTCACTTCACCTTTTGGTTTTTGTCTCATTATATCTGTCAATTTGGCTAATTATAAAAATTCTGAAAGCTTACATAACCATTCTCCCCTAGTGGGTAACTGGTTCTCTTTCCAATACTTAGCCACCAGGAGTCTTGCTGCAGATGTCGCGTATAAGAAAAAAATAGTTTTGTCTTTTGGAATATCATTGAAATTTTGCAGAATGGTCCACAAAGAAATAAAGAAAATACTAATAATATCATATAGTAAAAGGCCAGAGGCAATCCTTTTAGGAATTTTAAACATTTTAACATTTCAGTGTGGCATAGTACAGTGTCGAAATGATTTGTTTGCAGAATATGGATGGAAATCTTTTTGAAGTCTTTAAATGTAACAGAGAAACTTTCTGCAGTACATAAATATATAATGCAGCAGAAAAGGTTTAAGTGGGGAAAAACATCGGAGGTGAAGATGGGAAGTCAATTTATGAAACAATGTACTGTATTTTTCGCTCTATAAGACACACTTTTTCCCTCCTAAAAAGTTAGGGGAAATGTGTGTGTGTCTTATGGAGTGAATGCAGGCTGTGCGGCTATCCCAGAAACCAGAACAGCAAGAGGGAGGGCTGCGCAGAGCTCCTTCTTGCTGTTCTAGCTTCTGGCTTAGCCACGGGAAGCCGGCACAGGGAGCCTTCATCCTGCTGCCCTGCGGAGGCTTCGCAGGGCTATCCCAAAGCCAGAACAGCTAGAGGGAGGGCTGTTCTTGCGGGGGGGGGGAAGGGACAGAGCTGCGCGCTCTGTCACTTCCCCCACCTCCCACAAAAGCCAGGGATAGCCACACTCCCTTTAAAGAGCCACGCGGAGTGTGTGTGTGGCTCTTGGGGGAAAGCCTGCAAGCGCCGCACACACGCTTCACGCGGCTCGTGAAAGGGAGCGCTTTGCAGAGCCTGGGATGCATACAGGCTCTGCTCAGAGCTCCCTTTAAAGAATATTTTTTTTCTTGCATTCCCACTCTAAAAGCTAGGTGTGCCTTATGGTCAGGTGCGTCTTATGGAGTGAAAAATACGGTAATCATTTGAGATGCAGATTATTGTGAAAATGTTTGGAAAATTTAATACAAAATTATACACCAAACAGAAAGAAAGAAATCTTGCCGAAACCAAGTACTACATCGTGGCTGAGCGGGGGTTCGAACCCGGGTCTCCCGGCTCCTAGTCCAACATTCTAACCGCTACACCACACCGGTTCTCTTTGCAGCATTGTTGCTTATGCCCATTGGAATGGGAGGGAACTGGGAAGAGAAAGGTGTGAGAAGGTTCAGGGAGGCTGGAGAGGATATATTGTTTATTAATATCCCTCCTAACTTGTGCTAGCAAGTTCTATAACTTAGCAGAGTTTACATTCCCCTTTAAACGCACAGCAGGTAGCTGGTTGCAGGCTTGTTTAAGCATCTTGGGTGGCGCTGTGGGTTAAACCACAGAGCCCAGGACTTGCCGATCAGAAGGTCGTGGTTCAAATCACCGCAACAGGGTGAGCTCCCATTGCTCGGTCCCTGCTCCTGCCAACCTAGCAGTTTGAAAGCACGTCAAAATGCAAGTAGATAAATAGGTACCGCTCCGGCAGGAAGGTAAACGGCGTTTCCGTGCGCTGCTCTGGTTCGCCATGCTGGCCACATGACCCGGAAGCTGTACGCTGGCTCCCTCAGCCAGTAAAGCCAGATGAGTGCCGCAACCCCAGAGTCGTATCTTTAAGTCCCCTTATTATCCCTCTTAAAAGAATAAACACTCCACAATCTTGTGTAAAGTATATCAAAGAAGTTTACAAACGAATCATCGTTTCACAGTTGGATCCCTGAAGGCAGACTTAGTTACAAAGTATATATATGTGGATCTATCCCATATGCCAGGGTGTCCAGATTTGATGAAGTGAATATGCATGAGGGCCGACCAAAGTTGTTGACCTTTTTTAGGATTTTACCGCAGGAAATAAACTGCCACGGGGGCCGGATTAGGCCCTCAAAACAGACTTTGGACATGCCTGCCGTATGGGGATAATCCCAGTGTCCTCTGTTGGCTAAAGGCCAAAAGAGCATTGCTAGCTAAAAAGCTGGTCCAATGGAATAAGTCAAAGAGAGGAAATGTGCTGCGTGCCTTGCCCTTTTGTTACCTGGGCAGGTAAGGCCACACCCACCTCTAGTCACATGCCAAAGGAAGTATGTCCCAGTAAGAAGGAAAAAGGAAATTTTCGACTGACTGGACCAAACATTCCCTTGCATGTCCACTCTAGGAAAACAAGGAATGTTGTACTTGACTGCTACTTATGTATCCCACCCAACAAAAGGTCTGTTCTGGCTATCCCGGTATAGACCGAGTGCCATCAAGTGTCAGAAACAGTGCAGGCTAGGGAGCTACAGGAGCCCATCATCATCATCCTCCTCCTCATCATCATCATCATTTATTATTTATACCCCGCCCATCTGGCTGGGTTTCCCCAGCCACTCTGGGTGGCTTCCAACAGAATATTAAAATACAATAACCTATTAAACATTAAAAGCTTCCCTAAACAGGGCTGCCTTCAGATGTCTTCTAATAGTCTGGTAGTTGTTTATCTCTTTGACATCTGGTGGGAGGGCATTCCACAGGGCGGGTGCCACTACCGAGAAGGCCCTCTGCCTGATTCCCTGTAACTTGGCTTCTCGCGGCGAGGGAACCACCAGAAGGCCCTCGGAGCTGGATCTCAGTGTCCAGGCTGGACGATGGGGGTAGAGACGCTCCTTCAGGTATACTGGACTGAGGCTGTTTAGGGCTTTAAAGGTCAGCACCAACACTTTAAATTGTGCTTGGAAATGTCTTGGGAGCCAGTGTAGGTCTATCAAGACCGGTGTTATGTGGTCTTGGCTGCCGCTCCCAGTCACCAGTCTAGCTGCTGCATTCTGGATTAGTTGTAGTTTCCGGGTCACCTTCAAAGGTAGCCCCACATAGAGTGCATTGTAGTAGTCCAAGAGGGAGATAACTAGAGCATGCACCACTCTGGCGAGACAGTCTCCGGGCAGGTAGGGTCTCATCCTGCATACCAGATGGAGCTGGTAAACAGCTGCCCTGGACACAGAATTGACCTGCGCCTCCATGGACAGCTGTGAGTCCAAAATGACTCCCAGTCTGCGCACCTGGTCCTTCAGGGGCACAGTTACCCCATTCAGGACCAGGGAGACTCAGACCTCCTTGGAGCACCTCATTTCGGTTTTTTCCGGGCGCTGCTTCCTGCTGGGAGTACTTCTGCGCATCCAAACTTTTGTTGGATTGGGGGAAGGGGGAGTTTGGCATTTTCAGGGTTAAAGCAGAGCTTGACAAGCCCAGGTAGGTAGCAGCCCTAGTTAGAGACTGAATAGGAATGTAGATGGATGGAGATGTGTTATGTTATCCATAGGATGTAGACAAAGAAAGGAAAACAAGATAGACAAGGCCAGGGGCCCAGTTAGTGAAATAACAGGCAGGCTTATTGAAAATGGGTGTTGGTAGCTGTGAAAACAATGCAGCTTCCATAGACAGAAGGATTATAGCGGATCTCAGATGCAGGGAAAAAATTATTTCAGGTTGAATAATGGGGGGGGGGGGGACCAATTACAATCCTATCTGGGATACGGCAACGTCTGAGCATCTCGCCAGACCCAAATCGAGATATTGTGCCAACTGCTCAATATTCTCAGTAAAGTAATATGTTTGAATCTTGAATGCTGGATAGGTGCTTAATCGTTTTTGTATTTGTTTTAAAAAACACACACCAAAAATTGTCTTTTAAAAAACCAACCCATGACTAATCGAAGGGGAAAGTAGGTTTTTATCATTAACATAGGTTTGACGCCTGTGTGGATCCAATAATAGACTTTTGATTGTTTATTCACATCCCTCTTGACCTCGTGTGTTCGTTGTATCTCCCTTGTGGTGGGCTACAGCTTCGAACAATAAAGTTTTGTTTATCCACTCAGACCGCTGATACAACTTTTTCTTATTTGGATGTGTTTCAATTTGCCTCTGAGACACAGGCATGAGCTTCCCTTTTCCTCTCGCAGGCAATGGAGCTCGCAAGTCGTGGCAAGCTATCTCTTTCCGGAAATGACCTTCCCTGAGCCCAAACAGTTCTCTCTCCTTGAGAACGCCACTCAAGAAGGTTTCATTAAATTACGAGAATGATCAGCAATTAGCCTTTTTTATGTAGCTGGCTGATAATCTGATCTACAAGGATGAACTGTTTTCCTTTCCTCCCCAGTGTCCTTTGAGGACGTAGCTGTGCTTTTCGCAGAAGGGGAATTGGCTTTGCTGGATCCTGACCAGAGATCTCTGAATCGGGGAGTCATGGAAGAGATCTATGGGACTGCGGCCTCTCAGGGTAAGCAAGCAACCCGTTTAGATCAAAGTACCTATTTTTGAAATTTCTGTATGTTATTAGCTCAGGGGTTCTTAATCCACTGCAGTTAAGTTTGAATGGGCAGCTATCTATTGTGTTCTCTCTTAATATACCCCCTCCAGTTGACCTGACTGGTCTGAATAGGCCAGGCCTTTTGAAAGGCAAGTTTCTGATTTGTTTGGTGGGTGAAACAAGTAATTTTCAATGAATATTAATTGGAAAATACGTCTTGTGTAGTAATTTTTTGAAATCTGTAAATACATTTTTAAAAAAGTTTTTAAGGATTGTAGGTTTGCCATATTTCAAAAAGTTGTTGACCTTTTCTTGCTAAATCTCCAAATAAATTGAAGTTTTTGAGCTTTAAAAAAGTAAATTCACCCAAAAATCTTCACTTCCAACATGGTTTGCCATACATCTGGGTTTCCCTGGTCATTTCAGCGATTTCCAGATATTCGACCTGGAAGCTAGTTTCTTTTTTTAAAAAAAAGTTTTTATTTATACTTTTCAAATTTATACATTTCAGAGTTTGACTTCCTTCCCCTCTTTCTCCTGTTCCTTAAATTTATTTTTAATATCTTTGCATATCCAAATTCATTTAATTTGCTCATTTAATTATCTACTTTCAATATTTACTCTTATGAAACAGCAGGTTATTACAATAATCCTGCCAGTGTTTTTTATCTGTTTGCAATTTATCTGTAAATATTCAATAAACCTTTTCCATTTTTTTATTAAAAGTTTGTTATCTTGATTTCTTATTCTTCCGGTAAGTTTTGACATTTCTGCATATTCCATAAGTTTTTTGTATCCATTTTTCCTTTGTTGGAACTTCTGCTTCATTCCATTTTGGGGCAAGTAACATTCTCGCTGCTTTAGTCGCATACATAAATAAATTTCTATACAATTTAGGTCAGGCACCCTCAAACTCAGCCCTCCAGACGTTTTGGAACTACAATTCCCATCATCCCTGACCACTGGTCCTGTTAGCTAGGGATGATGGGAGTTGTAGTCCCATCTGGAGGGCTGAATTTGGGGATGCCTGATTTAGGTAGTTCTGTCCCTATAATTCCCAAAAGAAAAGCTTCTGGGTTGTTGTTTTTTAAATAAAAGTTATTTTGAACATCCTTTTCAATTCCTTATATATCATTTCCCAGTAAGCTTCAACCTTGCTACTACGTCAGTGATTTGAGGCTCTATTTCTTCCTCAGGCTCTTATCAGTTTCTCTCTTCATTGCAGAAGGTGATCTATCTGAAACAGAGAATAATGGAGAACAAGATGTGACAGAGACAGAGGGAAAAGGCAGCTGTACTGGAGAGAAACCATATCAATACATGGAATGTGAGAAGAACTTTGGAGAAAACTCCACCATCTCTTCTCATCAGGAAATTCACCCGGAGGATGAACCATACCGGTCTTTTGAATGTGGAAGGGACTTTGGAGACGATAGCCTTTCTCCTCCTCCTCCTCCGATAATTCCCACGAAGGAAAAACCTTACAACTGCAAGGAATGTGGAAAGAGCTTCTCTCGGAAGTTACGTCTAACTAATCATCAGAGAATTCATACAGGGGAGAAGCCGTTTCAATGCCTGGAGTGCGGCAAGTGTTTCATACACAACTGCAGCCTGTCGTACCACAAGAGGATCCACACCGGGGAGAAACCCTACAAATGCCTGGAGTGTGAGAAAAGCTTCACTCGGAAGATCATTCTCACTAATCATCAGAGAGTTCACACCGGCGAGAAGCCGTACAAATGTTTTGAGTGCGGAAAGAGTTTCACTCGGAAGGTGATCCTGGCAAACCACCAGACGATTCACTCCGGGGAGAAACCGTACAAATGCTTGGAATGCGGGAAGAGCTTCACTCTGAAGGTGCACCTTACCGCACATGAAAGAATCCACACAGGGGAGAAACCGTATAAATGCCTGGAGTGTGGAAAGAGCTTCAGTCGGAACTCCAACCTCGCTTACCACCGGAGAGTCCACACAGGGGAGAAACCCTATAAATGCCTGGAGTGCGGAAAGGGCTTCAGAAACAGCACGAACCTGACTTACCATCAGGAAATCCACACCGGGGATAAGCCGTATAAGTGTTTGGAGTGCGGAAAGTGCGTCAGACGGGCGGCGGACCTCGTCAACCATAAGAAAATCCACACCCAGGAGAAACCCCATATGTGCTTGCACTGCGGGAAGTGCTTCACTCTGAAGAATTACCTCAGACGTCATCAGAGAATCCACACGGGAGAGAAACGGTACAAATGCTTTGAGTGCGGGAAATGCTTCACGGAGAAGACCACGCTCACGAAACACCACCGAACTCACACAGGGGAGAAACCGTACGAATGCATGGAGTGTGGGAAAACCTTCACGCAGAGCTACTCTCTCAGTCTCCATCAGAGAAGTCACACCTCCATGTTTGGAGTGTGGGAACAGCTTTCTTCGCAGCTCCAGCCTTTGTTCCCACCACAGAATCCGTACAGCGGAGAACCGATATAGATGCTTGGAAATAGCTTCAAGAAAAGTCTCGCTTTCCCATCAAATACTTCCCGGAGCAGAGAAACCATAGAAATGGTAGCAGAGACCTTACGAAGAAGCAGAAACTTCAGTAATCAAAGGATAGACAGTTGGGGGTTGAGATTATATTAAAGCTTTGGAGTGCGGGAAAAGCTTGGGTAAGAATTCTCAAAGGGTAGGATCCATATAAAGGCCAGAAAAATTGAAATCCTTCCACCGCATTCATCTTCCCAACTCCCCCTCAGCCACCAGAAAATTCATGTAGCTATGAGATTTTGACTATCGGTGCTTTGAAGCTGCAAAGAGCTTCAGAAAGTTTCAGCCTTACCTGGCGTTAAAAGAGTTCTTGCAGGGAGGAAACCATATAAACGCATGTGAAAACGAGGACTTTGATTTGCAAGATGTCGGTGACCAAACGGGATCCAAGAAGCTAAAACAACCCACCTGGAAAGTTTTATTTTAAATACATTCAGCAGAAGAACAATAGGTGTAGTTTTGTTTATGAACCATGGAAGTATAGAAAGGGAGAGCAACTGCAAACTATATATAATTGATTTTTGGGGAAGGGAAAGATAAAAGGAACTGTGGGTAAAATAAAACACGATGAATAAAAAGGGAAAGCGAAGACTGAAATAAACTGTATTAAGATAACCTGGTGAAGCGGCTGTTACATGGAAAATTAAAATTGACTGTGACTTCACGGGCGTCACCTAAACTCCCAACGGCCCTCTCTTTAAAGCTTATGTAACTGCCCTAGCTACATACCCCCTTAGTTTAAAAGAAGAATATCGCTAGTATCTAGAATGCGATTCCGTGGGGAAGGGCTCTGGCGGTTTTAGATGCTGATAGTAGATATAGAAATAGAATAAGGAAACTGTATATAATCGAAAGGTTTGAGAACTGAATCCCCCGCCTCAGAGGCCATCTTGTGGGCAGGGGACAGTCTGGTCTTATTTTTCCTGGTGGAGTTTGGAGAGGTCGGCGTGCGAATATCCCAGCATTTCCCCAAAGATCAAATGGGGGAGCAAAATCTGTGGGAATGTGAATTTTGGGAGGCCTCTCCACCTTATGCTTAGGCTGCATATATATGTAAATAAAACCGTATATCCGAAACACAGCACTGTCCCCAATTAGTCTTAATGCTCTTACACATTTTAAAAATGTCTTAAATAATCCTTTTCTAATGTAGACGGAGAATCGGATGTCTTCCCCCTTTATCTTTGGTGTTTCTTTATAGCATGGGTAGGCATACTAATGCCCAGGGGCTGGATCCGGCCCAGTCGCCTTCTAAATCCAGCCCACAGACGGTCCGGGAATCTGTGTGTTTTTCCATGAGTAAAATGTTTCCTTTTATTTAAAATGCATCTCTGGGTTATTTGTGGGGCAGAGGAATTTGTTCATTATTATTTTTCAAAATATAATCCGGCCCCCCACAAGGTCTGAGGGACAGTGGACCGGCCCCCTGCTGAAAAAGTTTGCTGACCCCTGCTTATAGCTTTGTTCTTGTCCCTCCCTCTTTTTTTCCCTTTCCCTCTTTCCTCTCTTATATTCCCGATTCTGCTTGCTCTAGATATTATTTTATTGTATTGTGAAAACTTTAATAAAAATCCATTTTAGAAACTTAATTCTCTTCCATCTTTTTGCCAGTCTTTTTGTTTGTTGTTTTTGGTCATTCCTGCTTCAAAATTAGTCTCCCTCTCCTGTGTTTCTTAAGCGATGCCCACACATGCGGTTACTATTGGATTTTGGGCATTACAGCTGGAGATCAAGGGGAGCATAAGGAATTGTTGAAGTTCACCCTTCCCTTTCATAGGACTTCCAGTTGCTCAGACGGAGATCTAGTGGCGAGGTGAGATGGCTTTGATACAAATCATTTGGCGCTTTCAGGAGGGCATTCCACAGAAGAGGGGCTGCCACTGAAAAGGCCCTGTCAACACCAAGTGGGTGGCACTCCCTAGTGGCACTAATGTGCTCACCTGTCGCTCTTCAGGTGCGAGATGGTTGATATTGGGAAAGGCACCTTTTCAGGAACATGTGTCCCAAGCCATTTAGGGCTTTATCTTTTTTTCCTTCTTCTTAGGCAATCCCTTGTAGCCAAGTAAGTTTGTCTTACATGAACACAGTCTTAACAGTGAGTCCGTAAGTGACTGTGGAGGCCAATTCTGGATCCACACGTCCTTCCACAGTGGGGACATAGGTTTCCGGGTGGGAGTTGATCCTAGTGACGGTTTGCAAAGTGTGCCTTCCTCTTAGCACATTTCTCCCTGAGTGGTGGGCTGTATTGAGGTGTGAGATGATGGGATTTCTGGGTGTGTGGAATGAGGGACTGAACATTCACAAAAATGCTAAAACGGCTTGGAGTCTTCTCTGCCAGCTTCCTCCTCCTATTTTTGTAGTCTGATGCCTCAGAGAGCACCTTACCTGTTTCCCCCTGGAGGTCTGGTGGCAATCTCTCACAGGTGCTTTAGCTGTGGTTTCTGCATCGGAGGCGGTTGGACAAGATGTCCCTTGGGGTCCCTTCCAACTTTAAGATTCTATCCTTAAAACCGGAGTATCAGAAAGAGTGGAATAAATTTAATGATTATTTAGTTAAATTTGTTAAGTTAAACTAACTGAAAATAGCTTGCAGATATTTAATGGGCTTAGGATTTTATTTATGTTAAGTGATGAATTAATATGTTTAATTCCATAAGGTGAAGATCTAAGGATGTTAATGTTTAAGTTAAATTTCATAAAAATTGGGATTTGGAAAACCGTTAAAAAGACATGCAATGAAATTCAACCAAGGGGAAGCGAGGAAGTCACGTAACAAAGTTAATAACTGTAATTTTCAATAAGGCTATGATTTATGTTTGTTTGTCTTGTGTGTTTGTTTGTTTGTTTGTTTGTTTATAATATTGTGAAAACTAATAAAATTTTTGGAAAAATAAAAATAAAACCGTGGTACCCAGAACTGGACACACCAAGGCAGAACAGAGTGGAACTAGGACTTCCCTTGATCTGGACACTGTACTTCTGGGGATGCAGCCTAGAATAGCACATTCTAGGGCAAAAGATTCCTGCATTTCGGGGGGGGGGGGGGGTTGGACTGGATGTTCCGGCTCTGCAATTCCATGATTCATTGCCCCTTGGCTCTTTTGCTTTCGAAGGAATGCAAAGAGATATGATACGATAATCTTTATTTTCATTGTCCCATACAGAACAACAAAACTGGAAAAAAAATATCTACATAAGACATTCAAAACCAACAAGCCTGCTATCCCAGCTATCCCAACCTGGTTAGCCCCCTAAAAACTCAGATACCCCATTTTAAAAATACAATATACAGTGGTACCTCGGGTTACAGACACTTCAGGTTACAGACTCCGCTAACCCAGAAATAGGACCTTGGGTTAAGAACTTTGCTTCAGGATGAGAACAGAAATTGCGCGGTGGCAGCAGGAGGCCCCATTAGCTAAAGTGGTGCTTCAGGTTAAGAACAGACCTCCAGAACAAACTAATTCTTAACCCGAGGTACCAGTGTACTCCCATAGAGCATAGCTGTCAACTTTTCCCTTTTCTTGTGAGGAATCCTATTTGGAATAAGGGAATTTCCCTTTAAAAAAGGGAAACGTTGACAGCTATGCCATAGAGACTCCTTACACTGTGGTTAAACCACAGAGCCTAGGACTTGCTGATCAGAAGGTCGGTGGTTCGAATCCCTGTGACGGGGTGAGCTCCCTTTGCTCGGTCCCTGCTCCTGCCAACCTAGCAGTTCGAAAGCATGTCAAAGTGCAAGTAGATCAATAGGTACCACTCCGGCAGGAAGGTAAATGGCGTTTCCATGTGCTGCTCTGGTTCGCCAGAAGCGGCTTAGTCATGCTGGCCACGACCCGGAAGATGTATTCTGGCTCCCACAGCCAGTAAAGCGAGATGAGCGCCGCAACCCCAGAGTCGGCCACGACTGGACCTAACGGTCAGGGGTCCCTTTACCTTTACCTTTACACTGCGTTTAAAACCAAAATCGCATTTGGATAGAAACTTTCTCAGGCAGCTGGTCCTAGTCTTAATAACCCTGTACCTTCTTCCAGAAGGCAGAAGCTGAAAGAGATCATTTCCGGGGTGCACACTATCCTGCGCTATCTCTACAGCTTTCTTGTGACACCTGGAAGCATAGATTTGATCCAAGGTGGGAAGAGTGCACCCAATTATTCTCTCCGCAGTCTTTACAACCCTGGACAGCATTGTTTTCCCCCTGACCGTGCAGCTCCCAAACCACACACACAGACCATAAGTTAATACACTCTCCACAGTACAATGGTAAAATGCTATCAACAGGTCCTCTGAGAGATTGTTTTTCCGGAGGCTTCTCAGAAAATATAACCTCTGCTGTGCTCTCTTCATCAGGTCTTTGCTGTTTTCTCCCCAGGTTAGGTCGTCTCTCAACTCCATTCCCAGAAATCGAAACTCTGAGACCTGTTCCACGCACTTCCCCTCCATGATAAGTGGCTGAATATTCAATTTACATTTCCTAAAGTCCACAATAATCTCTTTTGTTTTCTTTGAAGTTAAGGAGTAAGTTGTTTTTCCTGCCCCACTCCCCCAACTGCTCAACTTCCTTCCTATAGGCTGCCTCCCCCTCTCAAGCCGTGAACAAACCAACCACCGTTGTATCATCTGCAAACTTAATGATCTTATTACTGGGGTATTTTGGGGAGAGGGAAGGAGGGAGGTCCTCTCCGCAGTTTGGTGCTGTAAGGGTTAAAGTGAACCGGATGCATGCAGAGGGAGGAGAAGTGGGGGAGAGGAGGAGGAGGAGTTAGAGGTGGGGCCCGGAGGGGGTGGGAGATAAAGCACCTCTTTCCAGTCCGCATTCTCACGAGCTGGGCAGGACGCAAAGCAGGAGCCTTTGTCTGACCCGTGTTCTGCAGCAGCATCCGTCTGAACCCGGTGAGTGTCCCTGATTTGGGTCGAAGGGGTTTCCCTGGGCAGTGGGGAGGGTGCACCGGAGGCCTCTGCAGATGATCTAAATTGGGGACACCCCCTCCCCACACCCAGGTCAGGGAGCGGCGCGCCTTGATTTCTTCTGCACAGCCATGAGGAGGCGGAGATTTTAAAGCCGATCTGCAAGACTGAGCTGCACCATCAAGTTAATCGGGCACCGACACGCGTCTGCGCCTTCACACGTGACAACAAAGGCGCGAGGCTCCGGTGGGAGCTGAGCGGGTCGCATTGTTAGGAAGGCTCTTAGGGGGTGTCGTGGCGCGCCGCTTCCAGACCGGCAATCCTGCATCCGTGCAGGTGGGAGGCATGCGAGAGGAAAGCAGCCCGACCGGTTCCTTTGTGAAGGCAAAGTGAATGGCCTCGGATCTGCAAGTGCAAAGAGGTTGCCATGGAGACCAATGCGTGGGATGGGGGGGGGAGTGCGCCTTCTCAGGTGCAGAACAATGGGTCAACGTGGGTGGTCCGCTTAGGTGAGCTGGGAGGGGAGCTGCTGGAGGGAAGATCCCCCTGGATCCCAAATGCTCAGGTTGCATCAGTGTGGAAGGAGAGACATTGGTTGCCCCTGAACTTGGGCAGCAAGAAACCTGGGCACACCCGGGACAGGGTGGTGATGGGATTTGGCAGGTTTCAAATAGCTCTTGCAACGTTGCACAGATTTCGGATACAACGCAAGATTACAAATTAGATGGACTTACAATATGCAGTTTTAAAAGTTACTGGTTTTCCTGGGGCCACCCTCCTTATGGGAATGTTTCTGTCCAGCATTTGTAGGGTTAAAGTGGGGCTCAGGAACCATAGATGAAAAAGACAGGATGATTTATTGGGTTGTATTGGAGGAAATACGATTTAAAATTATGATTTATACGGATCGAGAAAGGAAGATTAATTTGATTCACCGGGGAAATGTCAGGTAAATGTCTAAACAAGAATGGGACATGCAGAGCTGGCGGGAAAAGGAATGAATGGGAAAGTATTAGAAATTAAGGAAAAGTGTTTTACTATGAGCAGCAAAGGAGGGAGGGAAAAGAATCCTATTTTTTTAGGGGGGGGGAATGGAAAGTCAATTGTTAAATTGGTGTTAAAGTCCAAATTGATTTGTTGTTAATTTGTTTTAGAATTTGGAAAATTAATTGGAACTTAATTGGAAATAAAAGGAACCATAGATGATTACAGTCTTGCATGGTACATGAAAGTAATGTATCATGATTGTAATGTAAATGATGTGGCTACATTTTAATATTTCAATATTTTAATGTCGTATTTTAATTTTGTTTTTAAGCTGTATTAATTCAACTTGTTTTTATTATTGCTTGTTAGCTGCCCTGAGCCCAGCCTTGGCTGGGGAGGGCGGGGTATAAATAAAATTTATTATTATTATTATTATTATTATTATTAATGGTGGAATGCAGCTGGCGGGCTTGGAGAAGTGGTGTGTTTTCCCCAGGCTGATAAGAAAGGGACAAACACAGCAAATCAAAGGGAGAAATAAGCTTTAATCAGCAACGTGGGTTTTATGCAGGTGAAAGATGGAAGAGCAAGAAACGGATGCCGCTGAAACAGGAAGAGGCACCGATCCCATCAAAAGTGAGAGCAGTGAGGGGTTCTGGGAAAGGAACACACAGGGGATCCTGAATAAAGAGGACGCCCTCAGCTCAGATGCTCAGCACCAGGATTTCACCAGGATCCGCTACCAGGAGGCCAAGGGACCCCGAGAGGTTTGCAGCCGACTCCACCATCTCTGCCATCAGTGGCTGAAGCCGGGGAGACACACCAAGGCTCAGATCCTGGATTTAGTGATCTTGGAGCAGTTCCTGGCTGTCCTCCCCCTGGAGATGGAGAACTGGGTCAGGGAATGTGGAGCAGAGACCAGTTCCCAGGCGGTGGCCCTGGCAGAAGGTTTCCTCCTGAGTCAGGCAGAGGAGAAGAAGCAGGAAGAGCAGCAGGTGAGAGCATCTCAAGGTCTTGTGTTGGCCTTCAGGTGTTTTTGAACTAAATCTCTCATTGCCCCTGAGCAACGTTGAGGTGGGAAAATTGGCTACTTCTGGTCCAGAAAGTCCCAACAGACTCTGAAAGAGAGGGAGGGCAATATTACGGCCAAAATGGAGTGACTTCAAATATGGATTCCTGAATAATATGCAGTTGAAAAGGTTGACAACAGGGAATAATAATAATAAAATAATAAATTTTATTTATTCCCCGGCCAGAGCCAGGCTCAGGGTGGCTAACACCAATAAAATTACAGTAAAAACATAATAGGAAAAAACTAATTTAAAATGCAGGTTAAAATGTAATTTAAAATGCAGCCTGATTTTAAAAATAGCCCATAGATCAAAAACCGTAAGGGGAGGGAAACATAAGGGTCAGACTGAGTCCAAACCAAAAGCCGGGCGAACAGCTCTGTCTTGCAGCCCCTGCGGAAAGATGTCAGGTCCCGCCGGACCCTATTCTCTTGGGACAGAGCGTTCCACCAAGTCGGGGCCAGTACTGAAAAGGCCCTGGCCCTGGCTGAGGCCAATCTAACCACCTTGTGACCTGTGACCTGGGAAAGGTGGGAAGTCCAGAGATTTGAAGGAATCTCTAAATATGGATATGTATTTTGTTTTGTTACGATTTTATATTTGTAAAACCAAATAAAAATTATTTCAAAAAAAGAGATGGAGGGAGGGCACATCCTCAAAACCTCTACTTTAATTCACCAACATTCTCTGGAAAATCTTCCAAGTACTGCTCATGTTTTCCCCTGTGTCATTCTGTTTTCTAATACATCTCCCCATTCAATGTATTCCAATCCTCATCGCTGTTTCAGGTAAAGGGTCTGCTTGCAGAAATGAGTGATTTCCCCGATGCAGAGAGATCTCTGTTGGATGTCAGAGAGAAGCCACTGGGTAAGGATCCATCGGCTGTGTCTCCATATGGTCTCCCTCTGTTGGTTTTGAAAGGGATCCGTGGCCTTTTTTGATCTGGCGAGGGAAGAGACTTCAGTGTGCATGCAGGAAGTAAACAACTACAGTGGTACCTCGGTTTAAGAACAGTCCTGTTTAAGAATGATTCGGTTTACGAACTCCACAAAACCAGAAGTAGTGTCCTGGTTTGCGAACTTTACCTCAGTCTAAGAACGGAATCCGAACGGTGGAAGGGCACCTCATTAGGGAAAGCGCACCTCAGTTTAAGAACAGTATTGGTTTAAGAACGGATTTCTGGAATGGATTAAGTTTGTAAACCGAGGTACCACTGTACAGTGGTACCTCAGGTTAAGTACTTAATTCGTTCCGGAGGTCCGTTGTTTTTTTTAAATGATATTTATTAAAAGTTTAGCATTTACAGAAAAAAAGAAAAAAGAGAGAGATTAAAAAGTTACAATACAAAACATCAAAAAACAAAACAAAACAATACAGCACAACAATATGGGAAAAAAAGCAAAAACAAAAACATTTTAAAAACACATCCAGTATTTCCATATCCTTATCTTTCATTTACTTGTTTCATCGACCTCCCTTTTTTGTATTCTAATTCAATTTAGCTGTTTCAACAAATCCTTTCCCTCTTTCTCAATTTTTGTTGTATAAATTACCTTAACCCGATCTGACCTTAAATTTTACCTTTTGACCCATTAACAACCCATTTTTACTTAGTTCTTAATAACATTTCTGCTAAAACCATGTAACTTCATTCCAACATCCTTCTAACATTCATTAATTTTACTATATTTTTGTAGATATACTTTAAATTTTTTCCAATCTTCTTCCACCAACTCTTCTCCCTGGTCTCGAATTCTGCCAGTCATTTCCGCCAGTTCCATGTAGTCCATCAGCTTCATCTGCCATTCTTCCCTAGTGGGTGGATCTTGTGTCTTCCAATGCTTTGCGATGAGTATTCTTGCTGCTGTTGTGGCATACATGAAAAAAGTTCTATCCTTCTTTGGCACCAATTGGCCGACCATGCCCAGGAGAAAGGCCTCTGGTTTCTTCAGAAAGGTATATTTAAATACCTTTTTCATTTCATTATAAATCATCTCCCAGAATGCCTTAATCTTTGGGCATGTCCACCAAAGGTGAAAGAATGTACCTTCAGTCTCCCCACATTTCCAACATTTGTTATCAGGTAAATGATAGGTTTTTGCAAGCTTGACTGGTGCTATGTACCACCTATAGATCATTTTCATTAAATTCTCTTTTAAGGCATTACATGCCGTAAACTTCATACCAGTGGTCCATAACTGTTCCCAGTCAGCCATCATAATATTATGTCCAACATCTTGTGCCCATTTAATCATAGCCGATTTCACCGTTTCATCTTGAGTATTCCATTTCAACAGCAAGTTATACATTCTTGACAAATTCTTAACTTTAAGGTCTAACAATTCTGTTTCCAATTTTGATTTTTCTACCTGGAAACCTAGTTTTTTGTCCATATTGTATGCCTCCATTATTTGATAATAATGAAGCCAATCTCGCACTCTATTTTTTAATTTTTCAAAACTCTGCAGTTTTAGTCTATCTCCCTCTTGCTCCAGAATTTCCCAATACTTCGGCCATTTGGCCTCCATATTGAGTTTTTTCTGAGCCTTTGCTTCCATCAGTGACAGCCATCTCGGGGTTTTATTTTCTAACAGATCTTTATATCTTATCCAGACATTAAAGAGTGCTTTCCTGACAATATGGTTTTTAAACGCTTTATGTGCTTTAACCTTGTCATACCACAGATATGCATGCCAGCCAAATACATTATTAAAACCTTCCAAATCCAACACGTCGGTATTTTCAAGAAGCATCCATTCTCTCAGCCAACAAAAAGCGGCTGATTCATAATAAAGTTTAAGGTCCGGCAGGGCAAATCCACCTCTTTCTTTGGCATCAGTTAATATCTTAAATTTTATACGAGGCTTCTTGCCCTGCCAGACAAATCTAGAGATATCTCTCTGCCACTTCTTGAAACAGTCCATTTTGTCCAAGATTTGCAATGTTTGAAACAAAAACAGCATTCTTGGCAATACATTCATTTTAATCACAGCAATTCGGCCTAGCAGAGCACGATTTCTGTTCTCATTCTGAAGCAAAGTTCTTAACCCGAGGTACTATTTCTGGGTTACCAGAGTCTGTAACCTGAAGTGTATGTAACCCAAGGTACCACTGTATCTGACTTTTAGAAGACATCTGAAGGCAGCCCTGTATTGGGAAGTTTTTAATGTTTGATGTTTTATCATGTTTTTAAATATTCTGTTGTGAGCCGCCCAGAGTGGCTGGGGAAACCCAGCCAGATAGGCGGGGTATAAATAATAAATTATTTTTATTTTTATTGAGCAACAGAGAAGAATGTCTGCCAATGCCCATGTCTGCTTAAACATGCTTTCATTCGCCTCTGAGATAAGCATGAGCCAATGGCTTCACACAACCTATGTCTCTCACAGGTGATGGGATGATGTGGAGAAGATCTACTCAGACATCTCTTCTCTGGGGAAGAGAAGGAGCTGCTGCAGAACCAGATCAGGTAGGGCAGGAGTGGGAGAACTTATTCAGAGTGGGGGCTGCATCTACTCTGTGAAAGATTTGGGGTTTCACATGCCACTGTTGGGTGGGACCAGATGTAAAAATGGATGAAGCTAGTTTGTATATACCAGTGGTGGCGTACCTATGGCACGCGCGCCATTGGCCCATCCGCGCTGTTGTTTTGTTGTTTTCTTCTATTTCTGCTCCTGCTCCTTCCCACACTACTGCGTGCGTCCGCTGCTTAAACCCGGAACTCTCCCCCCCCTTTTTTTTCCTTTTGGTCAGTAGCTGGTGATTATGTTCCGCAATTGGTCTATTTTTCTTTTTTCTTTCCTTTTTCAAAAATTTTATTAATTTTCCAAATTTATAACAAACATCAAAAAACAAACAAACATAAATCCTAACTGTAATTCCACTTTTGTTAACATTTTTAGGTGACTTCCTCGAATCCCCCTACCTGAGGTGTGGTGGTTAAGAGCGGTGGACTTGTAATCTGGTGAACCAGGTTTGCGTCTCCGCTCCTCCACATGCAGCTGCTGGGTGACCTTGGGCCAGTCACACTTCTTTGAAGTCTCTCAGCCCCACTCACCTCACAGAGTGTTTGTTGTGGGGGAGGAAGGGAAAGGAGAATGTTAGCCGCTTTGAGACTCCTTCGGGTAGTGATAAAGCGGGATATCTAATCCAAACTCCTCCTCCTCTTCTTCTTCTTCTTCTTCTTCTTCTTCTTCTTCTTCTATGTATATCATTGTAACAGTTTTCCAAAACTAATTTCTCATAAAATTCACTTAATCAATTAACATCTTTCTTTTCAATTTAACTTTAGATATATTATTCTAGAACATCATATATTTAAATCCTAAGCCAATCTGGTACTTGCAAGTGTTTCTATTTAAATTATGCTGTAATCTGTTCAGATTGTGCTGATAAAATATCACGGGTAGAATTCTACAGGGTGTGTTGTTAGTGTGTGAAAAGAGTGATCCAAGGAGCCCCAGGTATGCACTTCCAGATGGGGGAGACATCAGGCATCATCCTGGCACCTGGGCATCTTCACTTGGTCGCAAGTGCCTGGTAGGAAGGTGCAAATAACAAAATGTTTTCTTTTTCTTTCAGGGTCCAATATCTTTTGAGGACGTGGCTGTGTGGTTCACCGAAGAGGAGCGGGCCTTGCTGGATCCTGACCAGAGGGCTCTGCATAACGAAGTCATGGAGGAGAGTGTTGGGATCCTGGCATCTCTCGGTGAGGCTCACTCTTGGATCTTAATATATGCTTCAGGAGTCAGTATTTCTTTATGAAATGAACAGGATGCGGGTGGGGCTGTGGTCTAAACCACTGAGCCTCTTGGGTCGGCGGTTTCAATCCCCGCGACGGAGTGAGCTCCCATTGCTCTCTCCCAGTTCCTACCAACCTAACAGCTCGAAAGCACACCAGCACAAGTAGATAAATAGGTATCACTGCAGTGGGAAAGTAAACGGCATTTCTGTGCACTCTGGCACCTGCCATGGTGTTCCGTTGCGCCAGAAGCGGTTTAGTCCTGCTGGCCACATGACCCGGAAAGCTGTCTGTGGACAAACACCGGCTCCCTGGGCCTGAAAGCAAGATGAGTGCCACAACCTCAAAGTAGCCTTTGACAGGACTTAACCGTCCATAGGTCCTTTATCTTTATTTCTTCATGGAATGAAATTCACTATTCCGAGGTGGGTCAACAGTGGCTCTCCTGCAGTATCTGAGCTTTCTATTCCTCTGCAATTAACCTTGAATAAGCACGTACCTGTCATTTTCTCCCTCAATCTTCCACTCATGCCTTTCTAAACCATGGCTTTTGCAAGTGGAAGTGTCAGGTGTCTGTTTTTTGTGTGTGTTTAGGGCTTTGGGAAGGCAAATCCAAAGCTCCCCTCTTTGTTTACACACACACACACACGTGCACACATACAATTTCCTAGAATGGGGTGGGAAGGAAGTTTCTGGGAAAGAAGGCTCAGAAACTCCCTTGTACAGCTGGATAGACCAGGGTACGGAAGGAAGATCATTGTAATAATAATAGTAATAATAATTTATTATTTGTACCCCACCCATCTGGTTTCCCCAGCCACTCAGGGCGGCTCCCAACAGAATATAAAAACACAATAAAACATCAAACGTTAAAAACTTCCCTAAACGGGGCTGCCTTCAGATGTCTCCTAAAAGTCAAATAGTTGTTTATTTCCTTGACATCTGGTGGGAGGGCGTTCCACAGGGCGGGTGCCACTACCGAGAAGGCCCTCTGTCTGGTTCCCTGTTACCTCACTTCTCACAGTGAGGGACTGCCAGAAGGCCCTCTGAGCTGGACCTCAGTGTCCGCGTTGAAGGACGGGAGTAGAGACGCTCCTTCAGGTATACTGGGCTAAGGCCGTTTAGGGCTTTCAAGGTCAGCACCAACACTTTGTTGTGCCTGATAGCAACCTATTGTAATTGACAGGTTTGGAGAGGGGGCTGAGGGCTCTTAAAATAAGTTACTCCATCAGTGCCAGCTGCAGAGGCTCTTCTGTTCCTGCACCCATGATGAGCCGCTGTGCATAACACAGATAAGACTTTTCTCCAGGCCACTGTGTTACCCTGGTGGAAATGGTGTAAACCCCTGCCATCGCTCCCTTGATCATCCAAGCTTGCAAAGCAACAAGTATCTTCAATATCAAGGATGAGAGTCTAGGGGTCTCTTTCAGGCATGGGGGTCATATTCAAAAAGGGTTCCCCGTTTCCAAAGCTACCCTTAGTGAGAAATGGGGGTCTGTGAAGTATAATTAGTTCCAGCTAGCCCAAATCCAGCCATTCCAAAAATGAATAGTAAGTAGGTGCACGAATGATAGTTCTCAAACTGGGTTGGGTCGAGTGAGAGTGATTGGCCCAAGACCAGACAATGAGATCCATCCCTGAGTTGGAAGCTGAACTTAGGTTTCTGTGGTTTGAAACCAATACTCTGTAGCACACCTGCTGCGTCAGGAGAGCTAGTTAAATGTGTAAAGGTAAAGGGACCCCTGACCATTAGGTCCAGTCATGGCCGACTCTGGGGTTGTCATCTCGCTTTAATGGCTGAGGGAGCCGGCGTACAGCTTCCGGGTCATGTGGCCAGCATGACTAAGCCGCTTCTGGCGAACCAGAGCAGCACACGGAAATGCCATTTACCTTCCCGCTGGAGCGGTACCTATTAATCTACTTGCACTTTGAGGTGCTTTTGAACTGCTAGGTTGGCAGGAGCATGGACCGAGCAACGGGAGCTCACCGTGTCGTGGGAATTCGAACCGCCGACCTTCTGATCATCAAGCCCTAGGCTCTATGGTTTAGACCACAGCGCCACCCGCGTCCCAGTTAAATGCGTACTTCCATCTATATCCACTCAGTTTTGCCTTTATCCTAAGTATGGAAGTTGTTAAGCTAGATAAGGGTCTGTTTCTTCCTTAGGCTCTTATGAGTTTCTCAATTCATTGCAGAATGTGATGAATCAGAAATGAAGAATAAGGAAGAACTACACGGAAAAGAGACCCAGGGCCGAGACAGCTGTAGGAAGCGAGAAGAGCAAAGGAGGAAAATCGAAGCAGAAAAGAAAAGGAAGACGCCTCTAAAGGACAGTGGCTTTTATGCAACCTCAGTCCAGGAAAAAACAGATGACAGAAAGCCATGTGGTAACTGCCTCGTTCAATGGGAAAGTCTTGGTTCAAAACACCAATGTAAATCCTACTGCAAAAATTACAAAGGGGAGCAACCGCATAGATGCTCTGAGTGTGGAAAAGGGTTCAGAGACAGTTATAGCCTTTCTTGCCATCAGAGAATTCACACAGGAGAGAAACCATATAAATGCTTAGAATGCGGAAGTAGCTTCAGTAGCAAGCAAAGACTCGTTTATCATCAAAGAATTCACACAGGGGAGAAACCGTATCAGTGCCTGGAATGTGGAAAGAGCTTCAGAGAAAAGTTTAGCCTTTCTTCTCATCGAAGAATTCACACAGGAGAGAACCAATATGAATGCTTGGAATGTGGAAGGAGCTTCAGTGACAATTCTACCCTTTCTTCTCATCAGATAATTCACAAGGGGGGGAAACCATATAAATGCTTGGAATGCGGAAAGAGTTTCTCTCAGAAGTTACGTCTAACTATTCACCAAAGAATTCACACAGGGGAGAAGCCATATCAGTGCTTGGAATGTGGAAAAAGCTTCAGAGAAAATTCTAGCCTAGCTTCTCATCAAAGAATTCACACAGAGGAATATAAATGCTTGGAATGTGGAAAGAGCTTCATTAGTCATTCAAAACTTACTCGGCATCAAACCATTCATCCCGGAGAGAAATCATATCAATACTTGGAATGTGGAAAGAGCGTCATTAGTCATCCAAAACTTACTCATCATCAGACAATTCATACAGAGGAGAAACCATATAAATGCTTGGAGTGTGGAAAGAGCTTCAGACATAATTCTACCCTTTCTTCGCACAAAAGGATTCATACAGGGGAGAAACCATATAAATGCTTAGAGTGTGGAAAGGGCTTTAGTCAGTGCTCCCCTCTCACTCGCCATCAGAGAATTCACACAGGGGAGACACCCTATAAATGCAGTGAGTGTGGCAAGAGCTTCAGTCGGAAGGTACAACTCGGTTTTCATCAGAGAATTCACACTGGGGAGAAGCCGTATCAGTGCTTGAAATGTGGAAAGAGCTTCAGAAACAATTCTAGTCTTTCTTCTCATCAGACAATTCACACGGGCAAAAAGCCATATAAATGTTTGGAATGTGGAAAGAGCTTTACTTTAAAGATGAACCTCAATACCCATAAAAGAATTCACACGGGGGAGAAGCCGTATAAATGCTTGCAATGTGGAAAGAGCTTAAGCAGCAAGGACAGACTCGCCGACCATCAAAGAACTCACACTGGTGAGAAACCCTTTAAATGCTTGGAATGTGGGAAAAGCTTCGCTGCGAAGATAAATCTCACTACCCACAAAAGAATTCACACGGGGGAGAAACCCTATAGATGCTTGCAGTGTGGAAAGAGCTTCAGTCAGAGCCACCATCTCACTTACCATCACAGAATTCACACTGGGGAGAAGCCGTATAAATGCTTAGAGTGTGGGAAGAGCTTCAGAAACCGTACTAGTGTAATTTACCACCAGAAAGCGCACACTCCAGAGACACAATATAAATGCTCAGAATGTGGAAAGTGCCTCAGTCAGGAAGCGGATCTGGTCGATCATCAAAAAATGCACACCCAGGAGAAACCATATGTATGTGTGGAATGTGGAAAAAGCTACGCTCTGGAGAATTGTCTTAGAAAACATCAAAGAATTCATACAGGAGAGAAACCATATAAATGTGCTGAGTGTGGGAAAAGCTTCACTGAGAAGTCAACTCTCACGACACACCAACGAGTTCATACGGGAGAGAAACCCTATAAATGCCTGGAGTGTGGAAAGGGCTTTAGTCAGTGCTCCCCTCTCACTCGCCATCAGAGAATTCACACAGGGGAGAAACCCTATAAATGCCTGGAGTGTGGAAAGGGCTTCGCTCAGAGTTCCCATCGCAATCTTCATCAAAGAACTCACACATCGATGGGCAGCGTATGGGAGCAGCTTTCTTCAGATCTCCAGCCTTTATTCCCACCAAAAAATCCATACAGCGGAGAACCCATATAAAGACTTAGAATATTAAAGGAGCTTTAGGAGCAGTTCCTTCTTTCCGCAAGAAGAAACCATATAAATGCTTGTAATGCGTACGGACAGGGCTTGTGCCAAGACACTTTGTGGAGGAATATTTTAAAAGTGCTTGAAAGAAGCTTCTGAAGAAGCAGAAATTTCCATTATCATCAAATAATTTACAGTGGTGGGGGGTCATATCAATGCTTAGAGTGCAGGAAAAGCTTGAGTAAGAAAATGCAGCTCCCATCTCATTGAAGAATTCTCAGAGGGGAGAATAAGCAAAGAATAAAGTTAGTAGGTTCCTCCAGACTTGTTTACAGATAACAAGGAAGCAAGATTTGTGTGACTCCTGCTCCCATCTTATGCTCAGCCTGTATATTTGTGTAAATAAAACATATCCGAAAGACACTGTCTTATCCAGTCTGTACCTTGACTCTAAAGAACCCAAACTGCTGTGGACTCATGACAATCTGCAGAGAAATCAGAGATGAATATTATTATTATTATTATTATTAATAATAATAATAATAATAATAATAATATTTATACCCTGCCCATCTGGCTGGGCTTCCCCAGACACTCTGGGAGGCTTCCAACAAAATATTAAAATACAGTAATGCATCAAACATTAAAAGCTTCCCTAAGCAGGGCTGTCTTCAGATGTCTTCTAAAAGTCTGGTAGTTGTTGTTCTCTTTGACATCTGGTGGGAGGGCGTTCCACAGGGCGGGCGCCACCACTGAGAAGGCCCTCTGCCTGGTTCCCTGTAACCTCACTTCTCACAGCAAGGAAAGCGCCAGAAGGCCCTCAGCGCTGGACCTCAGTGTCAGGGCAGAATGATGGGGGTGGAGACGCTCCTTGAGGTGTACGGGACCGAGGCCATTTAGGGCTTTAAAGGTCAGCACCAACACTTTGAATTGTGCTTGGAAACGTTCTGGGAGCCAATGTAGGTCTTTCAAGACCGGTGTTATGTGGTCTCAGCGGCCGCTCCCAGTCACCAGTCTAGCTGCCGCATTCTGGATTAGTTGTAGTTTCCAGATCACTTTCAAAGGTAGCCCCACGTAGAGCACATTGCAGTAGTCCAAGTGGGAGATAACTAGAGCATGCACCACTCTGGCGAGACAGTCTGCAGGCAGGTAGGGTCTCAGCCTGCGTACCAGATGGAGCTGGTAGACAGCTGCCCTGGACACAGAATTGACCTGCGCCTCCATGGACAGCTGTGAGTCCAAAATGACTCCCAGGCTGCGCACCTGGTCCTTCAGGGGCACAGTTACCCCATTCAGGACCAGGGAGTCCTCCACACCCACCCACTCCCTGTCCCCCCAAAACAGTACTTCTGTCTTGTCAGGATTCAACCTCAATCTGTTAGCCGCCATCCATCCTCCCAACTGCCTCCAGACACACTCACAGGACATTCACTGGTTCTGATCTGAAAGAGGTAGAGCTGGGTATCATCCGCATATTGATGGATGAACAAACTTTTTACCTAATGTCTGCAACTGATCTCAATATTTACGCGTGATATGTTAAATAGCTTTACAGCCGCCTCCACACTACATTTCCTTACCAACAAGAGCAACAGCACATTTAATACAATACTGTATTACACTTTAGACTATCATTCAAAACTTCCCTTCCTTTCTCCAGCAAAATGGCTATAATACAAAATGGGTATAATTCTGGACAACTTTGCAGGGCTGGTGTAACCCAGCCACAGAACTGCTCCCCTATTATATGGGAATAATAATGGTGGAAATTAAAAAAAAAAAACACGTTCCCTAACTGGGAACAAAATCATATCGAGAGAAAGAGAATATGAACTGCCTCCCATCTCAGGTTCTATGTTGCTCCCCTGTGAGAAAAGTTTGAGGCGGTTTATTTGGGGTAAATAAAAATAAATTCCCTCAAACCACGTCAACTGTGCACAATCCCCATAGCAACACACAGGATGTGAATCTTGGTTGAGGACTATAAGGTGGCTTCTAGACTCTTTATATTTATCTAATTTTGCAAACCTGTAGCTCCCAGGGAGGTTCACAACATACTTCTGTAGATCATTTTAAGACGAATTTCTTCCTCAGAAACGGAGAGGAGGCAGAGATCATGGAGTCTTTCTCCAGCGGAGGGTTTCCCCACCCTTTTTCTTTTTCAATGGATTTTATTAGAGTTAAAAAAATAAACACATACATACACTCCAAGATAACACCGAGGGGGCAAGGTTCAAGTCCAAACAGCGCCAGGCAAGAGCCATCCTTTCCAAATTCCAGAGGGGCAGCTTGGAAAAATCCCCTGCCCTTCTCTCTCCCACCGCTACTCCTTGCCCCACAAAGAAGAAAAAAAGCTTCGCCCCGTTTTTTCCCCTACCTTTAACTCTTGCATTGCTGGAGGCTGGACTAGATGACCCTCGGGGTCCCTTCCGACTCTACAATTCTTTGATTCTATTAAATTCCTTGCTCCCTCTGTCCCCTCGCCAAGAAAAGAGGTGCGCATTTGCACGTGGGGCAGCAGAACCGCCCTGCGCAGTGATGGAAAAGGGCTGCTCTACCCACTAGACCTCCTTTCCCCCCCAAAACTCTTCAAAGTTACTTTAAAAATGCTGTTTTCCTGCTCATCCCCCCCCCGGCCACGTTCGCTTAGGAGCCCGAAGTGCCGGCGAGTCTCTTCCTCCCCCCCCCCCGGGGGGCAGGAGATGCCCAGATTCCCATCTGTGTGCGCGCAGGGCGCACGTTTCCTCTTTGGCACAGAGCGGCGATGCTCGTGCTTACGCCCTGCAAGGGTTAAAAAAAGAAGCGGATTCCTAGAGAAGAAGGAAATTTGGGGTGGGAGGGAGAGAGGGGGCTTCCTCCAGAGCAGAAGCGGCTCCCCGCTTTGCAGAGGAAGGAGCCTCTGCTTTCCCCCACCGCGCGCTGCGTCTGCGGCTCCTTCTGCAACCCGGTGAGATTCTGCAACATCTTTTTGGTGCGTTTGGTGGAAAGGAGGAGGCGTCGCATGGGAGACGCAGATCAGGAGAACCGTCACAGGAAACAAATAGGGAGAGGGGTTGTTCGTGTCTCCGTTCCCCATCTAAGATAGAATCACAGAATCGTAAACTTGCAAGAGTCATCTTGTCCAACCCTCTGCAATGCAGGAATCTTTTGCCCATGTGAGACTCGAACCCACGACCCTGAGATGAAGAGTCTATTGCTCTCCCGGCTGAGCTGTTTGGGGAGGCTGGGGTTTAAAGAGGGGCTGCGAGGTGGAGTTGATCAGTGGGAGCGGATGGTCATAGAGTTGGAAGGGACCCTGAGGATCATCTACTCCAGCCCCCTTTAACACAGGAACATGCAACTGACCCATATTTTATTTTGCTGGAAGCTGCCCAGAGTGACTGGGGGAACCCAGCCAGATGGGCCAGGGTGTAAGCAATAAAATTATTATGATGATTAAGGAGCAAACATGCGCTGAGGATGGGAGTTTGGGCTTCTCCTGGCCTGCAGGCGACATAGCTCCTGTTATAATTGTTTATGCACATCATGTAATTAGGTAAAGGTAAAGGGACCCCTGACCATTAGGTCCAGTCGTGGGCGACTCTGGGGTTGCGGTGCTCATCTCGCTTTACTAGCCGAGGGAGCCAGCGTATAGCTGGTCATGTGGCCAGCATGACTAAGCCGCTTCTGGTGAACCAGAGCAGCGCATAGAAATTACCTTCCCGCCGGAGCGGTACCTATTTATCTACTTGCACTTTGACGTGCTTTTGAACTGCTAGGTTGGCAGGAGCAGGGACCGAGCAACGGGAGCTCCCCCCGTAGTGGGGACTCGAACCGCTGACCTTCTTATCAGCAAGTCCTAGACTCTGTGGTTGAACCCACAGCGCCACCCGCGTCCCTAATTAATCATGTAATTAAATAGCAATAAAAAGCTTTACAAAGAAAATAATTCAGAAAAGAGGCAAGCAGGCAGAGCACAGCCATGACGGCCAGTAGCCATTGATAGCCCTCTGCTCCATGAATTTGTACCGTCCTCTCTTAAAGGCAGCGCGGTGCAGTGGTGAGAGCAGGCCAGGACCATGAAGCTCCCGAGGGGACAACAACTTTGGCCCACTTCCTGTCAGCATGGCCTACCTCATAGGGTTGTCATGAGGATTAAATGGAGAGAGGGGGAGCCACGCAAGCTGCCTTGAGCTCCTTGGAGGAAAAGGTGGAATACAAAAGTATAGACTCCTGGAGTCAGAAGGGACCTGAGGGTCATCTAGTCCAACCCCAGCGATGTAGGAATATACAGGTGGGTCGAGCCTGCAACCTTGGTGTTACTGGAAATATGCTCTAACCAGCTGAGCTCTCCCAGCCAATTCTTCTTCTTCCCTTAAAATTAAAGCCCCTGTTTGTCAAGCGGAGCTTTCCAGCTTGGTAGCACATAATAAATGTGTGCGCATTCAGACGCCAGTGTTTTCCAGGGATCACGTTATGCTGAGAGTACTTCTGCCCAAAGACACTATTCCTGTATGAGGGGTTTGGCATTTACAGGATTAAAACCGAGCTTTAAGAGCATAGATGAAAACAGTCCTTGTTAGTGATCCCTGAATATAGCAATGGGAGGAAGCTGGGCCAGGATGTGGTATGTTTCCCTCTGGCTGATGAGTCTGTGTGAGTCTGGGTATGGACGCAGAATCTTAAGAGTTGGAAGGGATCTGAGGGTCATCTAGCCCAACCCCTGCAATGCAGGAATCTCAGCTGAAGCACCCAGTGCTTTTCCAGCTGCACTGGCTCCCGGTGGAGTACAGGGTCAGGTTTAAGGTGCTGGTTTTGACCTTTAAAGCCCTTCACGGCCTAGGACCCTCGTACCTATGGGACCGCCTCTCCCGGTATGCCCCACGGAGGACCTTAAGGTCCATAAATAGCAACACCCTAGAGGTCCCGGGCCCTAAGGAAGTCAGATTAGCCTCAACCAGAGTCAGGGCCTTCTCAACACTGGCTCCGGCCTGGTGGAACGCTCTGCCTCATGAGACCAGGGCTCTGCAGGATCTGATTTCTTTCTGCAGGGCCTGTAAGACAGAGTTGCTCTGCCTGGCTTTTGGCTTGGAATTAACTTGATCCCCCACCCCTCTTTCTTTTTTCCTTCTGTGATGGAACTCCTACTTGGGGACTTCCCTGGCTTTTTAAAAATGTATTTTAATCTTGTTTTTTAAGTTGTATTTCAATAAATTGTTTTATATCTGGTGTTAGCCACCCTGAGCCCGGTCTTGGCTGGGGAGGGCGGGGTATAAATAAAATTTATTATTATTATTATTATCCATGACAGATGGCCACTCAACCTCTGCTTAAAAACCTCCGAGGAAGGAGAGTCCGCAGTCTTAAGGGAGACCAAGATGCGGTCTTGGTCCAGGTTCTTAGATTTTGGGGCAGGGATCCCGCAAACGGGCAGCATGAGAGGAACATGAATAGCTGTGTGAGCAATAGAACCTCCATATGCAGAACCGGTATACCGGATCTCAAATGGGGGGAAGAAATGTTGTGTATTACATAATTCACAATATGAGGAATCAAAATGAAAAATACGTTTTCATCAGAGAATGTTTTTCTGCAGATAAGAGATGGAAGAACAAGACTCTGCCGCCCTCGAAGCAGGAAGACAGCCTGATAGCATCATGACTGGGAGCACTGGGGAAATTTGGGTTGGAAGCAGACACAAGACATTGAGGCAGAACATCCATGGCTCAGATGTGCACTGCCAACAGTTTAGGCACTTCCACTACCAGGAGGCCAAGGGACCACGGGATGTTTGCAGCCGACTCCACCATCTCTGCTGTCAGTGGCTGAAGCCGGGGAGACACACCAAGACTCAGATCCTGGATTTAGTGATCCTGGAGCAGTTCCTGGCTGTCCTCCCCCCGGAGATGGAGAACTGGGTCAGGGAATGTGGAGCAGAGACCAGTTCCCAGGCGGTGGCCCTGGCCGAAGGTTTCCTCCTGAGTCAGGCAGAGGAGAAGAAGCAGGAAGAGCAGCAGGTGAGAGTTTTGTCTGGATCAGGGAAAGTCAACCTGATGTCCTCTAGAGATTGTTGAACTAAAACTCCCATCATCCCTGTTCATTCTACATATCAACTGGGAATGATGGGAGCTGAAGTCCAGCAACTTTTGGAGAGCATTATGTCAGCTACCTCTGAGCTAGATAATCCCAAGGGGCTCAGGATGTGAGGGAGGGGATCCCAGAATTCTCTGCTTCTTCACCAGCTTTCTGTGGAAGTCAGCCAAACAGATAGCCAAGTACCCCTGAGGTTTTTGCATTTGCTGTTTCCGTGCGATGTCTTCAATGCATATTTCTGTTTCAGGCAAAGGATCTGGTCACGGAAATGAGAAGCAATTTCCCCAAAGCAGAAAGGAATCTGTCAATCATCAGGCAGAGGCCTCTGGGTGAGGATTTGGGGGTAGTGTTTCAATATGGTCTCCCTCTGTTCATTTTGAAACTAAGCCATCAACACAGGGGTCAGCAAGCTTTTTCATTTTTTTTCTCCAAATTTTTTTATTCATTTTATAACACAAATAAAGAACACAAACAGAAAAACAAACAATACAAACAGATTCTTGTCTTATCCTTATTTTTCTAAACATTGTTAGTTTAGTCCCACCTATCTGATTTTCATTTTACTTCATCTTTAGCAGTTTACATATATCATAATTTCTAACCGGTTTTTTTTTACTTTTATTTTTACCATGAAAATCTTCACATTTTATCACTTACAAATGATACTCTTTCAAAATACACTATCTTCTACTTCTAAGCCTACAGCTTATATCCACTTCCAAAGCTATTCTGAGATTTAAATATTAGCATTTCCCCCCCCCCCAAATATTCCTTAAACTTCTTCCAATCATCTTCCACCGTCTCTTCTCTCTGGTCTCGGAGTCTCCTGGTCAGTTCGGCAAGTTCCATATAGTCCATCATCTTCATCTGCCATTCTTCGATAGTTGGTAAATCTTGTTTCTTTCAATTCTTCGCTAGCAATATTCTTGCAGCTGTTGTGGCATACAGAAAAAAAGTAACATCCTTTTTGGGGATTTCACCCCCCAGCAAACTTTTTCAGCAGGGGGCCGGTCCACTGTCCCTCAGACCCTGTGGGGGGCCGGACTATATTTTGAAAAACAAAATTATGCAAGAGCACCACGAGCCCCAGTGGCTGCTTACCTGTGTCTTGTGAGCGGCAGGGGCTGGCGGTGGTGGAGGGACGATGAGCGGCGTGTGAAAGGGCTCTGGAGACGGGCTGCTTAAAATGGCGGCCGCTTGAGCTTTGCTGCTGCTGCTGACACCAACAAAGCCCACCCCCTTCCTCCTCTAGGCAGGGCGGGGAGAAGCCAGGAGGAGGGAGGGAGGAGGCGGCGGCGCTGCTGCCGTGTGAGGGAGAGGGAAAGAACATGTACGCTGGTGATCCACGCAGCGATTCCCGGACAGTCCGTGGACCGGATCCAGAAGGCGATTGGGCTTGATCCAGCCCACGGACCTTAGTTTGCCTACCCATGCATCAACTGTTAGGATATAGTTCCGTTCCACCTTTAGAACAGGCATGTGGAGTTGTTGTATGTTACATGTCTGTTTACTTCCAGCACAGTCTGCTGGGAACTTCCGTTGTATATAGCTTTTGCCTATGCTCTTTGCTTGGACACGAAGGGAAGCAGACATGTTTTTCCTTCGTCCTGATGTTGAATAAATGCTTGTAAATATGCTTACATATGCCTCTGTCTGCTACTTCTGTTGCAAAGAGTTCTTATCTCTGCTAGTTTGCGTGCTCAGTCTCGAAAGGTCTCTGAGGCTTGAGTCGCAGTTTTGATGCTGTTCTGAGAACCGGAGTTCGCCCGGCTGCTGGCCGGTGGGCTGGAGCCGGCTGGGAGCCTGCCAATTGCCCCCGTCTCCCCGGATGCATCCCAACATCAACTTCTTTAACCTTTTGCGGGGAGGCAAATCTCCACCTTTTTCCAGGGCTTGAAAATACCCTTATTTGCAACATGTTGTGCACATGGATTTGTGATCAAAAGCCCCAAAGAGTTGCTATGTGTTCACACACTGGAACTATCAAACAGATGCACAGATCTCAAACTTGCTCAACAGTTCAGACTTTCTCTAAGTATCAGTTTCTTATCCAAGTATGTGCCAATAATAATAATAATAATAATAATAATAATTTATTATTTGTACCCCGCCCATATGGCTGGGTTTCCCAAGCCACTCTGGGCGGCTTCCAACAAAGATTAAAAATACATTAAAATGTCACACATTAAACACTTCCCTGAACAGGGCTGCCTTCAGATGTCTTCTAAATGTTAGGTAGTTGTTTATCTCTTTGACATCTGATGGGAGGGCATTCCACAGGGTGGGCGCCACTGTCGAGAAGGCCCTCTGCCTGGTTCCCTGTAACCTCACTTCTCGCAGCGAGGGAACTGCCAGAAGGCCCTCGGCGCTGGACCTCAGTATCCGGGCAGAACAATGGGGGTAGAGACGCTCCTTCAGGTATACTGGACCCGAGGCCATTTAGGGTTTTAAAGGTCAGCACCAACACTTTGAACTGTGCTCAGAAACATACTGGGAGCCAGTGTAGGTCTTTCAAGACTGGTGTTATGTGGTCTTGGCGGCCGCTCCCCGTCACCAGTCTAGCTGCCACATTCTGGATTAGTTGTAGTTTCCGGGTCACCTTCAAAGGTAGCCCCACATAGAGCGCATTGCAGTAGTCCAAGCGGGAGATAACTAGTGGTTTTGTCTCTGACAGGCAATGGAATGATGCCGGCAAGATGTCCTCAGCCATCTCCTCTTTGTGGTTCAGTAGAAGGAACAGCTGTGAGACCTGATCAGGTAGGGGGATGGATCACTGAGGGGAGAGGCTGGGCCCCACTTTTCCCTCTCACCTCCCTGGTCCTGAGTGAATCTCTTTCCGTCGATTTGCTCCTATCAAAAGCTGCCCTCAGTGAAGGCTGCGAATGCCACCCAAGAAGGTTTAATTCCTGAGAATAATAAGCACCCACCTCAATTTAACTGGCCTTTTGAATGTCGCCAATAGACCATCCCTATCCTACCCATGAAAAAATGTTTCCCTTTTCTTTTAGGGTCCCATATCATTTGAGGATGTGGCTGTGCATTTCACAGATGAGGAATGGTCGCTGCTGGATCCTGACCAGAGGGTATTGCATAAGGAAGTCATGGAGGATAACTGGAGGATCATGGCCTCTCTCGGTAAGATCCCCTGTTGCGTCATAATATCGTTTTTTAAATTCAATATTTCTGTATGTGAGCAATCCTAATATTCTGACATAGCTCAGCTGTCCTACACATACAGCATCTAGGATTTTTATTCCTGCTTTTAATCTTGAAAATTAATCTCTCCTGCGTTCTCTCTGAGCATGCATTCTCTAAATCTGCCCTTCACAACTGTGGCTTGGTTGGTCTTATCTGGTCAGGTTATTTGTGGAATGTAAGTTTCAGAGTTGTGAGGGAGGTGGAACGATGTCATTTTCCAGAAGGCCAAAGAGATGAGTACACGTCATCAGAAACTGAGTGAATTTCATGAATGGGCCAAATAATAATCCACTTCACAAAAGAGGCTGGGGTTCACTGATTTCCATAAAAACGAGAGGCCTTTGCCTTCCTAGGAATGCAAAAATGCTCTCTCTTTCAGAACCAGCTTCCATTATTCTTCTCACCTAATGGCTTCCGAATTGGTTCTGAATCTGGATTTTCTGCCTAAAACTTTTCCTCATGTGCTAATATAAAGCGTGGCTAAGCTCCATTTTCATGTCCAAAATGCTTCACAACTGAAGCCTGAAGTTTCCCTCTTTGTTTATATTAATTCCAAAGATGAGGTGAAAGGAAGGGCTGGTGGCAGCTTAGTGTAATATTTTTTTTTAGGGGGGACACACCTTTTTACGGCTGGGGTAGCCAATGTGGGTCCCTCCAGAGGTTGCAGGATTCCACCTTCATCATCCCTGACAGCTGTCCGTTCCAGCTGGAGCTGATGGGAAAGTCTAATAACATCTGGATGGTACCACATAAAAGGGTATTAGCCAGTAAGAACCCCACATATTTTCCAATTTACAGATTGTTCTCTTCTGAAAGAAAATTATATGAAAATGATGTATATAACACCTGTACAGATAGCAAAAATGTACAAAACCGGCTCTAGCATTTGCAGGAAATGTAAAGAAAAAGAAGGGACTTTTTATCATATGTGGTGGGAATGTAAAGAAATTTTAAAAAATGGGAAATGATATATAATGAATTGAAGGAAATGTTTAAAATGACATTTGTAAAAAAACCAGAAGCATTTTTGTTAGGGATTGTAGGACAATACCTGCCAAGGAAAATAAGGAACTTGTTTATGTATGCTACAACAGCGGCAAGAGTCTTGATAGCACAAGGATGGAAGAATGAGGAAACCCCGTCAAAAGAACAGTGGCAAGAGAAATTGATGCACTATGCAGAACTGGCTAAATTGACATACTAACTGCGAGACGAGGACAACTGTGACTTTAAGGAAGAATGGGAACTTCATACAAATTATTTAAAAACACAACAAAATGAACTGGACTCCTTGGCAGGTTTTGAATAAACATACACAAATTTATTGTTGATAACATGATGGAAAGATATGTAAGGATATACAGTGGTACCTCAGGTTAAGTACTTAATTTGTTCCGGAGGTCCGTTCTTAACCTGAAACTGTTCTTAACCTGAGGTACCACTTCAGCTAATGGGGCCTCCTGCTGCTGCTGCTGCGCTGCCGGAGCAAGATTTCTGTTCTCATCCTGAAGCAAAGTTCTTAACCTGAAGTCTGTAACCTGAAGCGTATGTAACCTGAGGTACCACTGTATACAATTTTATAATATGCAGAGAAAATAATGTGCAGCGAAACCAGGGAGAGGAGCTGAGGGAAGTCCATGGGAGGGAGGTGGGGATTATAGGGTTTGATAATTTGTTATGTGGAAATTGAGCAATAAAAAATATGTTTTTTAAAAAAGAAAGAACCCCACACATTTCCCCATTTCTTCTGTTTCAGCACAAGGAATCCACAGCGCAGAGAAACCATATAAATGCAGTGAGTGTGGAATGAGCTTTGGCCGGAAGATAATTCTCATGTACCATCAAAGAATTCACACTAGGGAGAAACCCTATAAATGCTTGGAATGTGGAACGGGCTTCAGGGAACGCAACCTTCTGACTTCCCATCAAAGAATTCACACAGGGGAGAAACCCTTTCAGTGCTTGCAGTGTGGAAAGGTCTTAAGGCATAAGACAAGTCTTGCTTCTCATAAAAGAATCCACTCTGGGGAGAAACCCTATCAGTGTTTGGAATGTGAAAAAAGCTTCACTCACAAAATAACTCTCCTGCACCATCAAACAGTTCACTCTGGTGAGAAACCACATAAATGCTCACAGTGTGGAAAGAGCTTCGCTTTGAAGAAAAACCTCACTTCCCATCAAAGAATTCACACCGGGGAGAAACCGTATAAATGTTTGCAGTGCGGAAAGAGATTCAGTCAGAGCTCCCATCTCACTTACCATCAGAGAATTCACACAGGGGAGAAGCCATATAAATGTTTAGAGTGTGGAAAGAACTTCAGCCAAAGTACTAGTCTAATTTATCACCAGAAATCGCACACTGCAGAGTCACAATATAAATGCTTTGATTGTGGAAAGTGCCTCAGTCAGGAGGCAGATCTCGTTAATCATAAAAAAATGCACATCCAGGATAAACCACATGTATGTTTGGAATGTGGGAAAAGGTACACTCAGAAGAATTGTCTTAGAAAACATCAAAGAATTCATACAGGAGAGAAACCATATAAATGTTCTGAGTGCGGAAAAAGCTTCATTGAGAAGTCAGCGCTCACGACACACCAACGAGTTCATACGGGAGAGAAACCCTATAAATGCCTGGAGTGTGGAAAGGGCTTCGCTCAGAGTTCCCATCGCAATGTTCACCAAAGAACACACAAATCGATGGGCAGTGTATGGGAGCAGCTTTCTTCAGATCTCCAGCCTTTATTCCCACCAAAAAATCCATACAGTGGAGAACCCATATAAAGACTTAGAATATTAAAGGAGCTTTAGGAGCAGTTCCTAGCTTTCTTTCTGCAAGAAAAACCCAAATAAATGCTTGAATTGCATATAGACAGGGCATATGCAGGAAAATTTGTGGAGTAATCCCTAATAATAATAATAATAATAATAATAATAATAATAATAATATATTTATACCCCGCCCATCTGGCTGAGTTTCCCCAGCCACTCTGGGCGGCTCCCAGTCAAGCGTTAAAAACAATACAGCATTAAATATTAAAAACTTCCCTAAACAGGGCTGCCTTCAGATGTCTTTTAAAGATAAGATAGCTGCTTATTTCCTTCACATCTGAAGGGTGGGCATTCCACAGGGTGGGCGCCACTACCGAGAAGGCCCTCTGCCTGGTTCCCTGTAACCTCACTTCTTGCAGGGAGGGAGCCGCCAGAAGGCCCTCGGAGCTGGACCTCAGTGTCCAGGCTGAACAATGGAGGTATACTGGACCGAGGCCGTTTAGGGCTTTAAAGGTCAGCACCAACACTTTGAATTGTGCTCGGAAACGTACTGGGATCCAATGCAGTACTTAGAAGTTGGGAGGAGCTTCCAAAAAGGCAAAAATGTCTGTTGTTATCATTAATTAATTCTTCAAAGATGATCAGAGCATCATGCACAGTACTAACCTTACCTGTCATCAAAGAATTCACACAGGGGCGAAACAATATATTTGTCCCAGGAGGCAAGATGTTGGGGACAAGGCAGGATCCAGGAGAGTCTAAAAATCCACTTGGATATATTTATATTACAGTGGTACCTTTGTTTACTAACTTAATCCGTTCCCGAAGTCCGTTCTTAAACCAAAGTGTTCTTAAATCAAGGCGTGCTTTCCCATAGCAATGGGGGACTCAATTTACAAATGGAACACACTCAACAGGAAGCGGAACATGTTTTGCTTCCAAGGCAAAGTTCACAAACCAAAACACCTAATTCCGGGTTTAAAGGTAAAGTTATAGGGACCCCTGACCATTAGGTCCAGTCGCGGACGACTCTGGGGTTGCGGCACTTTATTGGCCGAGGGAGCTGGCGTACAGCTTCCGGGTCATGTGGCCAGCATGACTAAGCCGCTTCTGGTGAACCAGAGCAGCGTGCGGAAACGCCGTTTACCTTCCCGCCGGAGCGGTACCTATTTATTTGCTTGCACTTTGATGTGCTTTCAAACTGCTAGGTTGGCAGGAGCAGGGACCGAGCCACGGGAGCTCACCCCGTTGCGGGGATTCGAACCGCCGACCTTCTGATCGGCAAGTCCTAGGCTCTGTGGTTTAACTCACAGCGCCACCCGCGTCCCTTACTTCCGGGTTTGCAGCATTCTTAATCCAAGTTGTTCATAAACTAATCTGTTCTTAAACCAAGGTACCACTGTAAATACATTAGCAGAAGACCAGTGGGGGCTTTTTAGTTTTTGAAAGATGAAAGCATCAAAGAGAAATCAGCAGCAAGGAGAAATAAAAGGAACAGTATATGCAGGTAAGGTAAAGTTCAGTGACTTGCTTTCTGTGCTGCCTTTCCTTGTGATGGAGTTGGGAGGGGAAAAGCATGACTTGCTCTCTGTGTTGAGTCCAATTCTGTGGATCTATGCCTCTCCCCAGACTCAGAACAAGAGAGCAAGATTTGTGTGAATGCTGTGAGTCCTCTCCGTCTTATATTCAGCCTGCATATATGTGTAAATAAAACATATCCGAAAGACACTGTCGTCTCCAGTTACCTTGATTCTGAAGGACCCAAACCGCTGTGGACTCATGACAATCTCCGGAGAAATCTGACGAGACATTGAACAAGCTTACTGCCTAATGCCTGTAACTGATCTCAGTATTTACACGTGATTTGTTAAATAGTTTTCCTCTGTGCAAATGATCTACACCAGAGGTTTTCAACCTTTTTGGGTCCACGGCTCTCTTGACCAACTACAGTCATACCTCAGGTTACAGACGCTTCGGGTTGCGCAATTTCGGGTTGCGCACCGCACTGAACCCCGAAGTACCGGAACAGGTTACTTCCAGATTTTGGCGCATGCGCAGAAGCGCTAAATTGCACTTTGCGCATGCGCAGAAGCGCCGAATTGCGACCCGCACGTGCGCAGACACGGCGCTGCGGGTTGCGAACGTGCTTTCGGAAGCAGAGATAACGAAGTCCTCTAGCTGAGGGTTTCCACACCTTTTACCAAGCTGCTAGAATAGCAGGATCAGTGTTTTTTTCCCCTTTTAGGGAATTGCCTCAGATGCTCACAAGGAGGTGGGCGACCTTTGGGACCCTCCAGCGGTTGCTGAACTACAACTCCCATCGCCTTGGCCACTGGCCATGCTTGCTGAGGCTGATGGGAGTCGTAGTTCTAGGAAGTGGCCGTGCAATATTTTTATTGATATATAAATCTAACCAGGCCTTTCAGAAGCAGGCAAAATGTTTTCATGTATCAAATAACCTGATAAAATACTGGCCTTGGCCCAGTATACCTGAAGGAGCATCTCCACACCCATCGCTCAGCCCAGACACTGAGGGTCTGAGCGTCTTCTGGCGGCTCCTTCACTGTGAGAAGCGAAGTTACATGGAGCCAAGCAGAGGGCCTTCTCGGTGGTGGCACCCACACTGTGGAACTCCCTCCCACCAGATGTCAAGGAGATAAAAAACTACACAACTTTTAGAAGACATCTGAAGGCAGCCCTGTATTGGGAAGCTTCTTAATGTTTGACATTTTATTGTTTTTATATACGCTGGTTTATACACCCTGGTTTTGACTGCCACTGAAAGGCGAGCTTGCCCCCTTCTCAGTCCCCTTAGGCTTCAGCCACAGCCATTACAAGGCCAGTTGCCTCGCTACGGAAAGGACCTTAGGCCAGTTGCCAAGCATCTCCCTTTGAACGAAGAGGGTGTCGGGTTCAAGTCCAGTCAGCACTGGGCAAGATCCATCCTTTCCAAAATCGCAGAGGAGTCGTCGGATTCTCAAAGGGGGCAGCTTGGAAATATTTCCTGCCCCTCTTCTCTCCCCCACCACTACTCCTTGCCCCTTTAACACTTTTTCTACCTTTAACTCTTGCATTGCAGGAGGCTGGACTAGATGACTCTTGGGGTCCCTTCCATCTCTACATTTCTTTGATTCTATTAAATTCCTTGCTCCCTCTGTCCCCTCACCAAGAAAAGAGACAAGCAGCACTCTTGCTCAGGGGCGCATTAATAATAATAATAATAATAATAAAAAAATTTATTTATATCCCGCCCTCCCCGGCCAGAGCCGGGCTCAGGGCAGCTAACACCTGTAAAATTACAGTAAAAACGTAATAGGAAAGTCAAAATACAGGTTAAAATGCAATTTAAAATGCAGCCTCATTTTAAAAGTAGCCGATAGATCAAGACCATAAGAGGAGGGAAACATGAGGGTCAGACTGAGCCCACACCAAAGGCCAGGTGGAATAGCTCTGTCTTGCAGGCCCTGTGGAAAGATGTCAAGTCCTGCAGGGCCCTAGTCTCTTGTGACAGAGCGTTCCACCAAGTCGGGGCCAGTGCTGAAAAGGCCCTGGCCCTAGTTGAGACCAATCTAACCACCTTGCGACTTGGGACCTCCAAAAAGTTGTCATTTGTGGACCTTACCAGGAGAGGCGGTCCCATAGGTACGTGGGCCCTAGGCCGCATAGGGCATTGGCACGTGGGGCAGGAGAATCACCCTGTGCAGTGATGGGAAAGGGCTGCTCTAACCACTAGACTTCCTCCCCCCCTTCAAAGTTATTTTCAACTGATTCCTCCCCCCTGGCCACGTTTGCTTGGGAACCCGAAGTGGAGGCGAGTCTCCCCGCCCCCAAGAAAAGATGCCCAGATTCCCATCTGTGTGCGCGCAGGGCGCACGTTTCCTCTTTGGCACAGAGCGGCAGTGCTCGTGCTCAGGCTTTGCAAGGGTTAAAAAAAGAACCGGATTCCTAGAGAAGAAGGAAATTTGGGGTGGGAGGAAGGGAGGGGGGCTTCCTCTAGAGCAGAAGCAGCTCCCCGCTTTGCAGAGGAAGGAGCCTCTGCATTGCCCCACCGCGCGCTGCATCTGCCGCTCCTCCTGCAACCCGGTGAGTTTCTGCAGCATCTTTTTGGTGGAAAGATGGAGGCGTCGCATGGGAGACGCAGATCAGGAGAACCATCACAGGAAACAAATAGGGAGAGGGGTTGTTCGTGTCTCCGTTCCCCTTTTTCTATTATTTATTGTCCAACCCCCTGTCCAATATTTTGCCCATGCGAGACTCGAACCCACGACCCTGAGATTAAGAGTTTATTGCTCTACCGGCTGAGTTATTTGGGGAGGCTGGGGCTTAAAGTGGGTCTGCGAGGTGGAGTTGATCAGTGGGAGCAGATTGTCATAGAGTTGGAAGGGACCCTGAGGATCATCTGTTCCAGCCCCCTTTAACGCAGAAATATGCAACTGACCCATATTTTATTTTGCTGGAAGCTGCCCAGACTGACTGGGGAAACCCAGCCAGATGGGCCAGGGTGTAAGCAAAAAAATTATTATTATGATTAAGGAGCAAACATGCACTGAGGGCTTCTCCTGGCCTGCAGGCTACATATCTCTTGTTATAATTGTTTATGCACATGTTTGTGCACTTGTTCGCTTCTCTCTTCCCCCTCTGTATAGGCAAAAGAGGTCCCCGATCTAAGATACCACCACAAAATTGCAGCGTTAGAAGGGACCCTGAGGATGATTCATCTGGTCCAACCCCTTGCAATGCAGGAATCTTTTTGTGCAACCTGGGGGCTGGAACCCTGATATTTAGAGTCTCTTGCTCTGCCAGGTCTGCGGGGCAGAGTTGCTCAATGAGAGCAGATTGTCATACAATCACAGAATTGTAGAAATTGTTGAAAGGGACCCTGAGGAGCATCTAGTCCAACCCGGTTTAATGCAGGAATATGCAGTTCTCCCATATGGGGATCGAACCCGCATCCTTGGTGATAACACACTCTCACCAACTTTGCTATCCACGCTGATGGTTCTCAATTCCCTGTTTGCCAGGTGGGCTTCCTGGCTCTGGAGCACATGTGCTCATTCGGATGTGAGGGGATCTTCGAAAACACTGCTCTGTTAAAAAACCGGCAGCCTTTTCGTCCAAGGAGTCGATTACGCAAGAACCCAAGTGAAAAAGATGGAGAGGTAGAAGGTTTTGGATTATCACAAAAGATGCAGGAGGGAATGATTAACAAATAGGACCCACAAAGGGGAGGAGGGAAGTCCAAGAGATTCCTTGGAACCTTGTTTTTATGTTGTGTGTTCAATATGTGACTGTAAAATTTTAATCTGAAAAATCAAATAATTTTTTTTAAAATAAATAAAATGAAAGTGAATAATGAACAAGAGTGAGGACCGGGCTGAGTTAGAAAGGAGCAGTGGGGTTGCCACTACCACATTTGCAGCCTTGTTCCTCATGCTAGGGACGCGGGTGGCGCTGTGGGTTAAACCACAGAGCCTAGGACTTGCCGATCAGAAGGTCGGCGGTTCAAATCCCCGCGACAGGGTGAGCTCCCGGTGCTCGGTCCCTGCTCCTGCCCACCTAGCAGTTCGAAAGTACGTCAAAGTGCAAGTGCAAGTAGATAAATAGGTACCGCTCCAGTGGGAAGGTAAACGGCATTTCCGTGCGCTGCTCTGGTTCGCCAGAAGCAGCTTAGTCATGCTGGCCACATGACCCGGAAGCTGTACACCAGCTCCCTTGGCCAATAAAGCGAGATGAGCGCCGCAACCCCAGAGTCAGTCACGACTGGACCTAATGGTCAGGGGTCCCTTTACCCTTTACTCCTCATGCTAGAAGGGGCAGAGAGGCAAGTGTGCTTTGGGCTATGTCAGCCTTGAGCTGGTAGAAAATGATTGGGCCGTCATCCTGCCCACTGCCATCGAGAGTCAGAAGTGGGGCACAGTTGGAGATCCCAGCAGATTGATAGCTTACAAAAGTTAAAGCCGAGCTTTAAAAAAGCATACACTCATGGCCAAAATTGTGGAAACCTTTTGGAAAAAGTGTATTTCATAGGTTTGATGGCTCATTACAGCCGATTGGCTCTCTAAACACTCGTGCTCATTGGCTACATTCAAATGAAGGAAAGCTACTGCATAGCAACCTAAGCAAGTTGTGCTTCCTTTTTCTGGTCATTTGGCTATAACTTTTGATAGAATACAGATAACTGAGAAAACTTTGTTGCATCACTTTCTTCATTAAATTATTTTTCCATTGCTATATACCTAATTTTATGGTCTTATGAGCCATCAGACCTCAGAAATACACTTTTTCCAAATGGTTTCCACAATTTTGGCCACTAGCGTAGATGAAAACAGTCCTTGTTAGTGATCGCTGAATATAGCAATGGGAGGAATCTAGGCAGGGATGTGGTATGTTTCTCTCTGGTTGATGAGTCTGTGTATGGACGCAGAAAGGAAGAGGATGTACTTGATAGATAATAGAATCTTAGAGTTGGAAGGGACCCCAAAGGTCCTCTAGTCCAACCCCCTGCAATTCAGGAAACTCAGCTAAAGCAACCATGACAGATGACCGTCCAGCCTCTGCTTAAAAACCACCATGAAAGGAGAGTCCATAACCTAAGGTAGACTAAGATGCAGTCTTGGTACACGATCTTAGATTTTGGGCAGGGATCCCACAAATGGGCAGCGTGAGAAGAACATGAATAGCTGTGCGAGCAATAGAACCTCCATATGCAGAAGCAGTATACCGGATCTCAAATGAGGGGAAGCAATGTTGTGTATTACATAATTCACAATACAGTCATACCTCGGGATAAATACGCTTCAGGTTGAGCACGTTCGGGTTGCGCTCCGTGGCGACCCGGAAGTAACAGAGCACGTTACTTCCGGGTTTTGCCGCTTGCGCATGCGCAGACGGTCAAAATGATGTCATGCGCAGAAGTGGCGAAACGCTCAGACACGCTGTCACATCTTACTTTATGTTCAGGATGCGAACGGGGCTCCGGAACGGATCCCGTTCACATCCCGAGGTACCACTGTACAGTCATACCTCGGGTTACAGATATTTCAGGTTACATTTTTTCAGGTTACGGACACGCTGAAACCCGGAAATACTGGAACAGGTTACTTCCGGGTTTTGGGGGATGCGCATGCGCAGAAGCACTAAATTGCAACCCGCGCGTGCACAGACACGCCTCTGCGGGTTGCGAACGCTGCGGGTTGTGAACGTGCATCCTGCACGGATAATAATAATAATAATAATATTTTTTTATTTATACTCCGCCCTTCCCGGTTCAGAAAACTGGGCTCAGAGCAGCTAACAACAAATTTAAAACACTTAATTGATGCTACAAAAAAGAAGCATAAAGTACAGTATAAAATGGGAATAACAATAAATTCAGAATTCAAAAATCAATTTAGGGGGAAAATCCATCCAATAAACATTAGATGATCACCAAAGGCTAGCTGGCTAAATTAGTCCTGTTTGGACCAGCGAGGAGACCAGGGGAGAATTAGTTGTGGGATCCCAGAGCGGGTAATCTTCATAAAAAGGGGAAGGGGAGGGAAGGAAGGGGAACAAAAGATCAGGCCAGGTTCAAACTGAAAACCAGGCGGAATAGTTCTGCATTACAGGCCCTGCGGAAGGAAGTTAAATCCTGCAGGGCCCTGGTCTCATGGGACAGAGCATTCCACCAGGTCGGAGCCATCACTGAGAAGGCCCTGGCCCTGGCGGAGGATGACGTTTGCAACCCCAAGCATCCACCGTATGAGCAATCAAAATGAAAAATACGTTTTCATCAGAGAATGTTTTTCTGCAGATAAGAGATGGAAGAACAAGACTCTGCCGCCCTCGAAGCAGGAAGACAGCCTGATAGCATCATGACTGGGAGCACTGGGGAAATTTGGGTTGGAAGCAGACACAAGACATTGAGGCAGAACATCCATGGCTCAGATGTGCACTGCCAACAGTTTAGGCATTCCCGCTACCAAGAGGCCAAGGGACCCCGAGAGGTTTGCAGCCGACTCCACCATCTCTGCTGTCAGTGGCTGAAGCCGGGGAGACACACCAAGACTCAGATCCTGGATTTAGTGATCTTGGAGCAGTTCCTGGCTGTCCTCCCCCCGGAGATGGAGAACTGGGTGAGGGAATGCGGAGCGGAGACCAGCTCCCAGGCGGTGGCCCTGGCCGAAGGTTTCCTCCTGAGCCGGGCAGAGGACAGGAAGCGGCAGGAGCAGCAGGTGAGGATGTTTAATCTACATTAAACCTAACAAACAGGAGCCCCCAGGAGTTGTTGGACTAAATCCATCATCTCTGAGCATTGGCTGATGGCAGCTGGCGTTCAACATCTGGGAGGCACTGCTTTGACTGGCCCTGGTTTTTTGCTTTTGTGTTTTTTTAATTCATTTTATAACACAAATAAACAATACAAACAGAAATACAAACAATACAAACAAATTCTTGTCTTCTCCTTTTTTTTCTAAACATTGTTAGGTGAGCTTCCCGAAGTCCCCCCTATCTGGTTTTCATTTTACCTCATCTTTAGCAGTTTCATATATCATAATTTTTAACCATTTTTTATCACACTTACTTTTACCATAAAAATCTTCACATTTTATCACTTACAAATAATATTTTAAAATACACCATCTTCTACTTCTAACCCTACAGCCTGTATCCACTTCCAAAGCTAGTCTAAGATTTAAATATTAACATAGTTTTTCAAATATTCTTTAAACGTCTTCCAATCATCTTCCACCGTCTCTTCTCTCTGGTCTCGGAGTCTCCCTGTCAGTACGGCAAGTTCCATATAGTCCATCATCTTTGTCTGCCATTCTTCTATAGTTGGTATATCTTGTTTCTTCCAATTCTTCGCTAGTAGACTGGCCCTGATTTTGATTTGATTTGATTTGATTTATTACATTTCCAGTTCACTTTTCATTCAAATGAGTCTCAAAGCGGCTTGCAAACAATAAATAACAGTAACATAGCAAAACATAACGGAACAACATTACGTAAAATAACTAGCAGATCATCAGTAAAACAATTGCAATCTACATAATGCTAGTAACAAATCAGCCACGAAAACGGTAAGCTGATAGCTGAACATCACAATTTTAGCAAATGACATACTGTATGATTGACAGGTTAATACAGCATTTAGAATCAAGAAAACAAAAATGGAAAACGAGCGAGGTCCCAACCAAAGGAGAATGGCAACTTAAGCTGATGGAATATGCGCAGCTTGTAGATCTAACATACAGAATAAGAGAACAAGAAGAACATATGTTTAGAGAAGACTGGAAAATGTTTATTGAATGTATGGGGGGAAATCGTGTACGCTTGAAAATGTGAGCGGCATTAAGATAAATTCAACAGTGTAAATAAGCTTTGATGGGAGTAATAATGGAATACTGAATGTTTAGTTTATGTAAAATATGCAGGGATTTATGTTTTGTAAAATGAACCATGGAAAGAGAAGAAGGGAAGTCACAGATATTTTAAGGTTGTTTAAATGAATATTTTAAAATGTGAAGCAGAAATAAAACAATATTAACTTTACTAAAAGGCTAAGCATTGTTACATGGTCCCAAGCAGGTCAGAGTGTGGGTGCAAAATTCTGTACTCCCTGTCCAAATGTATTTAGAAATCATCAAGTTTTTCAGCTGTGTCATTTCTCCCCATTTAATGTCTTCTATCCTTATCGCTGTTGTTTCAGGTAAAGGGTCTGTTTGCTGAAATGGGAGGTGATTCCCCTGCGACAGAGACGACTCCATCAGACCCCAGACAGAAGCCATTGGGTGAGGATCAGTGTGATGTATCTCAATTTGGTCTCTCTCCATGTTGTGAATTGAACTTCAATGGAAGTAGTTGCTATTTGGAGGTAATGAACTGGAACCAACTTCTCAAATGTACTGAGGAAATTCCACTGACATTCTGATGGTCGTAATCAGTGCTATATTTCTAAAAAAATAGGCATCAGAATTCACCGTGAACACCTCCCTTAATAATAATAATACAGTGGTACCTTTGGTTACGTACTTAATTCGTTCTGGAGGTCCGTTCTTAACCTGAAACCGTTCTTAACCTGAGGTACCACTTTAGCTAATGGGGCCTCCCATTGCTGCCACGCGATTTCTGTTCTCATCCTGAAGCAAAGTTCTTAACCCGAGGTACTATTTCTGGGTTAGCAGAGTCTGTAACCTGAAGCATATGTAACCTGAAGCGTATGTAACCCGAGATACCACTGTAGTGATAATAATAATAATAATAATAATAATAATAATAATAATAATTTACTCCCCAGCCATTCTGGGCAGCTCCCAGCAGAATATTAAACACGATAAAAGATCAAACATTAAAAACTTCCATAAACAGGGCTGCCTTCAGATGTCTTCTAAAAGTCAGATAGTTGTTTATTTCCTTGACATCTGATGGGAGGGTGCCACTACCGAGAAGGCCCTCTGCCTGGTTCCCTGTAGCCTCACTGAGAGGTGTCAGAACTGAGTTCTGTTGAGTTCCAACTGAAAAAAAAGCCTTGGTCTTAATACTGAGGCTTGGCCTAATTTCTGTCCCACTAGAGTGAATCCGATGTTTCAAGAGGGAATTCCTTTCTATTTTAAGTGATGGGGTTTTCATTCAGTCACACAAATGTCTTATTCATATTGGTGCCAGTTATTAAAAAAAATACATTTTTCCTGGAGGTATTTTATCACCCTTACTGCTGCTCTAAGAAAAACCATTTGCAGACCTTAGCTCTCCAGGGGACACTCTTTTTTGGATAGCAGGATTAATAACATTTCAACCTGCCCAATTTGTGAATCTGGTGGAGTTGAGAAGGTCTTTAAAGTTGCCTCATCTATGAACTTTCTAGGCAAAAATTCCTTTCTTGTTTCCCTCTCGGACCGGATATGTACCTTGTACATATCACCAGCATTCATTACCATTCATTACCATCCAAGTACCAACATTTCCTCCAGCAGTTAAGAAAATACAAGCCAGGTCTCCGAAAACCTAGGAGAGGTGGGGATGGGGTGTGCTTTGTTTTGCTGTATTTTAGAAGTTCTTTCTATTTTGGGGTGAGCAACATTCTTGCTGCTGTAGTCGCATACATGAATAAATTTCTGTATATTTTAGGTAGTTCTGTCCCTATAACTCCCAAAAGAAAAGCTTCTGGTTTGTTTGTTTTTACAAAGGTTATTTTAAACATCCTTTTCAATTCATTAAATATCATTTCCCAGTAAGCTTTCACCTTACTACAAGACCACCACATATGAAGCTAGGATTTTTTCTAAGTTAGGCATACATCATTTCATTTCAGAGGCGAGGATGTGCTAATGGCTCTCTGACACATTTGTTTCCCTCCTTCAGGCCAGGGAATGAAGCGGCCAAGACATCCTCATTCATTTCCTCTTTGTGGCGGAGCAGAAGGAGCCGCTGTGGAATCGGATCAGGTGGGACATGGGTGGGGAAACTGGTTCAGACTGAGAGCCACAATCTTATCTGAGCAATCTTCCAGGGGCCACATACCAGCGGTGGGTGAGAGCAAAAATCAAAGTGAATGAAATTAGTTTCTACACACCCCTCCAAGTTCAAGGTCATATTCCAGCAAGGGATGAACACTCAAGGTTGGTATGAATTAGGGTTGGGGATGTCAGGAGCTCGTCCTACACTCGAGTAGGACCCTGGTAGAGACACATGCCCGACTGGCATGTTCTATCCCTCCTGGTCATTCGTTTGGGAGCTTCAAAAGCTTTCTCCAGCCCGAAAATCACAGCGACCGATGCCAACCGACACCAGCACACTTAGGGATCCGCAGAGTGTTTGCAATTTGCATAACAGACCTCAGCAACTCAGCATTTTGGCTAATCTACTTTATTTGCATATAAAACACACACAGAGCACTGCAACATGGCTCCCTCTCTCTCTAGCATCAGGCAGCAAAGAGAAGAACAAACGACAATAGTCCCACTTCACGTAACACAGTAACACATACATCCTGTCTCTGTCACTTCCCACTCTATGGAGTCAAAACATACACTGTCATGTGATAGACAACAATCCCATGACTGCAATCATGGAGCAGGAATTCTAACAGGGGAGAGGTGTTGCCGGGGAGGGGCAGTGTCACAGGAACGTGCCGGTCAGTAATCACACTAATAATAATAATAATAATAATAATAATTTATTACTTATACCCAGCCCATCTGACTCTTATACCCAGCCCACCCAGCCTCCCAAGCCACTCTAGGCGGCTCCCAACATAATATTAAAAACACGATAAAACATCAAACATTAAAAACTTCCCTAAACAGGGCTGCCTTCAGATGTCTTCTAAAAGTCAGATAGTTGTTTATTTCCTTGGCATCTGATGGGAAGGCGTTCCACAAGGTGGGCGCCACTACCAAAAAGGCCCTCTGCCTCGTTCCCTGCAACCTCACTTCTCGCAGTGAGGAGCCACCACTTTAAATATGGAGTCAACTTTTTATTCGCAAAACCACACACTTCTCAAACTGGGCTGTCAAGCCCAATGAGCAGAGTCGCTCATTCCCGTTGGCCTTCTTCCATGAAAATCAGTTGCTGAGACTGAAAGTCCCCACCTCTCCTCTCTAAGTCCCCTCCTTTCCAGGGCTTCCCCCAAGAAATAGGAGACTGCGCCCGCCTGCCACCAACCTCTCCTCCACCTTTTTCATGCCTCTTCTGATTCTGGGAGACAAGGCAGAAGGGGAGCTTGTCTCGGCAAGAGCGGGAGATGCCTGTGCCTCTTCACCAGTCTCTCATCTTTGACTCTTGGCCTCACCTCCCACCCTCCTGCTCTAGCTTCTGCCTCTGATTCTGGGCTTCTCTCTGCCACAGACTCTCCCCACTCACTAAGCCCTGTTACCTCCTCAGCTTCTGACACCTCCTCTTCCCAGTCTTCTCCCTCTGTCAACTCATCGTTGTCCCACCACCTTTCCCCAGACTCTGAGTCTTCTCCCCTTGAGGGTTTCCCAGCCAGTTCCTCCAACCAGTCTATGACAGACAATTCCTGAGCACCAGATATTGAGGCCTGGGTGGGGGCACTCCTGGCCCCCAAACCTGAGGGTGCCAACCCTTTAAGTAGGCAGACAGATCGCTTGGGAGACAACTGGGAGCAGCCAAATGCTCCAATCCCCAGCTCACCTCCCTCGGCTGAAACAATTCTCTCTCCTCTAGAAGGCCACTAAATTCTGGGAATAATGATCATGGTCACCTTAAACTAACCTAGTAACTCATCTGTATATTATATGCAAGGAGACCTTTCCTTTTTCTTTTTAGGGTCCAGTGTCCTTTGAGGATGTGGCTGTACATTTCACAGAAGAAGAGTGGGCTGTGTTGGATCCTGACCAGAGAGCTCTGCACAAGGAAGTCATGGAGGAAAATAGAGGCATCGTGGCCTTTCTGGGTAAGGCTCCCTGTTGGATCATAATGCCCATTTTGAAATTCAGTACTTTTTTGTGCGCAGCGAACCCCAATATTCTGATGTAGCTCAATAGTGTTGGAGTGTCGGTTGACGCTCGACTGGGTGGCGAAGACCTTCCCACACACGGGGCACGGGCTCAGCCGCTTCCTTTTGTACAGCTTTGCCGGGTTTTTGATGAAGCAAAGGCGTCAGGCTTTGGGGAATCAGCTTTTCCCCCCGTGGCAGTAAATAAGAAGATCAAATGAAAGGAACGTCTTACCAGTTAGATTCTTTAATAATCCCAGCGAGAGAACAAAGAACACATCTCCTAGAAATGGTGGTGCTCCCAATTAAGGCTTACCCCCCTCCATCACTATTAATCTACGTTGCTCCCACATCTTGTAATCTGAGCTTGAACCCTCTGCACTTTCTGCTCTGAGACTTTCTGAGCTCTTCTCGACCTTGGGGAGGGCGGTGGAGGAATGCTGTCCAACGACTGACTCTGTTAACTCTCTCTCTCCCCCAGTGTTTCTCCTCCTAGCTGTTCCCCATGCAGTATTTCCCAGCTTTGGCCTTCCGAACTATGCCCCTCAGCAAACCACTGTTCCAAATCTACACTGTCCTCCTGTTCCTGGGAAGATTCAGGGACAGGGAAAGGCTCCCACCATTCCTCCTCAGTGCAGCCCCTCCTCAGCCTGGTCCCTGACAAAAGGTGGCAGCCTGGAACGATCACTGACTCGATCATCCCCACAGACATGTCCTTTCCCAGATTGATCTCTGGGTCATTCTGGTGGTCAGAGACGTTCTCCTCCTTCTCCAGGCCTTGAAGCCCTCTTCAGTTTACTTTGAACTGACAGTTATCTAATGTATTCTCTCTGAATATAATCCCAATCATAATCATATTAATAAATTTTATTTATACCCTGCCCTCCCCAGCCAGAGTTGGGCTCAGGGTGGCTAACACCAATAAAATTTCAGTAAAAACATAGTAAGAAAAAAAGAAAAAGAAAAAAACAATTTAAAATACAGGTTAAAATGCAATTTAAAATGCAGCCTCATTTTAAAAGTCAAAACCATAAGAGGAGGGCAACATAAGGGTCAGACTGAGTCCAAACCAAAGTCCAGGCGGAACAGCTCTGTCTTGCAGGCCCTGCAGAAAGATGTCAAGTCCCGCAGGGCCCTGGTTTATTGTGACAGAGCGTTCCACCATGTCGGGGCCAGTGCTGAAAAGGCCCTGGCCCTAGTTGAGACCAACCTAACCACCTTGCGACTTGGAACCTCCAAAAAGTTGTCATTTGTGGACCTGAAGGTCCTCCGCGGGGCATACCAGGAGAGGTGGTCCTGTAGGTACGAGGGTCCTAGGCCGCATAGGGCTTTAAAGGTCAAAACCAGCACCTTAAACCTGACCCTGTACTCCACCGGGAGACAGTGGGTCCTTTTGTTGTGCCCTTCTAAACAATGACCTGACTGCTTTGAACTGAGCAGACCTTTTAAAATGTAAGTTTCAGAGTTGTTCGGGAGACAGAACTAGCATCCCGCCTATTTTCTGTTGGGGCAGCGCGCTGACTGTCATAAGAGACTGAGCAGATTTGGTTTGACTGAAATAATAATGCCCTTCTTATGGGGAAAAAGTTTGGCCAGTAACTAAAAAGGGCCCCCCATTCCTGATCTTTCTCAATATATCTAATATTCTTAACATTTCATCTATTCCAGCACTTGAAGTCTCCATCTTCCAATTTCGGAGTATTTATTTATTTTTCTTGAATAAAAACTTTTATATCCTAACACTGCATTTAATAAAAATCGAAAGGGGGGAATTATTGCTTGTATAGGCCTTGCAAACCTGTAAGATAGGGGAAGTTGATTAGACCGAGAGCGTGTGATTGGCTGAAGACCATCCAATGAGATTCACCTCTAGGAGCTGAACATACATCTCTATGGTCCAAATCCATAGCACTCCAGCTGTCAGTTAACACCAGTCAACAGAAGCAGTTAAAATCTGCCTTTCATCCAAGTCCTTCCAGCTTTCCCGTTATCACAAGCATTGATATCCACAGGTTCTCAGCTATTTCTCTCTTCATTGCAGGTGACAAATCGGAAACCAATAATAAAGGAAAACGAGCTGGAAACGAGTCACTGGAAAGATGCACAAAGAAGGAAAAGCAGAGAAGGAAAACTGAAGCAGAGAAGATGGGAAGGAATACACCCCCAGCCTCTCAGGGTCGTAACTACAATGAAATTGCAGTCAAAGGAAAAACAGATATAAGAAACAAAAAGAAGTGTAGGGATTATTGGGAAAGTTTCAGTTCTAAAGGAAAACGTAAAGCACATTGCCAAAACTGCAAAGGGGAGAAACCATATAAATGCTTTGAGTGTGGAAAGAGCTTCATGAGAAACTCCGCACTCATTTTCCATCGTGGAATTCATAGTGGAGAGAAACCATATAAATGCTTGGAATGTGGAAAGAGCATTAGTTGCAAGCAGGTACTTAGTTATCATCAAAGAATTCACACAGGGGAGAAACCGTATCAGTGTATGAAATGTGGAAAAAGCTTCACTCGGAAGATATATCTTACTAATCACCAAATGGTTCACACAGGGGAGAAGTCTTATAAGTGCCTGGAATGTGGAAAAGGCTTTGCTCAGAGCACCAAGCTCACTTCCCATCAGAGAATTCACATTGGGGAGAAACCATATAAATGCCTGGAGTGTGGAAAGGGCTTCAGCTGCAAAAAGAGCGTCACTTATCATCAAAGAATTCACACAGGAGAGAAACCATATAAATGCTTAGAATGTGAAAAGAGCTTCATGCATAAGGCAAGCCTCACTTTTCATCAGAGAACTCACACAGGGGAGAAACCATATAAATGCTTGAATTGTGGGAAAAGCTTCACCCATAAGACAAGTCTCACTTTGCATCAGAGAACTCACACAGGGGAGAAACCCTATACGTGCTTGGAATGTGGAAAGAGCTTCCCTCGCAGTGGTGAGCTTTCTTCCCATCAGAGAATTCATACAGGGGAGAAACCGTTTGAATGCTTGGAATGTGGAAAGAGCTTCCGTCACAGTTCTAGCCTTTCTTCCCATCAGAGAATTCATACAGGGGAAAAGCCACATAAATGTTTGGAGTGTGGAAAGAGCTTCACTCGGAAGATACATCTTACTAATCATCAGAGAATCCACACTGGGGAGAAACCATATAAATGCTTGGAATGTGAAAGTAGCTTTATTTCCAAACACAGACTCGCTTCCCATGGAAGAATTCACACACAGGACTTACCGTATAAGTGCATGGAATGTGGGAAGAGCTTCATCTTGAAGCAAAGTCTCACCTCCCATCTACGAATTCACAGTGGGGAGAAGCCGTACAAATGCTTCCAATGCGGAAAGAGCTTCGGTGGGAAGGCCCACCTTAGTTCTCATGAAAGAATTCACACAGGGGAGAAACCATATAAATGTTCAGAGTGTGGAAAGGGCTTCAAAGATGGTTCTAGCCTTCTCTTCCATCAAACAATTCACACCGGGGAGAAACCGTACGAATGCTTGGTGTGTGGAAAGGGGTTCAGAGACAAATCTCACCTTACGAAACATAAAAGAATTCACACAGGGGAGAAGCCATATAAATGCTTAGAATGTGGAAGGAACTTCAGCTGCAAGAAAAGTATCCTTAATCACCAAAGAATTCACATAGGTAAGAAACTATAAAAAAAAATGTTTGGAAAGAGCTCCAGGAGACGTACACGTTTTTGTTGTCATCAATGGATTCACAAAGGGCGGAACCATATTAATGTTTGACTATAGAATGGGGTTCAGGAAGAAGATACAACTCACTTCTCCAAAAGATTCACACAAAGGATCATTTATGTAAATACTTAAGAAGGTGTGGCCTTTACGTTGCCACAGAAGAGTCATCTCACTGAACATCAAAGAATTCACAATGGAGAGAGACCGTATACATAAATGCTTGGATTATGAAAAGGACCTCATCTGCAAAAAAGTTTCATTTCCCATCAGAGAATTCATACAAGGGGAAAAGAGAAGTTTGCTGTGTGTGTTGTTGGGGACTGGTTGGAAGCAGAGGAATGGTGGAGGAACTGGCTGGGGAACCATCAAGGGAAGAAGGCTCAGAGCCCAGGGATTGGTGGTGGGACAACAATGAGTGGTCAGAGGGAGAAGGGGGAGAAGTCTGATAGAAGGAGATGTGGGAAACTGAAGACGTAACCGGGCTTAGTGAGCTGGGAGAGTCTGTGGCAGAAAGAAGACCAGAATCAGGGGGGAAAGCCAAAGCAGGTGAATAGGAGGAGGGAGGTAAAGAGATAGAAATGCGAGGAGTCACAAATGTCTTCCTCTCCTGCTGCGACAAGCTCCTCTCACTCCCAGAACCAAAAGAGGCATGAAAAGGGAGGAGCAAAGACAGACACACAGGCACGGTCTCTGATTGCTTGGAAAAAGCTCTGGAGATGGCTCCCCACATAGATAGCTGTGAGGAGGCAGGGACCTTTAGTCTCGGCAACTGGTTTCATGGTTTTTTTTTTAAAAAAGGTAAAGTACTCCTGGACAATTAAGTCTAGTCAAAGGCAACTATGGGGTTGCAGCACTCATCTCGCTTTCAGGCCGAGGGAGCCGGCGTTTGTCCACAGACAGCTTTCTGGGACTAAACCGCTTCTGGCACAACAGGATACCGTGACCGAAACCAGAGTGCACGGAAACACTGTTTACCTTCCCACCACAGTGATACCTATTTATCTACTTGTACTGGTGTGCTTTAGAACGGCTAGGTTGGTAGGAACTGGGAAAGAACAACAGGAGCTCACCCCGTTGCGGGGATTCGAACTGCTGACCTTCTGATTGGCAAGCTCAAGAGGCTCAGTGGTTTAGACCACAGTGCCACCCACGTAATGGGGTAACACATACAGGGAATGAACTGCTCTGCTCATTAAGGCTGACACTCAGCCCAGTCTGTGAAGATCATGTTTTGCTAATAAAGAGATAACTCCAGCTTTGAACTGTGTGATTTCCTGGCTGGTGTTTGCTCAATGACGTGTGCAGGAAATGTTTCAGAAGAAGGCACAAACTCCAGTCGCCATCAAATAATTCATGAAGTGGGAGAGAGTGTATTATAATTTGGCATTGTTATTATGAGGCTATTATTGGATTATTGTAATTGGAAAACTAATAAAATCAGTATCACATATGAATAATAATAATAAAATGCCAAATGTTAAAAACTTAAGGGCAGGATGTGAGGAGAAAAGGAAGTAACTTTAAGGATCCAGTGCTGAGTTTAAAGACGTCTGGATGTCAGATCCCAGAATGTAAGTTTCTCAGGGAGAGGTATCTCCCAGCTCACTTTGCCAGGTCTGCCCCAAATGGTAGACCTGTTGCTGGCTGGTAGTTCTTTTTGTTCACTGGAAAAAGGTGTAGCCTTTTCAGGCTTTGCCTTCGGGTGGGAAGAGCATTGCGCCCGGGAAGGCAAGTGGGAGTCAAATAGACACTCAAGGGATAATCCAGAGAAAGAGCTTTATTGCTACCATCCGGGCTGGTAGAAGGAGTAAGCGTGATAACTCACAAGCTTAGCACAAGTTTTGCAGCCATGTGCACAGAGCATATATCCCCTCCAGTTCCCTCCTCTTTCTCCCCCTCCTCAGGAGCCCTGCCCCATGATGAGTTTTCCTGAGCATGAACAGAAACTCCTGTCTTGTGACTCCTGGCACCCTTCCCAGGAAAAGGGGGGTTGAGAAGCCTGTGCCTCTGGTTGGCATTGACAGAGCCTATTCATTAGCTTTGAAGCTTTTTGTGCTGATAAAAATAATGTTTTGCTTATGCAGCAGCATCTTGTGAGAAAAGCTGAAGCTGTGGATTTTAGAAGAGAGAAAAGGGAATTTGGGGGCCTAGCTACAGTTTTTGAGGCCTGGAGTGATTTCACAGACAGGATTTGGGTATCCTGTCCCTTCAAAGGGAGTGAAATGTAATTCTGCTTGCTCCCTTTAGTTTCCCCACCACCCTATGGAGATACGAGGCCACATATGGTCAAATCTCCTCACAGTAATAATAACAATAAAAATAATTTATTTATATCCCGCCCTCCCCAGCCGAAGCTGGTCTCAGAGCAGCTAACAACAATAAAAGTAACACAGCATTCTAAAATCAATTCATTTTAAAATCAATTCAAAATCAAATTAATGGCAGCCATTGGGCTAGAGTTCTGTGAGGATTACCAAAGGAGAGGGTCAGACTGTGCCTTGGCCAGCAACACAGCCTTTCGTGAGCAACTTTCTGGGGGCCGCATGCTGGTGGTGGGAGGGGCCAAAGGCAAAAGTGACCGATTGATGGAGGTGACATTTGTACAATAGGCTGAATTTCAGTCAGACACACACAGACAGGATTAATCCCACTTCCAGAGCGATACACGCCGTACGTCTGAAGCACATGGCTTCCCTAAGGAATTCTGGGAACTGCAGTTTACCTCTCATGGAGCTACCATTCCCGGCACCCTGAACAAACTACAGTTCCCAAGATTCTTTGGGGGGGGGGTTATGCATTTTAAATGCATGGTGTGTATGCAGCCGAAGAACACCACAAAAGCGGCATGGAGCCTGACTGGTGAAGGCGTTTGGCCTCCAGGACTGAGGTTCCCCCACCATGAACAGCTACAATTTCAAGCATGATGAATTCATTCAGGACTTTTATGGCTGGTTGTGTGTGTGTGGTGCAAAAAAAAGGGGGGACGGAAGGAAACAGCCAATCTGGAGGTGCAGCAACCCCTACTTTACTTGTTTTAACACCTCCCCTAAAGTTCTTCCCGTTCAAAATCGTTCTCAATGTCAGAGCTGAACGATGGGGGTGGAGACGCTCCTTCAGATATACTGGACTGAGGCCGTTTAGGGCTTTAAAGGTCAGCACCAACACTTTGAATTGTGCTCAGAAATGTACTGGGAGCCAATGTAGGTCTTTCAAGACCAGTGTTATGTGGCCTCAGCAGCCGCCCCCAGTCACCAGTCTAGCGGCCGCATTCTGGATGAATTGCAGTTTCCTGGTCACCTTCAAAGGTAGCCCCACGTAGAGCACATTGCAGTAGTCCAAGCGGGAGATAACTAGAGCATGCACCACTCTGGCGAGACAGTCTGCGGGCAGGTAGGGTCTCAGCCTGCGTACCAGATGGAGCTGGTAGACAGCTGCCCTGGACACAGAATTGACCTGCGCCTCCATGGACAGCTGTGAGTCCAAAATGACTCCCAGGCTGCGCACCTGGTCCTTCAGGGGCACAGTTACCCCATTCAGGACCAGGGAGTCCCCCACACCTGCCCGCCCCCTGTCCCCTCAAAACAGTACTTCTGTCTTGTCAAGATTCAACCTCAATCCGTTAGCCGCCAGCCATCCTCAAACCTGACACACTAACCACTGCTGGCTTTAAAAGAAGACTGGAGGAAGTCATGGACGACTAGGCCATCTGTGGCTGCTACTAGTGATGCCTCTGGGTGCCAGTCACTGGGAATCTCAGGAAGGTTGGAGTCCCACGCTCCAACCACTGCACCGCACCACACGGGCTCCGTGAAGTCAGCTCCTTGCGTCGGCAGAGAACGAGACTCTTAATCTCAGGGCCGTGGGTTCAAGCCCCACGTTGGGCAAAAAAGATCCCTGCATCGCAATGGGGTTGGACTTGATGACCCCTGGGGGTCCCTTCCAACTCAACAGTTCTATGGCTCTATGTCATAAAGTGTGGCTCATGGCCAGCCTTTTCCACGCCTCCCTGAATTGACCCAGTTGATGGTGGAGTTGTTGCTGTTGTTTTAGAAACCTGATGATGCTTTGGACACACACCCCAGTCCTTGCTTAGAGCGTGGTGCTGATAACGGCAAGGTTGCAGGTTCGATCCCCGTCTGGGGCAGCTGCCTATTCCTGCATTGCAAGGGGGTTGGACTGGATGATCCTCAGGGTCCCTTCCGAGGCCACAATTCCACAACATTACGATTCTATGCACGGCTTCAGCTCGGCCTACCTCACAAGGTTGTTGTGAGGATAATATGAGGCGGGCAGGAGAACCAAGTGCGTGGTATGGGGGTCCTTTGTGGGAAAAGTCCTTGGATATATACCGTATTTTTCACTCCATAAGACGCACCCGACCATAAGATGCACCTAGTTTTTAGAGGAGGAAAACAAGAAAAAAAATATTCTGAACGAAACAGTGGATGTATGATTTTTGTGGTTCGTGCTGTGGCCACAGACATGTGATTTGACGGTGAGTTTGGGGTAGCCCAATGCAAAAATCCTGAGGATCCGTGTGGATCCGTGCTTTGTAACTACGTTTTTGCGCCATTGCGGCCCCACAGATCAGTGGATGTGTGGGGGGTTTTTTGTGCAGGCTGTAGCCATGGACATGCTATGTGATCTGATGGTGAATTTGGGGTGATCCAATGCAAAAATCCTGAGGATCCATGTGGATCCGTGCTTTGTAACCACGTAACAAACAAACAGCCTTGTGGCGGGGCTGTTTCCATGGGCTATGTTCGTTTGGGAACCTGAAGTGCGCCTGCAAAGCACCCATCTGCCTTTCCTCCTTGGCGGCTGCTTTGAGAGCAAGCCGTGCAGAGGCTGGGCTTCAAAGGGTTAAAACGAAGCGAGCTCGATTCCTAGAGAAGAAGTGAATTGGGAGGGGGGGAGGAGGAGGAGGCGTCCTCTGCAGCCAAAGCACCTCCTCTCTGAAGCCCCTTTTCCTGCCTGGCTCTTCCACTTGGGAGGGTCATTTCCAAATCCTGCGTCTGCAATCTGGTGAGCCTCCGCCCCCGTACCCATTGCACAGGGTGCCCCAGGGAGAGGGTGCCCGCGGGGGGGCCTGTTTATCCCATGCCCCCCAAATCAGGGAGTGGGGCTCCCTCCAGCAAGGCCAGGAAGCCGCTGGGGGTGCGCTGTGTCTGCATCTCTTGAGACGGCCAATGCATTTCCGCGGGTTGGTCTAGATGACACAAGGGGACCCTTTCCAGCTCTGCGGTTCTATGAATTGTGCATTGCACTGCGATTAGAATTAATGCCCCTCCAATAACACACACGGGACGCGGGTGGCGCTGTGGGTTAAACCGGCTTGCCGATCAGAAGGTCGACAGTTCGAATCCCCGCGACGGGGTGAGCTCCCGTTGCTCGGTCCCTGCTCCTGCCAACCTAGCAGTTCGAAAGCACGTCAAAGTGCAAGTAGATAAATAGGTACCGCTCTGGCGGGAAGGTAAACAGCATTTCCGTGCGCTGCTCTGGTTTGCCAGAAGCGGCTTAGTCATGCTGGCCACATGACCAGGAAGCTGTACGCCAGCTCCCTCGGCCAATAAAGCGAAATGAGCGCCGCAACCCCAGAGTCGGTCACGACTGGACCTAATGGTCAGGGGTCCCTTTACCTTTACTTAATAACACACACATGATGGCAATTCAGACACCAGCTCCTGAGATGCGTGCGCGGGACTTTCATTCAGATCCCTGGGGTTGGACTAGATGACCCCCAGGGTCCCTTCCAACGCCACGATTCTACGCTTCTGCCAGAAGGCACTTAACTTGAAAACTGGCAAGCCATCAAACCCAGCAAAGGAAAACCCGGCTGAAAATAAGCGTTTGCTTACTTGCTCTTGTTCCATTTTGTGAAGCGCAAACGCCCGGCCTTCAGCCCAGGATTGCAAGACAGTTTATATATGAATTTAAGAATGGAAAGAAAATAGGGATCCGAAAAACCCAGCTGGGAGCAGCAGGCTATGACAGAGCAGGATTGCAGGAGAGGCCAGGAAACCCTCTTTCCCTCCCACCCACCCATAGGTGCTGAATTGTAGGAGATCTAGGAGTTTTTCAGCTTCAAAACCATAGGTGGGAAGAGTTGCTGTTAGTGAGATGTACCATATTGGCCCAAATATAAGCCACACTCCCCCTACCCCAATTCTGATCGTGAAAAGTTAAATTGCAGCTTATATTCTGGACCTTACGCTGCTGGCAAAGTGGCTCCCCCCCCCCCCCCAAGTAGCCTATATTCGGCTTATATTCGGGCCAATATGGTAAATAAAGATTTGGAAAGGAGATGGATGGATGGATGGATGGATGGATGGATGGATTCAGCGTACCCTACCTCACAGGGAAGGGTAGACAAGATACTGATCCAGACCTTTGGGCGAGCTGTTTGGCCTCTGCATTTGTTCCTAAGGGGTTTATCCGTTATTGCTGGTGTTGTATTGCATAATTAAAAATATTCCTGTTATCTTTCTTTGTTACAATTCCATGCCGTCTTTCCTCTGAGGACCACAGGGCGGTTTACAATAGAAAAACACACAGATGCATAACATAATAGCAAAATAAACCATAAGCCCCTCCCCCCCATGACTAAAACGGGGAGGGGGTATATCTTCAGCAGCAATTTAGGCTTTAAGCATGTGTGGAATAAGCGGATTAATCAACTGTGTGCAAGCAATGCAGTGAATCCAATTGACATTGCTTTTGTTGAGTGGCAACTCTGGTTTAAACCAGTGGTTGCCAACCTTTTTTTGGCCATGCCCCACCTAAGCATCTCTAAAATCCTTATCCCCTCCCAATGACATATAATTCTTATTATTCAAAAAGTGAATTCCTATTCATGTGGAGGAAGCCTAAAAGACCATTAGCTGTTAATAACTGATTCTTGAATTGCCCCCGTTAAAAATCAAATTGCCCCCCTGTTGGGAACCAACTCCAGTGTTATTTACTTATTCTATATCAGTGGTGTAGGATTGAAGTTGTTGACCATTTTTTTTAGGAATTTACCTCAGTGTTGTTTGTTGAGATATTTTTTATGGTTGAAGTTGTTGGGTTTTTTTTAGCACTGAAGTTATTGAGGTGTTTTTTTTAGGATTTTACCCCAGGAAATAAACTGCCACAGGGGGCTGGATTAAACTGACCAGCAGGCCAGATTAGGCTCCCTAAACGGATGTGCCTGAATACGGGGGGGGGGGGGATCTTCTTTTCCCTTTCTGCCCTCCAGTCTCTTTGAATGTCAGCGTTCATCAGCCTTTCCTTCCTAGAGAAAGAAGACCTGGTTGTGAATAGGATTGGGCGACATCCGGTTTTTAACATCGTGATATATCACCAGCTAAAATCAGGATGTCTTAAATAAGAATGGAGCAATGCAGAGTCATTGGCCGGCTTCACGGTTTTTCCTGCATCGTGATTTTTGCAAAGCACACACACACATCATGATTCACGATATATTGCCAGGTCAAAAATTATGAATCACAATATGGACTTGAAAACCGGGTTTGGACGATATATCGATATATCGCCCAGCCCTGATTGAGAGCCATGCTTCTTTAACAAATTGTTGTTGTTTAGTTGTTTAGTTGTGTCCGCCTCTTCGTGACCCCCTGGACCAGAGCACGCCAGGCACTTCTGTCTTCCACTGCCTCCCGCAGTTTGGCCAAATTCATGCTGGTAGCTTCGAGAACACTGTCCTTTAACTAATACAGGGAATCTTTTTACTGACAACATGATAATTCTAACACGGAAAAAATGTCTTGGCTTTGCAGGATTTGGTTGTGAAGAGATCAATGAGAACAGCCTTGCCCTGAGAAACAGACCAAAAAAGGCTGAGGGAAGAGACCACAATTCTATCAAGATTTGGAGCAGTGGGAGATTCTGGGAAAGAGCCATGCAGGAGATCCTGAGCGAGGAAGATGCCCTCAGCTCAGACGTACAGCACCAGCGTTTCAGGCAATTCCGCTACCAGGAGGCCAAGGGGCCCCGAGAGGTTTGCAGCCGACTCCACCACCTTTGCCGTGAGTGGCTGAAGCCGGAGCGACACACCAAGGCTCAGATCCTGGATTTAGTGATCTTGGAGCAGTTCCTGGCTGTCCTCCCCCCAGAGATGGAGAACTGGGTGAGGGAATGTGGAGCAGAGACCAGTTCCCAGGCAGTGGCCCTGGCTGAAGGTTTCCTCCTGAGTTGGGCAGAGGACCAGAAGCAGGAGAAGGAGCAGGTGAGAGCGTTTCATCTTGATTATGGATGTGTCCTGCAAAATATGTTGAATTAAAAATTACCATCATCCCTAATAATAATATTTTATTTACACCCTGCCCATCTGGCTGGCTCTCCCCAGCCACTCTGGGTGGCTCCCAATAGAATATTAAAAACATGATAAAACATCAAACATTAAAAACTTCCATAAACAGGGCTGCCTTCAGATGTCTTCTAAAAGACACATAGTTGTTTATCTCCTTGACATCTGATGGGAGGACGTTCTACAGGGAGGGTGCCACCACCGAGAAGGCCCTCTGCCTCGTTCCCTGTTACCTCACTTCTCTCAGGGAGGGAACCGCCAGAAGGCCCTTGGAAGAGACCTCAGTGTCCAGGCTGAACGATGGGGGTGGAGACACTCCTTCAGGTATACTGGGCCGAGGCCATTTAGGGCTTTAAAGGTCAGCACCAACACTTTGAATTGTGCTCGGAAACATACTGGGAGCCAATGTAGGTCCTGCAGGACCCTGAACATTGTATTTGCTGGGGCTGGTGGTGTTTGGAATCTGCAGGGAACCCTTGAGTTTGAAACTCCCAAGGGTCTTGGAATGGAAGGGTTGATATAAAAAAACCTCTGTTCGTTTTCCTACTTTCACTGGAAATCAGCCAAACAGGAATATCCTTCAGGTTTCTGCCTTTGCCATCCCTTTTTTTAATTCTTCTCCCCATGTGATGTCTTCTATCCCTATTGCAGTTTCGGGTAAAGGATCCAGCGACAGAAATGAGGACTGATTTCCCTAAAGCAGAGAGGGCTCCGTCCGTCAAAGGTCAGAGGTCACCAGGTACGGATTCAAGGCTTCTATTTCAGTTTGTTTTCTCTCTGCATATTTTGAAGGAAAACCTTTTATCTTTTGGGGGAAGGGACTTGCTTTACAGTGGAACCTCTGGTTGCGTACTTAATTCGTTCCGGGGGTCCATTCTTAACCTGAAACTGTTCTTAACCTGAGGTACCACTTTAGCTTATGGGGCTGCTGCACCGCCGCTGCACAATTTCTGTTCTCATCCTGAAGCAAAGTTCTTAACCCGAGGTACTATTTCTGGGTTAGCGGAGTCTGTAACCTGAAGCGTTTGTAACCCGAGGTACCACTATTTGCAACACTTCACACCCCTGATTTCTGGTTAGGAACCAGAGACAGGTTTTCACACGATCGAAATATAAAGAGTATAAACTGCTGGAATGCACTCATCATATAGGACCTTTCCTAAATGAGACATGCAGTCGCTCAATCTTGCGTGTTTTAATGGGTTCGTGGCACATTTGTCTCTCGCAGGTGACAGAATGAAGCCACACATACCTGCTCAGACATCTCTTCTTTGCGGTGTTGAAGAAGGAGCAGCTGTGAAACCAGATCAGGTGGGAGGATAAATCACTGGGGGAAAGAGGCCACTTTCCTCTCTGATCCTAAACAGATCTCTCTCTTCCTCTTAGCTTCTGTCAAAGCTGCCCCTAATGAAGGCTGTTTCTGCCCCACCCCCCCAAAAAACCCCATTTAAATATTGAGAATAATGACCAGCCACTTCACCACAACTAGTATTTTGGTTGCGGCTAGTCGATAATCTTTGTGCAATGTGCAAGGAGGAAAAACGTTTTCTGTTTCTTTCAGGGTCCGGTATCCTTTGAGGATGTGGCTGTGTGGTTCACAGAAGAGGAGTGGGATCTGCTGGATCCTGACCAGAGAGCTCTGCATAACCAAGTCATGGAGGAGAGCCTTTGGATTCTGTCCTCTCTCGGTGAGGCTCTCTCTTGGATCATAATCTCTGTTTCATAATTCAGAATTTCTTTATATAGTGAAACTCTGTAATCTGGCGTAGCTCAGCATCCCTGCCTGTGCGATAAATGTTGTAAGGACGTTCTCTGAATACACACCCTCCACTTTTGCCATTCTTAGCAATGGCCTGACTGGTTTAAACTGGCCAGGCTTTTTCAGAATGGAAGTTTCAGATCTGATATGGCAGTGGAACTAGTATCTCAGCTATTTCCTGGTTGGCTGGAAAGACGACTGATGTCAGAAGATGGAGCAGATTTCTTGATTGGGCCAAACAGCAAACCATGGCAGAAAAAAGGCTGGGATTTCCTGGTTTCAAGTACCCACAAATGCGAGATTCTTTTGCCTCTCAAAAAACATCTGATCAGGAGTCAAGTATGCTCTCTTTCAGAGCCTACATCCATTTCCCCCACTTCTCCCCAATAAAAAAGTTATATACGTATATATTTTCCCACATTTGGCTTGAAAGACCCTTGTTTGGAGTTCTCACTAAACCTTTTCCTCACATGCTCGTATGCTGCATCTAACCTCCATTTTGGTTCCATCATACATTGTCAGGTTTCTGTACAGCTTTTTATTTTGGGCCTTGGGATGGCTTTGTTTATATTTTTCCTATAGGTGGTGTGGAGGGAGGAGTACCAAAAAGGGGATTCAGATACTCCCTCCTACAGATGGGCAGACCAGCTTATGGAACGAGGATCTTCCTCACTATTGGGTGCCTATTGTGATTTTTTTTGGGGGGGGGGTGAGGTTTGATGACCCTTACAGGACTGGGACAGCCAAAATAGTGCCCTCTTAAGGTTTTTGGATTTTAGTTTCCATCATTCCTGAGCATTGCGATTGTGGCTGGGGCTGAGAGGAATGGGAGTGGTTACCCCTATTTTATGAAAAGGGTTTGGCCTAAAAAAGTCTGGGATGCTCTGCCATTTGCCCCCCATATCTATCCTCCAGTTGTTTCTTTTGCAACTAACAGTTTGGAAGAGATAATAATAATAATATTTTTTTATTTATACCCCGCCCATCTGGCTGGGTTTCCCCAGCCACTCTGACCGACTCCCAACAGAATATTAAAAACACAATAAAACATCAGACATTAAAAACTTCCCTAAACAAGGCTGCTTTCAGGTGTCTTCTAAAAGTCAGATAGTTGTTTATTTCCTTGACATCTGATGGGAGGGCATTCCACAGGGCAGGTGCCACTACCGAGAAGGCCCTCTGCCTGGTTCCCTGTAACCTCACTTCTTGCAAGGAGGGAACTACCAGAAGGCCCTCAGAGCTGGACCTCAGTGTCCGGGCAGAACGATGGGGGTGGAGACGCTCCTTCAGGTATACTGGACCGAGGCCGTTTAGGGCTTTCAAGGTCAGCACCAAAACTTTGAATTGTGCTCGGAAACATACTGGAAACCAATGTAGATGACGCATGGTTCTTCCATTTACCTGTACAACAACCTTGTGAAGTAGACCGAGGTGAGTGTGATTAGCCCAAGATCACCCGACGAATTTCCTATCTGAGCTAGAAGCTGAACTCAACAGCCTATATAGCACAGCAGCTGGAATTAATCTGTGGTCAGACCTGCCTCCCATCTAAATCCTTCCAGCTCTTCCTTGATCACAAGTGTTGAAGCTGCTCAGTGATTTGAGACTATGTTTTCCCCTCAGGCTCTTATCTGCTTACTCTCTCTCTTCTTTGCAGAAGGTGACGAATGGGAAACCCAGAATAAGGGAGATCTACTTGGGAAAGAGACATTGGAAAGGGAGGGACGTGAAGGGAAGAGGAGAAATAGATTGTCCGCTTCTCGGGGATGTGACTACCGTGAAATTGCGGCCCGAGAAGAAACGGATGAGAGAAAGGCAACAGGGATACCCTGTGTGAACAGGGGAAGTCTCCGTTCTAAAAGGGGACGTAAACCCAGCGTCAAAACCCACTCAAGGGAGAATTCTTACGAGCACTCGGAGTGCGGAACAAGCATCATTTGTGTCGCTTCCCATCAAGGAATTCACGGCACGGAGAAACCCTATATTTGCGCCGAGTGTGGGAAAAGCTTCCCTTACACCTCTGGCCTTATTTCTCACCGAAGGGTTCACACGGGGGAGAAGCCATACCGGTGCTTGGAATGCGGAAAGACCTTCAGCCAGAAGAAACACCTCAGCAACCACCGGGCGATTCACACGGAGGAAAAACCGTACCGGTGCCTGGAGTGCGGGCGGAGCTTCAACTGCCGCTATAATCTGATTCGGCACCAGAGGATCCACACCGGGGAGAAACCGTATCAATGCCCGGATTGTGGGAGGGGCTTCCGGCACAGCTCCACCCTCTCTTCCCACCAGAGACTTCACACCGGGGAGAAACCGTATCCATGCCCCGAGTGTGGGAAGCGCTTCAGGGATCGGTCTCACCTGTATTCCCACCAAAAAGTTCACACGGGAGAGAAACCGTACGCTTGTCTGGAATGCGGGAAGCGCTTCTACCAGAAGAAGCACCTACGTAAGCATCAGGTAATTCACACAGAGGTGAAGCCCCACAGGTGCTTGGAGTGCGGAAAGGGCTTCCGCTGCCGTTTCAAGCTAACCCGCCACCAAAGGACCCACACGGGGGAGAAGCAGTATCGGTGCTTGGAGTGCGGAAAGAGCTTCAAATGCAGTGCCGCCCTTTGTTCCCATGAAAGGATCCACACGGGGGAGAAGCCGTTTCAGTGCCCTGAGTGTGGGAAGGCCTTCAGAGCAAAGTCCCACCTGTATTCCCACAAAAGGATTCACACGGGAGAGAAACCCTACCCGTGTCTGGAATGCGGGAAGGCCTTCCGGCGGCAGGAGCACCTTGTCAACCACCAAGCGTTGATTCACACGGCGAATAAGCCCTATAAATGCCTGGAGTGCGGAAAGAGTTTCAGCCAGGCTATTTACCTTACGTACCATCAGAGCATTCACACGGGGGATAAATCGTACCCGTGCTTGGAGTGCGGGAAGAGCTTCTACAGCCAGAAAAGCCTCAGTTCCCATCAAAGAGCTCACAAAAGGGACCGCAAGAAGATCAAACCTCTCCATTCTGAAGGAAATCAGCCCTGAGTGCTCACTGGAAGGACAGATCCTGAAGCTGAGACTCCAATACTTTGGCCACCTCATGAGAAGAGAAGACTCCCTGGAAAAGACCCTGATGTTGGGAAAGACTGAGAGCACAAGGAGAAGGGGACGACAGAGGACGAGATGGTTGGACAGTGTTATCAAAGCTACCAGCATGAGTCTGACCAACCTGCGGGAGGCAGTGGAAGACAGGAGTGCCTGGCGTGCTCTGGTCCATGGGGTCATGAAGAGTCGGATACGACTAAACAACAACAAATAAAAAAAGGGGGAGTGGGGGAGAGAATTTGAGTAGAAATACAAACTTCTGTTGTCGTAAAGCGGAGAGCAGTATTTATTCTTGATGTCTTTTTTAAAAGGTTCAGTGGTAATGCACACAGGGGAGAAGCTGTGCTTCCGGAAAGGAACAAATTTTCATGAAAGTGAATTCTTTAATTTGCCCTAAATAATGCAAGAGGGTAGGGAACAAACAGAATGCTAGAGGGTGAAAATCCCATTTGCGAATATTTATTTCCGATTTACTGGCGGAAGAGGTGAAGGCATTTTTTTGTTTCTTAAACTTGTAAGTCCTGCAAAGAGAAATCGGCAGCATCTTCTACATGAAAAAGAGCAAAAAATATGCATGTAAAATAAAACAGTGTCTTCACAAGGGATGATCAAGTGTGAAATGAACTGTATTGAAATGTCTGCATCTCTTGCATTCAAAGACCGCGCAGGATCAAAATTAACAATTAAGGATTGCTGAATCCAGCTTGGTCACACCTAAGCTCCACAAGCTCCTTTCTTAAAAGTGTAGCAAATCCACAGCTGTCCTGATGGCATGGCCTTTTTCATTTAAAAGAGCACCATTGCTCCCATTTCAGAAGGGGCTTTGGGAGTCCTAAATGCATGCTAGCAGAGATCAGCTCTCTGTCCCTGTGGGAGGTGGGGTGTGTGTGTGTGTGTGTGTGTGTGTGTGTGTGTGGAAATTGGGATACTTCCCACCATCACAATCCAGGATCCCATCCCTGCTGTAGTGAAAGAGGGGAAATGGGAAAATCAGATTAAAAAAATAAGTGTTTTATGTCGCTGATTCGGGAGCTGAGCTCACTGAATTCAAAGATGCCAATTTTGGAGGACGAGATGCATTCCCCTCCTCTTGACTGTCTGAAAAGGGGTATATCACCCTCATTTCCTCAAGGTCTGCTCTCATAGGCTTTTCTGGTGTTCCTCTCCGGGTTGGGTTTTTTTAAAGTCAAACTTTTTATTGGACAAGAGCGCCTATGATAGCTCTGCAAAGGCCCAGACCAGCTTCTAGTCACAGTCTCTGAAGCTAACTACCGTATTTTTTGCTCTATAAGACTCACTTTTTCCCTCCTAAAAAGTAAGGGGAAATGTGTGTGCGTCTTACGGAGCGAATGCAGGCTGCGCAGCTATCCCAGAATCCAGAACAGCAAGAGGGATCGCTGCTTTCACTGCGCAGCGATCCCTCTTGCTGTTCTGGCATCTGAGATTCAGAATATTTTTTTTCTTGTTTTCCTCCTCCAAAAACTAGGTGCGTCTTGTGGTCTGGTGCATCTTATAGAGCGAAAAATACGGTAATTCCTTTTGTAACGACAATGTTTTCCCTCCCTTCTTAATATGTACATCCACACTGTGGCCAGAGAAAAGGGCTCATCTTTTTTAAAAAATAAAAAATAAGTAGAGCACGGTTGGTCACACCTGTCTAATCCAGTGGTTCCCAAACCTTTTCAGGTCACCTTGGTCTCAGAAATTCATTCTGAGTGCCCCTTCCTTTTGAGAAAGCGTCATTCAGAATAGTGGTTTTGCAGGACCCTACAAAGGAAGATAACAACACACATTCAAAATAGTAACTTTTATTCCATTTGCACATTTTTTCAAAACTATCTAGTTTAATGATTCAGGTAGGTAACCGTGTTGGTCTGACAAAGTCGAAATAAAAAAAAATGGCCAGTAGCTCCTTAGAGACCTACTAAGTTTGTTCTGGGTATAAGCTTTCGTGTGTATCTGAAGTGTGCATGCACACAAAAGCTTATACAGTGGTACCTCGGGTTACGAACTTAATTCGTTCCAGAGGTCTGTTCTTAACCTGAAACTGTTCTTAACCTGAAGTGTCACTTTAGCTAATGGGGCCTCCTGCTGCTGCTGCGCCGCCGGAGCACGATTTCTGTTCTCATCCTTAAGCAAAGTTCTTAATCCGAGGTACTATTTCTGGGTTAGTGGAGTCTGTAACCTGAAGCGTATGTAACCCGAGGTACCACTGTACCCAGAGCAAACTTAGTTGGTCTCTAAGGTGCTACTGGTCATTTTAATTTATTTATTATTTACCGTATTTTTCGCCCTACAGGACGCACTTTTTCCCCTCCAAAAATGAAGGGGAAATGTGTGTGCGTCCTATGGGGCAAATGCAGGCATTCGCTGAAGCCTGGAGAGCGAGAGGGGTTGGTGCGCACCGACCCCTCTCGCTCTCCAGGCTTCAGGAAGCTATCCGCAAGCCTTGGGAGCCCGCGGGAGTTCCCGCCAGGACAGCAGCCTGCAGCCCAAAACCCGGGGCGTGCTGAGCTCAGCGTGCCCCAGGCTTCGGGCTTCGCGGGAGCCCGGTGCGACTTCGCGCCGGGCTCCCGCGGCTTGCAGAGAGCTGCCTGCATCCCTGCGGATAGCAGCCTGTTCTGGGGGCTGGGGTTGGGGAAGCTCGGGCTTCCCCCGCCCCAGCCCTGCGCCGGGGGGGGGGGAAATAATTTTTTTTCTTTATTTCCCCCCCAAAAAACTAGGTGCACCTTATGGGGCGAAAAATACAGTAATTTAATGAATCAACAAACTTAACGCAGTGATACCAGCTTTGTAAAGTCTGCCAGTCATTTACAACCCCCAGGGCTCCGCTGAAAGCTGCAAGGATGCTCAGTTGTATGGTCCGCGAGGCAGCATGCCCCCTTTTAAGGACTTCCAGATTGGTTTGAGTGATGGTTTTTGACCAATTGGAACCCCATGTCATGTTTGACAGGTAAGTAGTTTGGGGTGTGTGGTGGTGGAAACCTGCAGGAGCGTCCCCACCCCCATTGTTCAGCCCGGACACTGAGGTCCAGCACCGAGGGCCTTCTGGCGGTTCCCTCAGTGTGAGAAGAGAGGTTACAGGGAACCAGGCAAAGGGCCTTTTCGGTAGTGGCACCCACCCTGTGGAATGCCCTCCCACCAGATGTCAAGGAAATAAACAACTACCTGACTTTTAGAAGACATCTGAAGGCAGCCCTGCTTAGGCAAGTTTTTAATGTTTGATATTTTACTGCTTTTAATATTATTACTATTCTGTTGGGAGTCACCCAGAGTGGCTGGGGAGACCCAGCCAGAAGGGCGGGGTATAAATAATAAATTATTATTATTATTATTAAATGGAAAGCTCAGCAATCCTCTGAAGAGCACAGGTGGGTTTTTCCCCCATTTTCTTACTGAGCGCAGTGGGGGCTCTGTCTTTCACCAGGCAGGATGGGAAGATAAAAATGAGGAAAAGGAGCTGATCCCATTCATCCCAGAACTATGTGCTAACAGGACCACTCATCTGAAATGCCCCTGCCCCAAAACTTTCCCAACTTAAAATATTTATAGCTTGCTCTTCCCATTACCAAAGGTAAAGCTGCCAGCGATAACCCCATAAAATCCAAGCAATAAAAATAATCATCCTAGCAACAAGTTCAGCTCATCTGAAGGTCTGGATCAGATTCCCAACCCCTTCCCTTCCCTTTCTTTGTCCGTATCTTGTAACACAGACAATTCAGCCAGAGAGGAAAAATAACAAATCACATCTCCTCCCAGCTAAATTATGCACCATTTTGCTGCTGCAACACTAACTAGAACTCATCTTTAAATTGCTTTTTTTTTGTCTCTGCCTTTGCATTTGGTTTTCTACGTTTAGGCTGTTTCGGTTTTGTTTCCCTTTAAGATAAACATGCTTACTTTGTTTCAATGTGCGGCTGTCTCCTTCAGTTGTTGTTTTTTTTTAAAAAGGCTGGCTTTTTGCAGCGTTTCCGATTCGGCCTCTCTACGTGCCTGCAGTTGCATGTCTGAATGGCACGCGCCCGCATCAGGCAGGAAGGTGAATGAATGAATGAACTTTGAATGAATGAAGGCAGGAAGGTGGTTAATGCCAGTGCCTAATTAAAGGGGATTAACTCACATCAAAGTATGATTGATTACCCACACCCAGGATAGAAAAGGCATATTATCCCCTCCCAGCCCCCCAAGGGACACGGGTGGCGCTATGGGTTAAACCACAGAGCCTAGGACTTGCCGATCTGAAGGTCGGCGGTTCGAATCCCTGCGACGGGGTGAGCTCCCATTGCTCAGTCCCTGCTCCTGCCAACCTAACAGTTCGAAAGCACATCAAAGTGCAAGTAGATAAATAGGTAACACTCCAGTGGGAAGGTAAACGGCGTTTCCGTGTACTGCTCTGGTTCGCCAGAAGTGGCTTAGTCATGCTGGCCACATGACCCGGAAGATGTACGCCGGCTCCCTCGGCCAGTAAAACGAGATGAGCGCCGCAACCCCAGAGTCGGCCATGACTGGACCTAATGGTCAGGGGTCCCTTTACCTTTACCTAGCCCCCCCCCCATCATAATGACCTCCTGATTTGGGGGGAATGGGACCACCAAGCGCCTTTCCCCCAATGTGCAAATTGGGGGTTTCTCACCAAGTTGCAGGAGGTTCCAGCAACCCAGCGCTTGGCACAAGTGAAAGCTCCTTCTTTGCAAGGGAGAAAAGCCTTGCAGGAAAAGGGCCTGGAAAGACCTGCCCCCTCTCCTTACCTCACATTCCCTTCCTCTCCTGGAAACCAGTTAGGGTTCATGTTAACCCTTGCAAGCCCAAGCATCAGGATTCCCCCAATCCATCCCCTTCCTCTGTGCATTTCTTCCAAGACAGGAGCCAAGTGCGAAACATGCACCCTTTGAAGCAAACCTCTTGTTTATCTTGGTACGCTGAGAGCAGAGAGTCAGCCTGACCCGGCTGTTGGCAGAGAATGGCAAGACTGAACAGGAAAATCAGGAGGATAAAAACTTCGATAGAGAATGGGACAATTTTAGATTATATATAAAAGAACACTGTAAATGAGTTTATAATATTCGGTGAACAAAGGTATTCCAAGAATCCACGGAGCGGGGGAGGGAAGCCCTAAGATTCGGAAAAATCTTGTTTTAATTTTAACAATTGTAATAATTTTATTTGTGTGAATGAATTTGTAAAACCAAATAAAACTTTTGCAAAACTGGCTACTGGCAGAGAAACCTCTTGCGAATACTCTTGACTTCTTCATTCCTACAGCAAATGGATTCTCCAATGTGAAAACAGGAGTGAAACGGTGGCATAGTTTTGTTCCATATTGCAAGTACTTAAGGGGGGGAAAGTTTTATTATAAATATACAAAACACACATCACAAAATGCACAATATATACACGTAACAGATAATATTATTCACTGATAAAATGTGTTTCATCAATGGGAGTTACCAAATTAATCTGCACTTATACAATCTTGTTCTTGCTTTACATAGGAGTTAATATATGCAAGGTAACTCATTAATCCAATGTGCGGTCAGATCACTTTGATATCCATATTACATTGCAGTATGATGCAATAATGGCTTTCCACGTTGCTCAGAGATTTCTTTCTTTTGCCTGCCTTCGCATAAATGATTGGATCCTGTTAACATTACTGCTGAGGCTATATCCTTTTGTGGAGGAATACAAGAGAGCCTCCATTTGGTGGCTAGAACTATTCCCACTATGTGTTTAAATAAAAGATTTACTGCAATTCCAAAGGGTCCCTTCTTATTGTCAATTTATTTCAGCCACTTACATACCGCTTAACATCATAGCCTCTAAGACTGGTGTGCAGTGTAGTTGAGAAGATACAAGAAAACTAAAACTAACCATAAAATCTGAATAGCTTACTTAAACGCCAGCTTTTTAAGGTCATCACTGAGCACAGGAAGCTCAACAAAACTGATCTCAGACCCTATTTTCCAGGGACAGTCCCAGATTTACAGAAGCCGCCCCAGTTTCTGATTTCATCCTGGAATGTCCTGCTTTTCCTTCGGAAATCCCTATTTTCATCCTAGAAATATTGGAGGGTATGGAGTTATTGCGACCCCCCCGAGCCAAGGAGATAAGTAACTATACAACCTTTAGAAGGCAGCCCTGTACAGGGAAGTTTTTTTAAAGGTTTTATGTTTTTATATATATTGGAAGCAGCCCAGAGTGGCGGGGAATTAAGGACATCCCTATTTTCATTGGGAAAATGTTGGAGGGTATGTGATTTTAACTGGGAGTTCCACACAATTGGGCCTGCCACATAGCTCCTGATGGAGATGAACCACAACATCATGAGGGATCGTAACAATGACTGCTTTGAAGACCTTGATCGGGCCGGGATATAAGGAATCAGGCAGTCCTAAGAATATACTGGGCCCAGGTTCTTAATACAAGAACCTTTAACTTTTCCCAGCGGGCAACCAGCGCAAGCTTTTAAACACCAGAGTTACGTGCTAGCAATAGTCTGTCCCCCGCCACTGAGACAACCAAGTAAAATATATACAGTCGCACCTTGGAAGTAGAACGCATATCTGTTCCGGAAGTCTGTTCAACTTCCAAAATTTTCAAAAACCAAAACGCAACTGCTGATTGGCTACAGGAAGCTCCATTGGACATCTAGCTTCCAAAATAGTTCGCAAATTGGAACACTCACTTCCCGGTTTGCAGTGTTGGGGAGCCAAAACGTTCGAGAACTAAGCTGTTCGAAAACCAAGGTACGACTGTATTGCAGATACGGAACTGCCAGTATTTTCGTTCATCTGAGCTATAACGTTCCCACAGGAATAGGCGATTTTATTTTTCCACCATGTACGAATGGCGTTTTCATCATTTTCAACAAATGGTGATAATATTGTGACTTCTGCGGTGCGAGGTACCAGCAATACAAAACACTGTAAACACTTACTTTGGGTGGTGTGCAACGTTAGTCCTGCTCAAGAGTAGACCCACTGGAGATATGATTGGGTTCATTAATTTCAGAGGGTTTACTCTGAGTAGGACTTAGTTGAATGCAACTCTTTGAGATTAACAGAGAGATGTTTGGCCCATTGCCAGTATAAATATGTATATTTCCAATGAGGAGACTGAAGACATGTCTCACACAGAAGGGGATCTCTGGATGACATTTCCTGCCTGTAATGTCACTACCAGTCAACGAAGACAATATTGAGCTAGATGGATCAATGCTCTAACTTGGTATTGATTTAATTCTCTTTGATATGTCAGCAAAAATTGCAAGCTCGCTTCTGGACCACCGTGTTGTGTCAGCAACTAACTGAAAACAAAGATTGCTTGAGAACTTTAATAACACAACATATTTACAGATCTCTCCCATGGCTGCAAAACAGCTACAGTCAAACCTCGGGTGTCGAACGTAATCCGTTCCAGAAGCCCGTTTGGCTTCCGAAATGTTCCAACAACCAAGGCGCGGCTTCCGATTGGTTGCAGGCCGCGTTGGACATTCAGCTTCGTTCCAAAACTGGAGCATTTACTTCCATGTTTTCATCATTCGGGAGCCGAAGCCGAAGCGTTCGAAAATGGAGCCGTTCGGGATCCAAGGTTTAACTGTATTATATTCGAGTTTGACTTTAGAGCAAAATTTATCTCTCTCGAATTCCTTTTCATATGTCCACGGTAAGGATTTCAAAGGAATCCTGGAATAGCTCATCTCCAATCTCCTGTACGATTTCCCCCGAGTGTGATTTTTGTGTGTGACAAGTGAGGTGTACCTTCCGAGTGAAGCTCTTTCCACACTCCAAGCACTGATAGGGTTTCTCCCCGGTGTGGATTCTCTGATGACAGCGGAAGTTTGTGCTCCTATTGAAGCTCTTTCCACATTCCAAGCATTGGTACGGTTTCTCCCCGGTGTGAATTCTCTGATGACAAGCAAGGTCTTTGTTCAAGCGAAAGTTCTTCCCGCATTCCAAACACTGATACGGCTTCTCCCCCGTGTGGATTCTTTGATGGCAAGTGAGGTCTTTGTTCAGAATGAAGCACTTCCCACAGTCCAAACATTTATAGGGTTTCTCCCCTGTGTGAATCCGATGATGAGACGTGAGATATTTCTTCTGGCTGAAGCTCTTTCCACACACCAAGCACTGGTAGGGTTTCTCGCCTGTGTGGATTCTCTGATGACCGCGGAGGTTTGTGCTTCGAGTAAAAGTCTTTCCGCACTCCGTGCATTGGAACGGCTTCTCCCCCGTGTGAATGATCTGGTGATAAGCAAGGTCTCTGTTCAGACTGAAACTCTTTCCGCATTCCAAACATTTGTATGGTTTCTCCCCATTGTGGCTTCTCTGATGGTTTGTGAGACTTGCACTCAGTCTGAAGCTCTTTCCGCACTCCAAGCATTTATACGGCAGCTGTCCGGTGTGCGTTTTGCTCTTTTTGCATCTGTCTCTTTCCGATGACACCTTTGGGAGTCGGTCACGATTATTCCGCATTTCCCATTCGCCGCCTGCTGTAATGAAGACAGGGGAAGTGGTAAGAGCTTGGGGAAGACATTGAGCCTCCATTCACCAAGCAAACAGAATGACACTTTGCAATAAAGGTCATTGCAATATACGGAAGGCAAATTTTCACACATTCTGTTGACTGGCATTTACTGGCAACTGGCATATATTGCAGGATGATAGTCTAGATGACACTGGGGGTCCCTTCCAATTCTACAATTCTATGATTGTAATTTGTTGTTTGGGGGGGCTATTGGGTTGTTGTTTTTATTTTTATTATGTATTTTGTGGTTTTATATCTTGATTTTATTCTGTGGACTGCCCTGAGACCCCTGGATATAGGGCAGTATATAAATTCAAATAATAATAATAATGAAGTCCAACCCCCTACAATGCAGGAATCTTTCTGCCCAATGTGGGGCTTGAACCCATTAGATTAAGAGTCTCAGGTTCTACCAACACGGAGAACTGTCCTCATGATGTTTATGGAGCCTGTGTGGTGTGGTGTGGTGTAGTGTAATGGTTAGAGCATTGGACTCCACCCGAAATTCCCTGCAACTGGTATGCTATAAACCTAAGAACCGAAACTATTAACAGAACTGTATGGAACAACCTTCCATTTACAGAGCAAAATATCCCCTTGAATTACATAGCCAGCACATGGAACCTTACGAAAGGACAATACGAGTGGACTCTCCGTGCCCTAACCATAGCAAAAAGACTGATACTGATGAATTGGAAAAATAAAAATGCGGCTCCCTTCTACGATTGGATTGAAGACTTATACAAACTCGCAACATACAAACAACTTGCATATAAATGCAGACTTGCCATGGACAAATTCAATGATATTTGGAATTCATTCTTACAAATACTGTAATAGGTCTGAGATCTGGTGAAGTACAGTAACGACCTTGTAAAATATACAGTTTGGGGTTATTTACCCTCCCCCCTTTATTTTCCCTTCTACACGGGTTCTGCTTCTCTTATTCTTTTTCTCCCTTTTATTTACGTCTCACCATGTTTAGTGCACATACACTGTATTTTTCGCTCCATAAGACGCACCTGACCATAAGACGCACCTCGTTTTTAGAGGGGGAAAGCAAGAAAAAAAATATTCTGCGCAGAGCATGTAAGCGGCTCTCGCTTTTCTTGCTTTGAACCCTTCTGTCCCTCCTCCCGCTTCGCTGAGAAGCCAGCAGAGCAAGAGCAGTTGCTGCAGAGCCCCTCGTCTGCTGGCTTCCCAGCAAAACAGGATGAGGGATGAAAGGGTGCCCTTACAAGGGAGCGCTGGGCAGAACCTGGCAGTAGCTCTTGCTGGCTTTTCCGGGAGGTGTGGGAAGGGACAGAGGGCTGCCCTTCTCCCTCCTCGGGGAAAAGCCCCCAAGAGCCGCACACACGCTCCACGCAGCTCTTTAAAGGGAGCACTGAGCAGAGCCTCCCGCCTGCATTTGCTCCGTAAGACGCACACACACACTTCCCCCTTTTAGGAGGGAAAAAGTGCGTCTTATGGAGCAAAAAATACGGTAATTAAGTACTTTTTGAATGTTCAATAAATATGTTTAAAAAAAGAAAAGGAAAAGAAAAAAAGAACATAAAAAGTGTCTGCTGGATCCAACATCCTGTTCTCACAGTGGCCAAAGGATGCATGTCGGAAGCCCGCAAACAGGACCTGAGGAAAGGGCACGCTCGCCTCGCAGGGTTTCTAGCAACCGGTTTTTGGTAGCACTACTCTCTCCAAGCTGTGGAGGCCGAGCAGAGCCAGTATGGCAGTCTTCTCCATGAATGCTGGAGCTGGATGAAGTCTGTCAGAGACCTGGGTTCAGCTCCCAGCTCAGACAGCATGCAGAGCCGAGGCTGTTTTTAAATGCTTCCCTCAAAAAGATAAGCTTGCAGTCGCTGAATTTAATGTGACTTACTAGCTGAGTAGACATGGTTAGAACCGCACTACCCAAAATATGGTTGGAGTGTGGAAATGTGCAAAAGAAATTACGCGTTCCTTATTTTCCCAGCCAGGGAAATAGGGGGCCTTACCAAAAGAGGCCACCATCCCATAATTCTCCTCCATAACTTCCCTGTGTAGAGCTTTCTGGTCAGGATCCAGCAGAGGCAACTCCTCCTCCGTGAAAAACACAGCAACCTCCTCAAACGACACTGGACCCTGGGAAAAAAAGAGACATGTTTGCTGCTTTATAGATCACATAAAAGATGATCTACTAGCTGAATCCAAAAGGCTAATCCAGGAAAGGCAGCTGGATATTATTCTGCATAATTTGGGGGGTGGGGAGAGACATTTGCAGCCTTCCTAGCAGTGGAGACGGGTCTATTTTGGAAAATGGGGTGCTGCCCTCCCCAACATTCCCAGTCTCTCCTGCCTAGGTTAGTCAAAACTGAGGTGGAATAGCAAATCGACCTCCTCCTCCTTAGTCCCAATGTTCCCCCTTATAGGACTTAGCAGGGAGGAGGAAGAATTAGTTGGAGCTGCCTGTTATTGACTCTGCCGTCACCTGCTGTTGGGCTCCCTGCCTTCTACCCCATATACATAGTTTTCAATTTAACAACAAGAGTCTCCTTTACATTTGTATCTTTCATTTCGACTTCCCTCCACTCCTTCTCTGGTTATGTAGTGAATTCGTTTAATTAAACTGTACCTCCCCCATAACATCTTTTAGATAGATAGATGATAGTGTTAGAATTCCTGCTCCATGATTGCAGTCATGGGATTGTTGTCTTTCACATTGACTCCACAGAGTGGGAAGTAACGGAAACAGGATGTTTGTGTTCCTATGTTCCGTGAAGTGGGACTATTGTCCTTTGTTCTCTCTCTCTTTGCTGTCTGATGCTAGAGAGAGAGGGAGCCATGTTGCAGTGCTCCGTGTGTGTTTATATGTAAATAAAGTAGATTAGCCAAAATGCTGAGTTGCTGAGGTCTGTCACGAAAGTTGCACAAACTCTGCCGATCCCTAAGTGTGCCGGTGTCGGTTGGCATCAGTCGCTGTGATGTTCGGGCAGAAGAAAGCTTTTGAAGCTCCCGAACGAACAACCAGGAGGGAGAGAACATGCCAGTCGGGCATGTGTCTCTGCCAGGGTCCTACTCGAGTGTAGGCTGAACTCCTGACAAATAGATGGATAGATAGATAGATCTTCTTTCCCCCCAACTGCTTGATTTTATATTAATCCTGCTAATGTATTTAGTTGTTTACAATGATTCTTTTTAAAAAATATATGTAACATCCCCGTTCTTTAATAAAAACACTTTTTCTTGATCAATAATAATAATAATAATAATAATAATAATAATAATTTATTATTTATACCCCGCCCATCTGGCTGGGTTTCCCCAGCCACTCTGGGCGGCTTCCAACAGAGTATTAAAATACAATAGTCTATTGAACATTAAAAGCTTGCCTAAACAGGGCTGCCTTCAGATGATTTCTCAACCCCGTAAGTTTTGCCATTTCTACATATTCCATTAATTTTGCCTGCCATTCTTCCTTGGTTGGGACGGCATCTTGCTTCCATCTCTGCGCATAAAGCATCCGGACTGCTGTGCTTGCATACATAAGTACAGTGGTACCTCGGATTAAGAATTTAATTCATTCTGGAGGTCAGTTCTTAACCTGAAACTGTTCTTAACCTGAGGTACCACTTTAGCTAATGGGGCCTCCTGCTGCCGCTTCTGTTCTCATCCTGAAGCAAAGTTCTTAACCCGAGGTACTATGTCTGGGTTAGCGGAGTCTGTAACCTGAAGCATCTGTAACCCGAGGCACCACTGTTGTTTCTTCCGGTCTTTTGCTATATCCTGTCCTATTATCCCTCAGAGAAAGGCTTCTGGGTTTTTTTTTAAATAAAGGTTGCCTTCAAACCCCCCCCCCAGTCCTAAGGGGTACCAGCAACCACTGCTTCCTTGCCTGCAGTTTTGACCGAAGCAAAGACTCATAGAATTGTAGAATTGGAAGGGAACCCGAGGGTCATCTAGTCCAACCCCCTGCAACGCAGGAATCTTTTTGCCCAACGTGGGGCTTGAACCCACAACCCTCAGATTAAAAGTCTTGTGCTCTACTGACTGAACTATGCAGTTAAAAAGAAGAAAAGAGGTTCATTCTAGGCCTAAGGAGGCAAGAGGGGTGGGACAGACGCAGCCAGCGATATTTCTCCATACCAGCTCAGCTCCTGTGTCTGCTGCTTCTCCTCCAGCACACAGAAGAGTTGACCGAGTAAGCATGTCTGGTATCGCTCCATCGCCTGTCAGAGACAAAGATGAAAGGAGGTTGGTAGGAGGTGCTCGTCTCAGTTACAATGCGCATCTAAGTTACCGTATTTTTCGCTCCATAAGACGCACTTTATTCCTCTTAAAAACTAAGGGGAAATGTCTGTGCGTCTTATGGAGTGAATGTGTGGTCCCTGGAGCTAAATTGCAGGAGTGCGGCACGCTCCTGAGCTGCTTTGGGGCTGGCAGGGGAAACCCGGGCTTCCCCCTCCAGCCCTGGGAGCAGTGGGCAGGCTGCGTGCAGGTGCACACTCCTGAGCCGCTCTTTGGGCTGGCGGGGGAAACCCCGGGTGCCGGCAGAGCAACCAGGGCTTACCCCGACAAGCCTCCGCGGGGCGCCTTCATCCCACTGTCCTGCGGAGGCTTTGCACGGCTATCCCTGGCTTTTGCGGGAGGTGGGGGAAGGGACAGAGCACGCGGCTCTGTCCCTTTCCCCACCTCCCAGAAAAGCCCCCAAGAGCCGCGCTGCCTTTAAAGAGTGTGCGGCTCTTGCGGGAGGAAAGCCAGTAGGCTTGCTTTCACTGAAGCCAGGAGGGCAAGCGGGATCGGTGCACAGGGATAGCCCAGCAAAGCTCCTGAGTGAAGATGGAGGAGCACTCCTTCTTAGCTCGAGATGCTTTGCATTGCTTTCTTATTTCTTGTTTTCCTCCCCTAAAAACTAGGTGCGTCTTATGGTCCGGTGCGTCTAATAGAGCGAAAAATACCGTACTTGTGGGTGGTACAAAAAATATTTAGCTGTTGCATGCATTTCTGGATATTTATACCCATTTTACAGGTCGGTGGTGTGGAAACAACTCTCTCCCCATCTGGGCTCTTGGACACAAACATGCCAAGCTTTTCAGGATTGTGTCATTGAAAAAGAAATAAAAAAAGATGAAAGCAGCCCACAGATTTACAGTCGTACCTTGGAAGCCGAACAGCTTAGTTCCCAAACGTTTTGGCTCCCAAACGTCACAAACCCGGAAGTCACTGTTCCGGTTTGCAAACTACCGTATTTTTCGCTCTATAAGACCACAAGACGCACCTAGTTTTTGGAGGAGGAAAACAAGAAAAAAAATATTCTGAATCTCAGAAGCCAGAACAGTAAGAGGGATCGTTGTGCAGTGAAAGCAGCAATCCCTCTTGCTGTTCTGGCTTCTGGGATAGCTGCGCAGCCTGCATTCGCTCCATAAGACGCACATAAATTTCCCCTTACTTTTTAGGAGGGGAAAAGTGAGTCTTATAGAGCAAAAAATACGGTATTTTTGGAAGCCGAACGTCCGACGGGGCTTCCAATTGGCTGCAGGAACTTTCTGCAGCCAATCAGAAGCCGCGTTTTGGTATTCAAATGTTTTGGAAGCTGAACAGACTTCCGGAACGAATTCCGTTTGACTTCCAAGGTACGACTGTATTGTATAATCAATAGAGGCAAGTCCACCTCCTTCTCCCTTACCCAGTGACCTCTGTCCGGTGCCCAACAGAATCCTCTCCGCCTCAAAGAAATCAGGAACTGCTTGTCCAAGAAGAACTTTGACCTGAAAGAGGAAAGTGTATTCAAACAGAGAATGGGGAGAAGGATTGCAAAAAGAATGGCAGAAGCAAAAGCTTGGGGGTGCTGGCTATTGGATGATTTCTAGGGAAAGCTGGGGAATCAGTCGAGTTTTTAAGGGTTCTCAACACCTTGGAACTACCAGGATGAAACCCTCTCACCTGTTGCTCTAACTGCTTCTTCTCCTCCGCCTGACTCAGAAGGAAACCTTCGGCCAGGGCCACCGCCTGGGAACTGGTCTCCACTCCACATTCCCTGACCCAGTTCTCCATCTCCGGGGGGAGGACAGCCAGGAACTGCTCCAAGATCACCAGGTCCAGGATCTGAGTCTTGGTGTACTGCCCTGGCTTTAGCCAACGACAGCAGAAATCGTGGAGTCGGCTGCAAACCGCTCGGGGTCCCTCGGCCTCCTGGTAGCGGAACTGCCTGAAGCGCCGGCGTTGTACGTCCGAGCTGAGGGTCTCCTCCTCATCCATGTTTTTAGGCAGTGTTCTTTCCCAGAATTCCCCACTGATAAGGGGGCCTTTTCCTGCTCTGCGAGCAGCTGAGTCTTCTTCTCCCATCGTTGATCTGTGCTCCAAGGAAGCCTCCACGAAGGCTGAATGGTGAAATCTGCCTTCTTCTGCCAAAGCCTGTCTCCAGGCAAAGACAGACAGAATTGGAGGTTCCACCACGTCCTGCCAAGCCAAAACACTTGTTTACACAAATTATTGCGCTGTCGGAAAAGAAAGACTTATGTGGATGACTCCAGCCAGCAATCAAGTTTCATTCTAGGAGAAGAAGCAAAACTCGAAGAGAAGCTAGAGATTGGAAGAGGAGGCTGCTCTGTCTCAAGGCCACAAACCAAAACCTTCAATCTGGTTGTGGGTGAGAAGATGCAGCAACTCTCCTAGTCATGCAGAATGATCAAGTATTTATTCTTTCCTTTTCTTGCTGTTCCTCTTAAGTCCCCAGCCCTCTTTTGCCGTCGTCCCTCCCCCAGAACCTCATGGAAACATAAAAAGTCAAGTCAGACTTTTAGAAGACATCTGAAGGCAGCCCTGTTTAGGGAAGCTTTTAATGTTTGATGTATTACAGTATTTTAATTTTTTTGGAAGCCGCCCAGAGCGGCTGGGGAAGCCCAGCCAGATGGGCAGGGTATAAATAATAAATAATAAATTATTATTATTATTATTATTCTGTACCATGACATGGGCAGGTTTGCAACAGTGTAAAAAAACACAACGTTAAAAATCAGTTAAAACAATTTATGAGCTGAAGAATAGGGTTGATTTTTAATATACTGATAGATATAATCTGACATATACCAGGTGTCAATGGCCTAGACCAGCCTTTCTCAACCTTGGGTCCCCAGATGTTGTTGAGCTACAACTCCCATCACCCCTTGCTAGCAAGACCAGAGCTCAGGGATGATGGGAGTGGTAGTCCAACAATATGTGGGGACCCACAGGCTGAGAACCGCTGGCCTAGAGTAAAGGAGACACATGGGTGGGCCAAGGAAAAAGGAAAGAAGTCCCCCCACCTTCCTTTGCATATGCTGATGGAGAGGGGTGCTAGATGGCCCGGGTGCTCATATCACTTCCCTATGGGGTGAAATGGGGGAGGGGTGTCCTCTGCATTCCTCTTCTCTGCATTCTCCACCCCTCCACACATAACTTATTGGGTGTAATTGTTAATATTGTTATTATTATTAAACAAATTCGTATAACGGCCTATAGCCACAGGTCTCAGGGCGGTCACAGCATAAAATCACAATATAAAAACACACAATAGGTTACAGTGGTACCTCGGGTTAAGAACTTAATTTATTCTGGAGGTCTGTTCTTAACCTGAAACTGTTCTTAACCTGAAGCACCACTTTAGCTAATGGGGCCTCCCACTGTCACCGCCACGTGATTTCTGTTCTCATCCCGAAGCAAAGTTCTTAACCCGAGGTACTATTTCTGGGTTAGCGGTGTCTGTAACCTGAAGCATCTGTAACCCGAGGTCCCACTGTATTATTTATTAAGTTTATACACCGCCCTATACCCAGGGGGTTTCAGGGTGGTTCACAGAACAAAATCGAGATATAAAACCACAAAATACCTAATAAAAACAAAAAACAAAAACAATATCCATAATGAAAACAGAAACAAACCCGCCCCCCAATAACCTCTCTCCCCAGAACATTTTAAAAGAGCACTGAATGTCAATGCAGAGGGGAATGTCAATGCCACCCCACACCTCCCTATAGGGGGACATGCAGAGGGGTCTGTCCCATGTCAATGCCCACTTCCCTATGGGAATAAAGGGGGTGCCTCCCGTGCCCCACGCCTCCCTACAGGGTGAAGCCATCCTTCCCTGGACCCCCAACCAGCGGATTCCTCCACCCCCTTGACCCCCACCTGCCCCGCATCCCTCCAAAGCCCAAGGGGGGAGAGAGGGGGCCAGAGCAGGGCGACCCACCAGAGCCAAGCCCGGCAGGGAGGCGCCCAGGCAGCCCTCGGGGAAGACAAAAGCCATTTTCCCCCTCCGGGAGGAGAAGGAGTGGGAAGGCAGGAAGGAGCACCGCCAGGAGGCGCCCTTGCACCCCCGCGAGCGCCGCCCTTTCCTCTCCCGACACCCGGAAGAAGCTGCCTTCCGCTCTAGGAATCCGGCTCCGCTTGTTTCCCTTAACCCTTAGACGGCCACTCGATGCGGCCTGCCTCTCGGCAGGAGTGAATAAAGCACTCGCGGGGGCGGGGGGGCTTATCCTTTGGCCCAAACGCTGATCTTAAATATGATGGTTACTTATTTATATATTTATTATTATTCCCCGCCCATCTGGGGAATAATAATAATATTATACCCAGCCGTTACTGTATTATTATAACAACTTGAGTATTATTATTATTATTATTATTATACGTACCCAGATGAGTGGGAAATAATAATAATAATAATAATAATAATAATAATACTCAAGTTGTTGTTGTTATGATTATGATTATTATTTCCTGCTCATCTGGGTACATATAATAATATTATACTCCAGTCGTCATCATCATCATCATCATCATCATTTCCCCAGCCACTCTGGGCGGCTTACAGGACATATAAAACATAATAAAGCATCAAACATTAAAAACTTCCCAATACAGGTGTCTTCTAAGAGTTTATGTAGTCCTAAATTGCATACCCTCCAACATTTCTCCGATGAAAATAAGGACATCCCATTCCATAATAAGTTTACTACTTATGTCCCAGCCACTCTGGGCGGCTTCCAACATATATAAAAACATTTTAAAACATTAAACTTTTTTTTAAAAAATAAAAAAACCCCTTCCCTATACAGGATTGACTTCAGATGGCTCAGGGGGTCAGATTACTCCATACCCTCCGACGTTTCTCCAATGAAAATATGGACGTCCTAAGGAAAAGTGGGACATTCTGGGAGCAGATCAGAAACCGGGATGGGCGTCTCTAAATCAGACGTCCCTGAGACTCTTGAAGGGTTGGAAATTATGTGTATTCGTGGGTTTTTTGGGTGGGGTGGGGAGAGTCTCTCCTGGGGGCTCTGGGTAGTATTCAACTTAGTCCCACTCAGAATTTTTGTTCTTATTTTTATTATGTGTTTGTGCTTTTTCAATGGTAATTTTCTCATGGAATCATAGTTGGAGGGACCCCAAGGGTCATCTAGTCCAGCCCCCTGCAATGCAGGAATCTCAACTAGAGCATCCATGACAGATGGCCAGCCAAACTCTGCTTATAAACCTCCAACGTTGTGAACCGCCCTGAGATCTACGGATGAAGGGGGATATACAAATTTTAACAACAACATTGCAGAGCCAGTGTGGTGTGGTGGTTATCAAGTGCTGGACTAGGACCTGGGAGACCCGGGTTCAGATCCCCCTAACTCAGCCATGAATGAAGCTCCCTGGGTGATCTTGGGCCAGTCCCTGCTGATGTTCAGGGTTGGGAGCCAGAAATCCAGTATATACCGTATTTTTCGCTCTATAGGGCGCACCTGACCATAGGGCGCACCTAGTTTTCAGAGGGGGAAATCAAGGGAAAAAATATGATTTCCCCCCACCCTACCCCAGCTCTGGGAGCAGCGGACAGGGTGCAGGCAGCCTGTGCACTTCTCCCAGACCTTCTCCCTGCTATTGCGGGAGGTGGTGGAATTCCCCACCTCCTAGAAAAGCCAGCAGAAGCCGTGCAGCCCCTTTAAAGAGCGTGCGGCTTCTGTAGGCTTTTGCTGGAGATGGGGGAATTCCCCCATCTCCCGCAAAAGCCCACAGGAGCCGCGCACCCTTTAAAGAGCACGCGGCTCCTGCGGGCTTTTTGACCCAGCTTGTGGGGCTGGCGGTGGGGGGAAGCGCTGCTTTCTCCCACCACCAGCCTCAAAGACCAGACTCTCCTGGCTTCAGCGAAAGCAACGTGAAGCCTCCGGAGCGCAGGCTTTGGAGACTTCGCGTTGCTATCGCTGAAGCCAGGGAGCCTGCATTCGCTCCACAGGACGCACACACATTTCCCCTTCATTTTTGGAGGGGAAAAGTTACATCCTATAGAGCGAAAAATACGGTATATGCCTGTTGTCTTTGTCCATGGAGTTTTCTTGGCAGGGATACTGGAGTGGCTTGCCGGTTCCTGCTCCAGGTGGATCACGTTTGGTCCAAACTCTCCACTATGACCTGTCCATCTTGGGTGGCCCTGCACAGCATAGCTCATAGCTTCTCCGAGTTATTCAAGCCCCTTCGCCACGGCAAGGCAGTGATCCATGAAGGAGAATTTACTTTCTTGGGTTCCATGATCACTGCAGATGGTGACAGCAGCCACGAAATTAAAAGACGCCTGCTTCTTGGGAGTAAAGCAACGACAAACCTAGACAGCATCTTAAAAAGCAAAGGCATCACCTTGCCAACAAAGGTCCGTATAGTTAAAGCTATGGTTTTGCCAGTAGTGATGTATGGAAGTGAGAGCTGGACCATAAAGAAGGCTGATCGCCGAAGAATTGATCCTTTTGAATTATGGTGCTGGAGGAGACTCTTGAGAGTCCCATGGACTGCAAGAAGATCAAACCTCTCCATTCTGAAGGAAATCAGCCCTGAGTGCTCACTGGAAGGACAGATCCTGAAGCTGAGGCTCCAAGACTTTGGCCACCACATGAGAAGAGAAGACTCCCTGGAAAAGACCCTGATGTTCAGATAGATGGAGGGCACAAGGAGAAGGGGACGACGGAGGACGAGATGGTGGGACAGTGTTCTCGAAGCGACCAGCATGAGTTTGACCAAACTGCGGGAGGCAGTGGAAGACAGGAGTGCCTGGCGTGCTGTGGTCCAGGGGGTCACAAAGAGTTGGACACAACTAAACGACTAAACAACAACAACAACTATCTATCTATCTATCTATCTATCTATCTATCTATCTATATCTATCTATATCTATATATATAAAACACAATTCCTATCCCACCTTTCAAGTCTCCATGCAACAGCCAGGACACCTCCTTTTTAAAAAATTGCAATATGCATTTTCTTCTCTGCAATCCATTTATAAAGATAAACGAAGCATTTATTTGATATGCAACCCTGAAACATTTCAAAACACCAGCTTACAAATATCAGTAGCGTAAGAGCATCATCTGCTTACGATCGAAGAGCCACAACAGAAAAGGAAACAGGATGGAAAGGAAATAGGAGAAGGGAGCCCAGGAGCTGTTTCTTAGTCACTGAATAATAGTAATGACCAGCTCAAACAGAGGAACCCAAAATTGCTCTCCAATGGAGAAGCCCTGTAGTCGCCTCCCACCACTGTAGCCTGATAGATCAGCTGTGGATAGATGCCATTTTAGGGAATCATAGAAATCATAGGATTGTAGTATAAGAAGGGACCCTGAGGATCATCTAGTCCTGCAATGCAGGAAAATGCAGTTGCCCCATTCACGGCTCGAACCTGCAACCTTGGAGTTATCAGCACCAACTGAGCTATCCAGGATGAGCCTGACGATACAGCAGGCTCTCCATTCTTCTTATACCTTTCTTTGCAACCTTTGGAACGTAGAGAAAGTGACATGGGTGCCACTCTAAAATGGCTGCTCTCCAGGGCGTGGCCAATCACAGAATGGCCGCCATATGCTTTCTCAAAATGCCAGTATCTAGTAAATCGGTAAAGGAAAACCGGTAACTTACCCCAGTGGGTAAAGGTAAAGGGACCACTGACCATTAGGTTCAGTCGTGGCCGACTCTGGGGTTGCAGGGTCATCTCGTTTTATTGGCCGAGGGAGCTTCCGGGTCATGTGGCCAGCATTACTAAGCACTTCTGGCGAACCAGAGTAGCGCACAGAAACGCCGTTTACCTTCCCGCCGGAGCGGTACCTATTTATCTACTTGCACTTGAAGTGCTTTTGAACTGCTAGGTGGGCAGGAGCAGCGAGCAACGGGAGCTCACTCCCTCATGGGGATTCGAACCGCCGACCTTCTGATCGGCAAGTCCTAGGCTCTGTGGTTTAACCCACAGCGCCACCCGCGTCCCACCCCAGTGGGTAGAGAACCCTTTTTCTGCCTGGGGGACCAGATATCTCCCCACCTCACCCCACCGACCTGAGCCAGCTTCTGACTTGTGGGCGAGCCCACCCACCTGTCAATCATTTGCTGTGATTATTCACCAGTCCCAAGCTGGTCTATGTGGGTGGGGAGCAGGACTGATCAATCCTGCATAGCGCTGGGCTCTGGAGCACAGAAAAGTTCCCTGTAGAGATCACTCACACACCTAAATCAGGCGGAATGAAGCTCCCTTCTTCCCACGAGCTGATTTAAGAGATCTATCCTGGGCCCAGTTGCGTAAGAGAGTCCTCTGCAATGAACTTTCTCATGGCCCGACATGCCAGACATGCCAGCCAGCCAGTTTCAACACCTTCTCTATCCTCGATACAGACATTCAAGGGGCATTGTTGGAGTTGAAGGACACATTCCAGGCAGGCAGAAACAGAAGAGTCATTGGGGGGGCAGGGGCTGGGGAGGGGGGCCCTGGTGTGGGGCAGGTGCCAAGCGCAGGGTAGAGAGGCCTGATGTTGCCCACCCCCGATTTATACAATTTCTCCCGAAAGTGAACTTTCTGATGGCAAGAAAAGGTCGAATGGTGAACGAAGCTCTTTCCGCACTTTGGGCATTGATAAGGTTTCTTCCCCGAATGAGTTCTCTGGTGAAAAGTGAGCTGCGACTTCTGGCCAAAGCTCTTTCCGCACTCCGAGCACTGATACGGTTTCTCCCCTGTGTGGATTCTCTGATGTTCAGTGAGACTTCCCTTTTGGATGAACTTCCTGCCGCACACGAAGCACTGATAGGGCTTCTCCGACGTGTGGATGGTTTGGTGGGTCATGTGGTCCAAACGATGGCGGAAGTGCTTTCCATGAGCTGCAGAATGAAGAGAGGAAACTAGTAAGAGAGCCCAAGGGGGTGTCTTTGTACACAAAACGTATGTTGGAAGTGTAAAGAGAAGGCAGGCATGTTCTACCACATGTGGTGGGTGTGCTTTCATTTCTGTATATACTGTGTGTTTATAGTCTTTGTAACGAGCGCAAAATATGGTCTGAAGCTCAACATCAAAAAAACGAAGATCATGGCCACTGGGCCCATCACCTCCTGGCAAATAGAAGGGGAAGAAATGGAGGCAGTGAGAGATTTTACTTTCTTGGGCTCCATGATCACTGCAGATGGTGACAGCAGTCATGAGATTAAAAGACGCCTGCTTCTTGGGAGGAAAGCAATGACAAACCTAGACAGCATCTTAAAAAGCAGAGACATTACTTTGCCAACAAAGGTCTGTTTAGTTAAAGCTATAGTTTTCCCAGTAGTGATGTATGGAAGTGAGAGCTGGACCATTAAGAAGGCTGATCGCCAAACAATTGATGCTTTTGAATTATAGTGCTGGAGGAGACTCCTCAGAGTCCCATTGACTGCAAGAAGATCAAACCTCTCCATTCTGAGGGAAATCAGCCCTGAGTGCTCACTGGAAGGACAGATCCTGAAGCTGAGGCTCCAATACTTTGGCCACCTCATGAGAAGAGAAGACTCCCTGGAAAAGACCCTGATGCTGGGAAAGATGGAGGGCACAAGGAGAAGGGGACGACAGAGGACGAGATGGTTGGACGGTGTTCTCAAAGCTAGCAGCATGAGTCTGACCAAACTGCGGGAGGCAGTGGAAGACAGGAGTGCCTGGCGTGCTCTGGTCCATGGAGTCACGAACAGTCGGGCACGACTAAACGACTAAACAACAACAACAACAAACGAGTTCTTGTTCTCTTATGCTATATGTTAAGTCTGCAAGCTGCGCATATTCTGTCAGCTTAAGTTGCCATTCTTCTTTGGTTGGGACTTGGCTCGTTTTCCATTTTGGGGCTAACAAAACACGGGCCGCCATAGTGGCCTACCTTTTTGGACACCTGGGAATTTCAGTCTGAATTATCCCCAACAAAAAGGACTCTTTGGGGGGGGGAGTACTTTTAAACATTTGTTTCAATTCATTATGGACCATTTCCCAATATTCTTTTACCCTTTCACAAGTCCACCACATATGAACGTTCCCTCCGCCTCTTTGCATCTCCAGCACTTATCGATCTTAGTAAGCCTACTCAGAGTTAAAATACCATCTGTAAATCATTTTCAAGTAGATCTCCTTCAAAGACTAACACACTGTAAACTTCAAATCGCTTTTTCAAAGTTTTCCCCAGAGGTTAAAATCTATATTGTGAGGATGGCAGCTCTTCACCTCGAAGCGAGGGAAACAATGGAGCCTTACCAAGAGAGGTGACCATCAGGCAATTGTCCTCCATGACTTCGCTATGCAGAGCTCTCTGGTCAGGATCCAGCAGAGACCACTCCTCTTCTGCAAAGAACACAGCCACATCCTCAAAGGACACGGGGCACTGATAACGAATTAAAGAAGATGTTTATTATTAACATATCATTCGTTTATAGCCTATTATTGACATTTTTGTTAGATCTTCAAATTAACATTTTTTATTAGCTTTTCAAATTTTACAAATTCTTTTAGACAACCATCAAAACATATATCTCATTATCTGTTGACTTCCCATCCATCTTTCCACGGTGTTCTTTTCTTGCCTTATAAAGCTGCTTTATTACTTATATTTCACCCATTCCAGTGGTACCTTGGTAGTCGAATGGTGTGGCTCCTGAACAAATTTGCTCCTGAACGCCGCAAACCCGGACATGAATGTTTCGGTTTGCGAATGTTTTTCAGAAGCCAAACGTTCTATGCGGCTTCCAATTGAGTGCAGGAAACTCCTGCAGCCAATCGGAAGCCGTGCCTTGGTTTTTGAACAGTTTCAGGAGTCAAACAGACTCCCGGAAGGGATTAAATTCGAGAACCAAGATACCACTGTATATATGTTAACTATAGATTATTAAATTACCACTTCTCATTCATTGCAATACTTCAAATCCTCAATACATTTTAACATCACCATGATATTTTTTTTCAAATTTTCTACAAAATATTTCAATTCTTCAAGAAATTTTTCTTCATTCTGTACTTTAATTCTCAGTTAGTCTAGCCATTTCAGCATATTCAATCACCTTCATAAGTCATTCTTCTTTCGTCGGGATTTCCTCTCCATTTTCACGCTCAGACTATTCTTGCCACCGCCATAGCATGCATAAACAAATTAGACAATTCCTCTGGAAGCTCTGGTCTAATTATAACTAACAGAAAGGCCTCCGGTTTCTTGGGAATCATCACTTTAAACATCCTTAAATTCATTATAAATCATTTCCCAATAACCTTTTAGCCTTTCTGCAGGCCCACCACATATGAATAAAAGTTCCATCCATCATTTTACACTTCCAACAAATACCTGATTTACTTCTATACATTTTTGCAATTTTATACGCTGTTAAGTACCATCTATACATCATCTTCATGTAATTCTCTTTAATGTACAGCAACCTGTAAATTTTAAATTAACTTTCCATATCTTCTCCTAAAGAAGATGTTTAAACTGGTTATTCCCCCCCAAAACCCGAAGGCTTTCTGCGAGGGGTAACTGGGACAGCGGTTCCGAAGAAGCTGACTTTCATCTTTTTATGTATCCAACAACTCTCTACATGCAGAAATGGAAGGAGGGATCCCAACTAAAGAATAATGGCTTCTAAAATTAACAGATTATGCTGAAATGGCGGAATTGACTGTAAAATTAGGAGATCCAAAGGACAAACTTTTTATGGAAAATCTGAGGCCTCTCTTGGACTATCTGACAAAGTATTAGAGCGACATGAAATTGTGAGCAGGATTTGAGATATGAGCAGCAGAGGAAGAAAACGGTAAGATGGTGTTAAGGGGTTTGGTAATAATTATAATGCACAAAAATGTCAGGGAGGGAAGGGTGGGAAGTCAAAAAGAAAACTATAAGATAATGGTTTATTGTCTGTGTAGAAAATTTGCTTTAAAAATTCAAAACGTACCGTATTTTTCACCCTATAGGATGTACTTTTTCCCCTCCAAAAATGAAGGGGAAATGTGTGTGCGTCCTATGAGGCGAATGCAGGCTTTTGCTGAAGCCTGGAGAGCGAGAGGCGTCGGTGCGCACCGACTCCTCTCGCTCTCCAGGCTTCAGGAAGCTGTCCACAAGCCTTGCGCGCCCGGGGGAGTTCCCGCCGTGCTCGCAAGGCTTGCGGACAGCAGCCTGCAGCCCGAAGCACGGGGCGCGCTCCGGAGCTTGCCCCGTGCTTCGGGCAGATGTCCGCAAGCCTTGCGCGCCCGGCGGGAGTTCCCGCGGGCTCGCAAGGCTTGTGGATAGCAGCCTGTTCTGGGGGGAAAAATAATTTTTTATTTATTAATCCCCCCCCCCAAAAAACGAGGTGTGCCCTATGGGCCAGTGCGCCCTATAGGACGAAAAATACGGTAATCAAAATAAATTTAAAGAAAAAACAGGACACTGGACTCGGAAGGAAGGAGGGAAGGAAAGAAGGAAGCTTTCTTACTAGGAATTGTAGGTCCAGAAATACCTCAGGATCAGAAGAGACTATTTATGTATGCTACAACAGCTGCACGGATACTACTTGCCCAAAGATGGAAGGAGGACAATTTACCTACAAAAGAAGAATGGCTGATAGAGATGATGGACTATGCTGAATTGGCGAAAATGACCGGGAAAATCGGAGATCAGGAAGACAATAAATTTAATAAAGAATGGGGAAATTTTTTAAGTTACTTGAAAGAATACTACAAAGAATTGAAAATAGTGGAGTGCAATGAAGTGAGAATTATGATAAATATTGAGATTTAAGAAAATATGGAGAATATGATAAGACGCAGTTTGAAAAGAATATCTGGGGAAACCACGGAGGGAAGTTCGAGGATTCTGAGAATCCTATTTGTAAAATGATTATGATTTGTGTATGATGACAAATGTTTGTTGTTGTTGTTTAGTCGTTTAGTCGTGTCCGACTCTTTGTGACCCCCTGGACCAGAGCACGCCAGGCACTCCTGTCTTCCACTGCCTCCCGCAGTTTGGTCAAACGCATGCTGGTAGCTTTGAGAACACTGTCCAACCATCTCATCCTCTCTCGTCCCCTTCTCCTTGTGCCCTCAGTCTTTCCCAATATCAGGGTCTTTTCCAGGGAGTCTTCTCTTCTCATGAGGTGGCCAAAGTACTGGAGCCTCAGCTTCAGGATCTGTCCAGTAAGCACTCAGGGCTGATTTCCTTCAGAATGGATAGGTTTGATCTTCTTGCAGTCCATGGGACTCTCAAGAGTCTCCTCCAGCACCATAATTCAAAAGTTATAATGTTATAATGAATAAAAATGAATAATTTTTATTTTATTTTTTTAAAAGGAAGGAAGGAAGTATGGAAGTTTAACATGAAGGTCATCGACAAGCAAAATCCAGAAGACTCGGAAAGGAAAGGTGCTTCAAATCTGCCTGGCATACACGGCCTTCCTTGCATGTAGCTCAGACAGAAGCAAAGAGAAGGAGAGGGATTTGTTGAAGCTGAAGGAGGCGCACAGGAGATAAGAGGCCCCATCGCTGCCACCTGCCCATCTTCCCAGGGGTCCTTCCCCTTACCTGGTCTAGTGTTACAGCAGCTGCTTCCCCTCCGTCCAAAAGAAGAGGTGGCCGAACGGGTCTTGCCAAGCTCATTCCATCACCTGCTAAAGAGACAAAGGTGGCGGGAAAGCCAAGAGCCCAGGTCTCCTCCACTGCATGCACTTTGAATGTCGAGTCCTTTTTTTCTGGATGGCCTTAAAGGAGGATTAGGACATTCTGCAGAGGAATTCTGCTCACTAGCTATGCTCTGTAGTTGAAGGCAGTGTATTTCTGAATACCGACTGCTGGAAAACCACAAGAGGAGACAGCTTCCTTGTGTTCAGGTCATGCTCCCAGTCTTCTCATATTATTATTATTATTATTATTAATAATAATAATAATAATAATATACTGCCCCATACCCACAGATCTTAGGGCGGTTCACAGAATAAAAACAGAACATGAAACCACAAAATACATAATAAAAACAACAACCCAATAACTGCCCCCTGTCAGTTTGCGTTTCTTAGTACAGTGGAACCTCGTGTTGCAGACATAATCTGTGACAGAGGCACGTCCACAACCTGCAGCGTTTGCATCCTGAAGCGCCGTGTCTGCACAGGCACGATTTGGTGCTTCTGCGCATGCGCAAAGCGCAATTTAGCGCTTCTGTGCAGGCGCGAGCGGCGAAACCCGGAAGTAACCCGTTCTGGTACTTCCAGGTTTCCCATGGTCTGCAACCCAAAAACGCGTAACCTGAAGCGTCCGTAACATGAAGTATGACTGTACAGAAAGTATTGTTCTGACGTGTAGAGATCTTTCCTATTCTAATTAGTTCAAGTGGGTTCTGGAAGCTACTCTGTGTGAAAGAAACAATCAGAAGGTTCATGATGTTTGGGTTATTCCTTCAGAGAAGCTGAGTACAGCTGGCTTAACTTGGTCCTGTTATCTCTTCTGTCAAAGTCATGCTGACTATAATAATAAGGGCAGAAGGAGTCTGGGTCTCACTTTCTGTCTCTCTTCCTTCTGGTGTGGTGTTCTGTATACAGTGGTACCTCGGGTTACATACTCTTCAGGTTACATACGCTTCAGGTTATAGACTCCGCTAACCCAGAAATAGTACCTCGGGTTAAGAACTTTGCTTCAGGATGAGAACAGTAATCGCGCGGCGACAGCAGGAGGCCCCATTAGCTAAAGTGGTGCTTCAGGTTAAGAACAGTTTCAGGTTAAGAACGGACCTCCGGAACAAATTAAGTACTTAACCCAAGGTACCACTGTATAGTGTGACTAGAAGTTATTGTAAGTTTAAGTGAACTCTGCTGCAACTGGATTTCTTATGGACAGCACCAATCCTGAACGTATTGGATTTGTGACCATCATACTCATTTGCCTTCAGTAGCAGTAAAGTTCTGCTGGATGAAATATTCATTGCCTCTGGTCTATTTTTGGGGAATCTTGCAACCTGTTTAAGTTTTTACTCTGCTAACTATGTGCTGGAATCTGCTCTGGATCAATATTGAGTAGAATTCCATGACATACCCCCCCCCAAAAAAAACCTCCACATTTTAAAAGGGCATAGGATGTAGGATTTGTGAGAACAGGATGGTGGTCTAGATGGGCCCCAGGAATGACCCAGACGACCTCTTCTTAATCTATTTTTATATCCCAGTTTGATGAAAACACAGCTCTCCACCTGGGCTCTGGGCAACAAATCTAAGTGTCGCCTTTAACGTGTTCAAACGTTGGAAATAAATATGGACGAACTGTGTACAAGGGCTGTGGGGCAAGAATGTTCGCCCACGACAAGAGTCAGGAGAAAGCGAAGGCATCCCAAAGATCACATTCATCCAGTGCTATACCAGCTGCACTGGCTCCCAGTGGAGTACAGGATCAGGTTCAAGGTGCTGGTTTTGACCTTTAAAGCCCTATACGGCCTAGGACCCTCATACCTACAGGTCCGTCTCTCCTGGTATGCCCCACGGAGGACCTTAAGGTCCACAAATAAAAACATCTTGGAGATCCCGGTCCACAGGGAGGTTAGGCTGGCCTCGACCAGAGCCAGGGCTTTCTCGGCTGTGGCCCCAATCTGGTGGAACGCTCTGTCACAAGAGACTAGGGCCCTGCAGGACTTGACATCTTTCCGCAGGGCCTGCAAGACAGAGCTGTTCCACCAGGCCTTTGGCCAAGGCACAGTCTGACCCCCTCCTTTGGTAATCCTCATAGAACTCTAGGCCAATGGTTGCCATTAATTTGATTTTAATTTGATTTTAGAATCATAGAATCATAGAGTTGGAAGAGACCACAAGGGCCATCGAGTCCAACCCCCTGCCAAGCAGGAAACAATGATTTTATGAATGCTGTGTTACTTTTATTGTTCTTAGCCACTATGAGCCCGGCTTCGGCTGGGGAGGGCAGGGTATAAAAAGATTATTATTATTATTACATAAACAGTGGAGGGTGTCATGGATTGGTTGCACATAGGGGAATGGTGGAAGGAAGCAGCTGGGGAACTCCTAAGGAAAGAAAACTCAGAGCCTGGAGAATGGTGGTGGGACGGTGATGAGTGGTCAGAGGGAAAAGATGGGAAAGAGAAGGGATCGGAAGCTGATGAGGTAACAGGGTTTAGTGAGCAGGAGGAGGCTGTGGCAGAGAGCAGTCCAGAATCGGAGGCAGAAGGTGAAGCAGGAGAGGAGGCCAAGAAGCAGAGACGGGTCAGGCTGATGAAGAGGCACGGGTGTCTCCCCCGTTGTGCTGTGGCAAACTCCATTCACCCTCCGTCTCCCAGAACCAGAAGAGGACTGAAACAGGAGAATAGGTTGAACAAAGGTGCAGTCTCTGATCGCTTGAAAGTCCTGGAGAGGAGCGGACTTAAGACAGTTGCAGGGGAGGCTTTCCGTTTCAGCAGCTGATTTCCTGCCTGTTAAGTTGTGGGTGAACATATCAGACGACACAGCGATTCTTCAAACGGCTCTTGTTTATTCACAGAACAGAACTGAACTGAACTGAAGGGTTCAGCCAGCCTGCTTATATAGAGCTCCACTACAACGCAACTGTAACAACTTTCTCTAACTATCTAATCACTGAACGTCACTTTAAATCCCTTATTTGCATATGTGGACCTGAGTGAAAACTATCTACAGTATCCCCCTGCTGGCCCAGGGTGAAAACTTCAGTACATAACACTGCCAGAAGACCCAACAGGGAATGAGCTGCTGTGCTCATTAAGCTTGACATTCAGCCAAGTCTGTGGAGACTGTGTTTTTCCAGGTAACTCGCAACTTCCCTGTTTAGGGAAGTTTTTAAGGACTGATGTTTTTATTATGTTTTTAGATATGTTGTAAGCCGCCCAGAGTGGCTCATTTGGGGTGCTCATTTAGCAGGGTAAAAAGCCAAGAATAAAATACAAATTATTAAAGGAAATTAGAGATAGAGGTGGGTTTGCATTACCAGATCTTAAATTATATTACGAAGCAGCACATCTGGTGTGGCTCAAAGATTGGATGACTTTTAAAAATGTAAACATACTCAATATTGAAGGCTGGGACAACAGATTTATACCCAGATGGGTGGGGTATAAATAACAGAATTATTGTGATTATTTTTATTTGAACTGTGGGTGATTTACTGACTGGCACGCTCTATGACAGAGGGGGACCCAAGTTCAAGATCATGTAACATTAATATTTACCCAACAAAGTGGCACCTCCATCACTCTCTGGCATGTTTCGCATGGGATACTCTCCAGTGGTTGATGGCGTCCTCTCTGCCTCCAGGGAATCAGCAGCCAATTCTGCAAGCAGACCCCTGGTCTGAAACAGCAAGTTGAAGTTGTAAAACAATGTGAACGCAGATCTTTGGAAGCTTTTTGGTAAAAGCTGGAGAACAATGAACCACGTTATGGAGCAATGGAGAACTTCTGAAACAACAATGGGATATTAGTTCTGCCCAAGGCATGATGGAAGCATCAGCTGGGAAAAGATAGACATAACATTTTATAAGGACAGGAAGGAACATCACCAGTGCCGGATTTAAGCTAAACAAGCTATAGCTTAGGGCCCCACTCTCTTGGGGGCCCCTAAAAAAATTAAAGGAAAAAAACCTGGACGTACATTTGCAAAATATAAGATAAAAAAACAAATAAAATAAAACCTACATACAGCAACGGTGTTTTGTGTTGTGTAGACTCCTATGATATAAGTAATGGGCCCCGCCTGCTAGCCTGCTCCCTAAAATATCACTGGTTTTAGATACCTATTAGGTCCATAAATTGTGGGAGGCGGCTGGCGCTGTAGGTTAAACCACAGAGCCTAGGACTTGCCAATCAGAAGGTCGGTGGTTCGAATCCTCACAATGGGGTGAGCTCCCGTTGCTCGGTCCCTGCTCCTGCCAACCTAGCAGTTCGAAAGCATGTCAAAGTGCAAGTAGATAAATAGGTACCACTCCGGCGGGAAGGTAAACGGTGTTTCCATGCGCTGCTCTGCTTCGCCAGAAGCGGCTTAGTCATGCTGGCCATATGACCCGGAAGCTTATTTATTTATTGAATTCATATATTTCTCTATACCCAGGAGTCTCAGGGCAGCTCACAAAATAAAATCAAGATACAAAACCACAAAATACATAATAAAAATAAAAATAACAACCCAATAGCCTCCCTACCCCCCGCCCCACAAAAAAACATTTTAAAAGGGCATAGGATGTAAATCAGATCAACCAAAGGCCTGGTTAAAAAGGAATGTTTTTGCCTGGCACCTAAAGATGAACCATGAAGGCGCCAGGTGAATTTCCCCGGGGAGAGCATTCCACAGACGGGGAGCCACTGCAGAGAAGGCCCTGTTCTCGCATTGCAACCCTCTGGACCTCTGGAGGAGGTGGCACAGGAAGGAGGGCCTCAGAAGATGATCTCAGGGTCTGGGTAGGTTCATATGGAAAGAGGCGGTACTTGAGGCTTCCTACAGGCATCAGAAAGTGAAAGCTGGACCATATAGAAGGCTGATCTCCGAAGAATTGATGCTTTTGAATTCTGGTGCTGGAGGAGACTCTTGAGAGTCCCATGGACTGCAAGAAGATCAAACCTCTCCATTCTGAAGGAAATCAGCCCTGAGTGCTCACTGGAAGGACAGATCGTGAAGCTGAGGCTCCAATACTTTGGCCACCTCATGAGAAGAGAAGACTCCCTGGAAAAGACCCTGATGTTGGGAAAGATGGAGGGCGCAAGGAGAAGGCGACGACAGAGGACAAGATGGTGGGACAGTGTTCTCAAAGCTACCAACATGAGTTTGACCAAACTGTGGGAGGCAGCGGAAGACAGGAGTGCCTGGCGTGCTCTGGTCCATGGGGTCACGAAGAGGCGGACACGACTAAACGACTAAACAGCAACAACAGGCATCAGAATGGTAGAACTGGAAGGGACCACAAGGGTCATCTAGTCCAACCCCCTGCAATGCATCTAAAGAATCCAAGACAGATGGCCATGTGGTTGGTCACTGTGAGAAGAGGATGCTGGACCAGCTGAACCACTGGCCTGATCCAACAGGCTCTTGCTGTCTGAAAAAGTTGGCCAATTATAGCGAGTTTTGAGTTGAGCTCCCTCATGTTTTTTAGGCCCTTTGGAACAACCCTCATTCAGCTGTCTCTCACCTGCTGCTCTTCCTGCTTCTTCTCCTCTGCCCGACTCAGGAGGAAACCTTCTGCCAGGGCCACCGCCTGAGAACTGGTCTCCGCCCCACATTCCCTGACCCAGTTCTCCATCTCCGGGGGGAGGACAGCCAGGAACTGCTCCAGGATCACTAAATCCAGGATCTGAGCCTTGGTGTGTCGCTCTGGCTTGAGCCACTCATGGCAGAGACGGCGGAGTTGGCTGCAAACCTCTCGAGGTCCCTTGGTCTCCTGGTAGCATACGTCCTTGAAGTTTCTGAACTGTTGGTGCTGTACTTTGGGATGGAAAACACCTTCGCCCGGGATCTTCTTCTGCATGGTTCTTTCCCAGAAGTTCTCAGTGCTTCCAATCTTGATAGTATCAAGGCCTCTTCCTGCCGCAGCAGAATCCTGCTTTTCCATCTTTGATCTGTGCCCCAAGGAAGCCTCCAGCTCTGGGAAACAAAAGATGAGTCTCCGTGACACACTGGACAATAGATATAGGACATAATATGGAACTGAACCTCTGGGGAAAACTGTGGAAGAGTGATCTGAATTTCACAGCATGCTACTCTTTGAAGGAGAACTACATGAAAATGGGTGGCGCTGTGGTTAAACCACAGAGCCTAGGACTTGCCGATCAGAAGGTCGGCAGTTTGAATCCCGACAACGGGGTGAGCGTCCGTTGCTCGGTCCCTGCTCCTGCCAACCTAGCAGTTCGAAAGCACGTCAAAGTGCAAGTAGATAAATAGGTACCGCTCCGGCGGGAAGGTAAACGGCGTTTCCGTGCGCTGCTCTGGTTCGCCAGAAGCGGCTTAGTCTTGCTGGCCACATGACCCGGAAGCTGTACACCGGCTCCCTCGGCCAATAAAGCGAGATGAGCGCTGCAACCCCAGAGTCAGCCACAACTGGACCTAATGGTCAGGGGTCCCTTTACCTTTAGATAACATGGGGATTAGCAGCTAATAAAAGTTTGGGTTCTCTTTTGTTCGGGGCTTCCATCTTGTTCCACCTTGTGGCAGGTGGGAGTCCTGTCTCGATAGTCTTCAATAAAGACCAAGCCTATTGGCTGCTGTTTTGCTCTGGTATTCCTGGCTGGTGTCCTTGTTTTTTTTGTCCAAGGGAGCCCTCAGATTTCTCCGTTAACAGGGCAGGGACCCTCCTAAAACGAAGGGGACCTGATTGCTTGAGCCTCCTGCAATTCCTGGGCGATGTGCGCGTGGGGCTTCGGCAGAGCATCGGAGACCAAAGCGCATAGCAGCGCATCGTTAACCTCTGGAACTCCCCTCCACAATGATCGTCCCCAACACAGACGGTTTAGAAAAGAGGATCAGACCGTGGAGGAGGTGGGGATGTTAACAACTCCCCTCTGCCAAGCCCCCAAGCCCCAACTCTCTTTGCAGCCTTGCAGTCTCCCCATCCCCTCCAGCCCTGGGACTGCCCTTCACCCAAATGCACAAAAAGTGGGGCGGGCAGGCTCACCAGATCCCAGAGCGTGGATCCCAGCGGGGGAAGAAGCAGGAAAGCCACCGGATGGGGAGGGGCATTATAATGAGTTCCCTCCCTCTCCGGGAAGCGAGCTCGGCTCATGTTCACCCAAAGGCCAAACTGCCGGATTCCTCTCCGGTCTCTGCTTTTTCTGCGTTGCGCAGAGATACCTGCTTTGGCCACTCCTGGGGGGCTCAGACATATGCCCCCTTCCCCTGAGCAAGATGGGAGGAAACTGACTGCAAAGGTTTCTTGCGGGGGGGGGGGGTTTGCAGGAAATCCCGTTCTCATCCTACCTACGCAAGATCGCATCTCAGCAGAGAGAAGAAAATCATGGAATCAAAAGAATTGGAGGGCACCCAGGTGGTCGTCTAGTCCGACCCCCTGCAATGCAGGAATCCAAGCGAAAGAACCCCTGACAGATCCTGCAGGGAAATGCGGTTTTGCATCTGCGTTGAGCAATTAAACTAGAAACTAGAAGCCTTTGGCTGATCTTATAGACATCCAACACCCTTTTATAATGTGGCTTTGGGGGGGTGTTATTGGGTTACAGTGGTACCTCGGGTTAAGAACTTAATTCGTTCCGGAGGTCTGTTCTTAACCTGAAACTGTTCTTAACCTGAAGCACCACTTTAGCTAATGGGGCCTCCTGCTGCTGCCGTGCCGCTGCAGCACGATTTCTGTTCTCATCCTGAAGCAAAGTTCTTAACCCAAGGTACTATTTCTGGGTTAGCAGAGTCTGTAACCTGAAGCGTATGTAACCTGAAGCGTATGTAACCTGAGGTACCACTGTACTGCTTTTGGTTTGATTTTGTATGTTGTGGTCTTGTGAACCGCCCTGAGACCTCTGGGTATAGGGCGGTGAATAATAATAATAATAATAATAATAATAATTTATTATTTGTACCCAGCCACCCTGGGCAGCTTCCAACAAAGATTAAGAATACATAAAAATGTCACACATTAAAAACGTCCCTGAACAGGGCTGCCTTCAGATGTCTTCTACATGTCAGGTAGTTGTTTATCTCTTTGACATCTGATGGGAGGGTGTTCCACAGGGCGGGTGCCACTACCGAGAAGGCCCTCTGCCTGCTTCCCTGTAACTTGGCTTCTCGCAATGAGGGAACTGCCAGAAGGCCCTCGGAGCTGGACCTCAGCGTCTGGGCAGAACGATGGGGGTGGAGACGCTCCTTCATGTATACTGGACCGAGGCCATTTAGGGCTTTAAAGGTCAACACCAACACTTTGAATTGTGCTCGGAAACGTACTGGGAGCCAATGTAGGTCTTTCAAGACTGGTGTTATGTGGTCTCGGCGGCCACTCCCAATCACCAGTCTAGCTGCTGCATTCTGGATTAGTTGTAGTTTCTGGGTCACCTTCAAAGGTAGCTGCACGTAGAGCTCATTGCACCAGTCCAAGCTGAATGAATGAACTATATAACAGTAAGAGCTGTTCAACAGTGGCACAGTCTCCTTTGAGAGGTGGCGGACTCCCCATCCTTGGAGGTTTCTAAGCTGAGGTTGGCTGGCCATCTGTCATAGATGCTTTAGCCGAGATTCCTGCATTGGCTTGGGCTAGATGACCCCTGGGGATTCCTCTCTTTTAAGCATGTAGGACAGGCTTACCTGGTGGTTACTTGGAAAGTCCGCCCCAGCCGTGGCCTGGGGACATCATCTTCCAAGCCGCATGACTGACGATGTTTATATTTTACTTAATATATGTGGGGTTTTGTGTCAGCGTTGCTAGTGCAGGTTCTCTGCTGTTCAATTGTGTTCCTTTGGTGGTGAGAGAGGTTGGGGTTGGCCTAGGGTGTGGTTGTTCATTTGTGGTTGGCTGTGGTTGTCTTTGTTTTCGTGTGTGAGTTGGGTGGGTGGGTGTTTCGGATCAGGTTAGCCATATTGATTTGTATGCTGTTGGTGGGTTTTTGTCGTCTTGTTGGGCTGTGTATGTGATAGAGGGGAGCCATACTGGGGTGAAAGCGTCTTCTTCTATTTGTCCCCATACGAGAAATATGTAAAATAACCAAGCAAGTATTAGAAATCACCCCAGAATTGGCCTTCCTAAACATCTTCCAAGACAATAATGCCCATTTACACCACAAAGAACTCATAACCCATCTACTTTCAGCAGCCAGAAACATCATAACCAGACACTGGAGAGACCTGTCAGGAGTAAGCATGGGCCAATGGTACCAAATAGTATGGGAAACAGCCTTACTAGAAAAATTAACCAATAAACTACCTTCTTCTTGTTGACCTTCCTGTTCGTCCTGTCTGCTTCCTGCATCACCAGGACTGTACTGCTGGCTGCTACAGCAGTTCCCCAGGTTATCTTGGTTCAGAAACCAAGGCACGGCTTCTGATTGGCTGCAGGAGCTTCCTGCACTCAATCGGAAGCCATGTCCGTTGTTCGGCTTCCAAAAAACGTTTGCAAACCAGGACATTTACTTCTGGGTTTGTGGCGTTCAGGAACCAATTTGTTCGACAACTAAACCAAGGTACCACTGTAATGGGAGATGTCAATGGGGGATGTTAATATTTTAATTTGGCGGTCGTGATAGGCCAGGGGTCAGCAAACTTTTTCAGCAGGGGACCGGTCCACTGTCCCTCAGACCTTGTGGGGGGGGCAGACTATATTTTTTGGGGGGGAAATGAACGAATTCCTATGCCCCACAAATAACCTAGAGATGCATTTGAAATAAAAGGGCACATTCTACTCATGTAAAAACACCAGGCAGGCCCCACAAATAACCCAGAGATGCATTTTAAATAAAAGAACACATTCTACTCATGTAAAAACACACTGGTTCCCGGACTAGATTTAGAAGGCGATTGGGCCTGATCTGGCCCCTGGGCCTTAGTTTGCCTACCCATGTGACAGGCTGTAAACTTTGCACGTGCACGAGCCAATGGGGAAACAAGGGAGGGAACCTGCACTTGGGAATAGGGGATATAAGCTTATGTTTTGCTAATTTTGGGTGTGCCTGCTTTGGACACTTGCTCTTGCAAGAACGCTTTTATATTCAATAAACACTTTGCTGCTTCACCAATTTTGTTCAGATTTTATTTTGAGGGTCTCAGACCCACTTCTAACAGCGTTGAAAGCCCTAATTGACTTAGGCCCCAAATATCTGAGAAACTGCCTCCTTCTCCACAGACCTTCTTGGGTTAAGATCAGCAGAATGGGCTCTCTTGGCTGTTCCACCACCTTTTGAAGATGAGGGGTTGACCTGCAAGAGGGCATTCTCTATGGCAGCCCCTAGGTTGTGGAAATCCCTCCCCATAGAGCTGCGTCGGGCACATTCCTTGTATAGTTTACGTCATATGCTGAAAACACACCTCTTTGCTTTTTACAATTGATATACAGGTTTTCAGGAAACCGCTCCCCCCCCATTCCTGTGAATTTAACTTGGTTTTAAACTGTTTTTAATACAGCATTTTAATTGCTGGAATCCACCTTATGGTGAAAGGCAAGTAAGAAATCAAATAGCTAATAACAATATTTCAGATCAAACTGCCAATTGTACAGGATACCTATCGGATGAAAAGAAAGCAATAATTCTAATAACAAGGTTATATACATGCAGGTTTCAATCTAAGCATGCAGGTGTTTTATTCAAAACATGCAGGTGTTTTTACTCCGGTCACTTTTAGATTATTGCTATATAAATGCAGTTGTTCAAAGTGCCTCTGGCACTCAAAGATGTTAATTTCACTAGGTCATGGCATTTCTAAACATACAGCTATCGGCTAGGTCATGCTGTTCCTTTTTGACTAGACAAATTATTTCATTAAATTGGGCCCTGAACGAAACATAACGCATTATAAGGATTCATTGCTTACAACAGAGATAAGCTTTGAAGCTTAGCTAAGTCAAGATAAGGCAGTTTAGTATCTCCTGTCAAGGGTTTGGACTGCTTAACAGAGAAGGCTGAATCAAATTCAGCTTGAGAAAGTTGGGTTTCCCCAGAAATGGGCCTGATTAATTTTTCTCTGTTATTAGATTGTCTAGGACATGGAGTTATCTGCAACATTATATTTGACAGCAATACAGTGGTACCTCGGTTTAAGTACTTAATTTGTTCCGGAGGGCTGTTCTTAACCTGAAACTGTTCTTAACCTGAAGCACCACTTTAGCTAATGGGGCCTCCCGCTGCCGCCACACGATTTCTGTTCTCATCCTGAAGCAAAGTTCTTAACCTGAAGCAGTATTTCTGGGTTAGCGGAGTCTGTAACCTGAAGCGAATGTAACCTGAAGCGTATGTAACCTGAGGTACCACTGTATGTACTTTGTGCATTTATGTCTATTTTCTTACCCGTTCACAAAAATAAATATTACTCATCGACATTTCCGGTGGAGAAAACACTTATATGTGGGCTCGCCGGTATGATCCAGAGTTACTGCATACTCCAAGCACTGCTGTGAATTCTTTGATGATAGGCAAGATTGATCTTACTGCTGAAGCTCTTTCCACATTCCATGCATTGGTACGGTTTCTCCTGTGTGTGAATTCTCTGATGAGAGGTAAGGTTGCTCTTCTGACTGAAGCTCTTCCCACATTCTGAGCACTGATACGGCCTTTCCCCTGTATGAATCCTTTGATGGGAAGTGAGGTTGATCTTGTGACTGAAACTCTTCCCACATTCCAAACACTGATAGGGTTTCTCCCCGGTGTGGATTTTCTGATGCGAAATAAGGTTCGAACCTCGAATGAAGCTCTTCCCGCACTCTGAACATTGGTACGGTTTCTCCCCTGTGTGAATCCTCTGGTGGGAAGTGAGGTGTATCATCTGAGTGAAGCCCTTCCCACATTCCAAGCATTTGTACGGCTTATCCACTCTGTGGATTCTCTGATGAGAACTAAGGGTGGAACTCTGACTGAAGCTCTTCCCGCATTCAGGGCACCGAAATGGCTTCTCCCCTTTGTGGATGTTTTGGTGTGAAGTCAGGCTGGAGTATCTAATGAAGCTTTTCCCACATTCCACGCACTGGTAGGGCTTCTCCCCTGTGTGAATTCTCTGGTGGGATGTGAGGTGAATCTTCTGGCTGAAACCCTTCCCGCATTCCAAGCACTTATGGGGCTTCTCCACCCTGTGAATTCTTTGATGGGAACTCAAGGTAGAGCTCAGCCTGAAACACTTCCCACATTGGGGGCACTGATACGGTTTCTCCCCTGTGTGCGTCCGGTGATGGGAAGCGAGGTTCGCCTTCTCGCTGAAGCTCTTCCCGCATTCCGGGCACTGATACGGTTTCTCCCCTGTATGAGTTCTTTGATGGGAAGTGAGATGAATTTTCTGGCTGAAGCCCTTTCCGCACTGCAAGCACCTATACGGCTTCTCCGCTCTGTGAATTATCTGGTGAGAAGCAAGGCTGGAACTCAGACTGAAGCGCTTTCCACATTCCACGCACCGGAATGGTTTCCCCTCTTTGTGAATCATCTGATTAATCGCAGTTATCGTCTCATTGACGCACTTTCTGCCTTCCAAGCACTGGTTTGTTTTTTGACCTGCGCGAGGAGCTGAACTGAAACATTCCCAATACACACAACATTTGCTCGTTTCTCTTATTTCATCTGTTGCAATCTCGTGGTAGTTGCGGCCTTCGGAAGCAGAGGGTTTACTCCAGCCATTCGGATTTGTTTCTGTTTTCCTTCTCTGCTGTTCCAAGTCTTCACATGTACCTTGTTCTGGTGGCAACGCGGGTAGTTCTGTTTTCGCCATGGTTTCACATATGTCTTCTGCTGCAATGGGGAGAGAAAAGAGAGGAAGAAATGAGAGTCTTGAATCACTGGACAGCTTGAACCACCACTTGTGATAAAGGGAAAAAACTGCTAAGGCTTAGATGGGAGGGACATCCTATCACACATCTAACGACCACTGTTTCAGCTCCCAGCTCAGACCTGAAGTTCACTGGTTTATCCTGGGCCGGTCACTCTCTTTCAGCCTAGCCTACCTCACAAGGTAAGCAAATGCAACAATCAGATACGATTGTTCTTTATTGTCATTGTCCCATACAGAACAACGAAATTGAAAAATCTACATCAGACATTCAAAAACCAACAAGCCTGCTGTCCCAGCTATCCCAACCTGTTTAGCCCCCTAAAAACTCTGATACCCCATTTTTAAATACAATATACTCCCATAGAGACTCCTTACACTGCGTTGAAAACCAAAATTGCATTTGGCAGGCGAGAATTCTACCACTTGCTTAAAATGTATATAGGAAGTGCAGTGTAAGCGACGGAAGTCAATCAATGAAGTTTTATTATTGAGATATTTGTAGAATAAATTTGGAATAAATTCTCCCAATTTTTCTTCTTCCAATTTTTCTTCTTATTTTTTTTTAATTTTCTTCCTTTTTTATTTTCTGTTCTTTTTTATATACCATGTGTGCTTCTCCGAAAAATATATTTATGTATGTATTTGTATGTATTTTGCTATAATTATGTTAAATAAAATTTATTAAAAATTTAAAATAAGAAACAAAAAAAAAAAAATCGCATTTGGATAGAAACTGTTTCTCAGGCAGCTAGTCCTAGTCTTTATAACCCTGTACCTTCTTCCAGAAGGCAGAAGAGGCTTTCTTTCCTGACTGAGCCGTATCAGCATCATTGTGTGCATCCGGGTAACAACCTGGCTCACTGGTCCAAACCGATTCCCCCACCTGCTAACTGAAGGATGGTGGAAGGAGCCCTGGTGCATCCTGGGAAATGAGTTTGGAGAGGTGATACCAGCAAGAACAGACAGTGGGCCAATTGCTACAGCACAGCTGTTTTGTCAGGCTTCTGAGGAAGGAGCATGGCTCAGCGGTAAAGTTTCTGCCTTGCATGAAGAAGGTTTCAGGTCCAATCCCTGGAATCTTCAGGTATGGCTGGAAAAGCCTTCCTGCCTGAAACCCTGGACAGCTTCTGCCAGTCCAGTGTAGACAATACTGGACTAGATGGACCAATGGTTTCACCCAATAACTTCTTATATTCTCCAATAACTCTAATCTTTTTTTGTATTTAAATCTATTTTTGTATCCTAAAGGTTATTAATGAAATTTTTAAAGTGAAGCTTTCAATAGACTTTTATTTCATAACTATGGGTATACTTGGAAAGACAGCTATAGAGAAAAGTGACCAGTTTAGCTTCAAAGCTATGATATTAGCAGGAAAGGCAACGATAGCTTTAAGTTGGAAAAGATAGAGAAAAATGGACAGTAGAGGCATGGAATAGTTATTTGTTTGAACTGATTCAGTCGGACATTGTCGCAGTCATGTCACAGGAAACAACGTGGAAGATCAAGTCCACCACGATAAGGAACAGATGGAACCCCTATCTTCAATGGATAAAAACTACTGGAACAAAAGACATTCGGTGGAAACTAAAGACGTTATGTCCGTGGCTGAGGATAATTGTTTGAACCCTTCCAATGGATATGGGGGGTGGTGTGGGAAGGGAGGAAGATTTAAAAATTGTACGGGAAATTTAAAAATTGGAAGGAGATAATATAATGTATGTAAAAATCCCCAACTCGAATAAAACAGTTCTTAACCTGAAAAAAATTAATCTATTTTTGTATTTGTGCTTATTAAGGTATGAACAACTTGCATATAAACGTAGACTTGCCATGGACAAATTCAGTGATATTTGGAATCCATTCTTACAAATACTGTAATAGGTTAAGATCTGGTGAAGCACAATAACAACCTTGTAAAGTACGGTTCGACTTCCGAAACGCAGTTTCAGCTTACAAATCTTCAAATAACCCTGCTAATGAGGTTAATTGCTTCAAATCGGTAAATATAGATCAACCCTGCTAGAAAAGGGGAAAGACGGATTTGAGGTACCAAAATATTGAGATTCTGCAAAAAAATAAATAAATGCTAAAATGCGCCTATGATTTGTAAATAATTGTGATTGTCTGCTAGAGGGTCTTACCGAGAGAGGCGACAAGATGGCTGTTCTTCTGCATGACTTCTGTATGCAGCGCTTTCTGGTGAGGAGCCAGCCCAGCCCATTCCTCCCCCGTGAAGTACACAGCAACCTCCTCAAAGGTGGATCCTGCACCCTAGGAGACAATGAGAGGTGTCTGTAGTTATGGGGTGTAAATGAATAAAATAAGCAGGAGAAAATCAAATATTTGCCTCTTTGTAGGTAGCAAGCATGCCATCTACTAGCAAAACCCATAAGGCTCATCAAGGAAAGGAGACTGGGAAGTATGTACTTGAGAAGATTGAGAGGAGATACGATCGCCATCTTCAAATATCTGAAGGGCTGTCACATGCAAGATGGAGCCAGCTTGTTTTTGTATATAATAATAATAATTTATTCCAGTAGTGATGTATGGAAGTGAGAGCTGGACCATAAAGAAGGCTGATCGCTGAAGAATTGATGCTTTTGAATTATGGTGCTGGAGGAGACTCTTGAGAGTCCCATGGACTGCAAGAAGATCAAACCTCTCCATTCTGAAGGAAATCAGCCCTGAGTGCTCACTGGAAGGACAGATCGTGAAGCTGAGGCTCCAATCCTTTGGCCACCTCATGAGAAGAGAAGACTCCCTGAAAAAGACCCTGATGTTGGGAAAGATGGAGGGCACAAGGAGAAGGGGACGACAGAGGATGAGATGGCTGGACAGTGTTCTCGAAGCTACCAGCATGAGTTTGACCAAACTGCAGGAGGCAGTGGAAGACAGGACTGCCTGGCGCGCTCTGGTCCATGGGGTCACGAAGAGTCGGACACGACTAAACAACAACAATAATTTGTTATTTGTACCCCGCCCATCCGGCTGGGCCTCCCCAGCAACTCTGGACAGCTTCCAACAAAGATTAAAAATACATTAAAATGTCACACATTAAAAGCTTCCCTGAACAGGGCTGGCTGCCTTCAGATGTCTTATAAATGTCTGATAGTTGTTTTTTTCTTTGACATCTGGTGGGAGGGTGTTCCACAGGGCGGGCGCCACTAACGAGAAGACCCTATGACTGGTTCCCTGTAGCTTTGCTTCTCGCAGTGAGGGAACCACCAGAAGGCCCTCAGCGCTGGACCTCAGTGTCCAGGCAGAACGATGGGGGTAGAGACGCTCCTTCAGGTATACTGGACCGAGGCAGTTTAGGGTTTTAAAGGTCAACACCAACACTTTGAATTGTGCTCGGAAACATACTGGGAGCTAATGTAGGCCTTATAATTTTTATTAAGTTTTGTGTTTTACAATTTAAAACCATCATTTTCACATCCTTAAAATATCATTGGCTTCCCTTCTTCTCTTTTCATGGTTTATTTCACATATCATAAATCCCTGCATATTTTACAAAAACCATGCCATTATTGCATCCATCAAAACTTATTTACACTGTTGAATTTATCTTAATGCTGCCAGCGTTTTCAGCTGTACACAGTTATTCCCCATATATTCCATAAACGTTTTCCAATCTTCTCTAAACGTATTTTCTTCTTGTTCTCTTATTCTGTATGTTAAGTCTGCAAGCTGCACATATTCTGGCAACTTAAGTTGCCATTCTTCTTTCGTTGGGACCTCACTCGTTTTCAGTTTTTGGGCTAACAAAACACTGGGCGCAGTAGCGGTGTACATAAATATGCGACCTTTTTTTGGACACCTGGGAATTTCCATCTGAATTATCCCCAACAGAAAGGACTCTGTTTTTGGGGGAGAGCCGGCTTGCCTTGGGCTGCTCCAGAGGGCTGGACCCAAACTGAAAGATTCAAATTGCAAGAATTCCAGCTAAACCTTAGGAAGAAGCTGCTGGCCTGGGAAGGCTGTGACCTCTCCCTCCTTGAAGGTTTATAAGTAGAGGTCGGGTGGCCACCTGTCAGGGATGCTTTAGCTGAGATTCCTGCATTGCAGGGGGTTGGGCTAAGATGATCCATGGAGGGAGATTCCTCCCAACTTTGAAATTCTAATGTCAATAACATTCTCAGTCCACCTTCTAGGTGGCTTTGACATAAGGAAAGAGAAGGGGAGAGATTCAAAAGCATTTAAAGGTAAAGGTAAAGGGACCCCTGACCAGTTGGACCCCAGGTCCAGTTGTGGCCGACTCTGGGGTTGTGGCGCTCATCTCGCTTTATTGGCCGAGGGAGCCGGCGTACAGCTTCTGGGTCATGTGGCTAGCGTGACGAAGCTGCAGCTGGCAAGCCAGCACCAGCGCCGCACACGGAAATGCCGTTTACCTTCCCGCCAGAGCGGTACCTATTTATCTACTTGCACTTTGACGTGCTTTCGAACTGCTAGGTGGGCAGGAGCAGGGACCGAGCAACGGGAGTTCACCCCATGGCAGGGATTCGAACTGCTGACCTTCTGATCGGCAAGTCCTAGGCTCTGTGGTTTAACCCACAGTGCCACCCGTGTGCCATTCCCTGTTTAGGGAAGTTTTTAATGACTGATGTTTTAATGTATTTTTAATCTTTTGTTGGAAGCCGCCCAGAGTGGCTGGGAAAACCCAGCCAGATGGGCAGAATATAAGTAATAAATTTATAAATATACAAGTTGTACAAGTGACAAGAAAGTATTTCAATTTCAATTTCAAAATTATTACTATTATTATTCCACTTTAACCAGGCCTTTGGCTGACTGACATCTAATGCCCTTTTAAAATGTGTTGGGGAGGTGGGATTATTTGGTTGTTCTTTCTTTTAATTTTATTATGCATTTTGTGTTTTTATATTATGATTTTATCTGGTGAACCCTGAGACCCGCAGGTATAGGGCAGTATACTTCTTCTTCTTCTTCTTTGTCAAGCCCAAGGAGTTGTGGAGGGAACAGAGGCACCTAGGTGGACCCCAGCCTATCTCCCTACAATACCTCAAGGACCGCCTCTTCTCATATGAACTGATCCAGACCCCAATATCGTCCTCTAAGGCCCTTCTTTGTGTGCCGCCTCCATGAGAGGTCTGGAGGGTGGTAACACAAAAACGGGGCCTTCTCTGCAGTGGCTCCCTGTTTATGGAATGCTCTCCCCAGGGAGGCTCCCCAGGCGCCTTCATGATACACCTTTAGACACTAGGCAAAAATGTTCCTCTTCAACCAGGCCTTTGGCTGACTGACATCCATCCAATGCCCTTTCAGAGGAGAGGATGATTGGTTTGGTTTCCTTATTATTTTTATTGTGCATTTGTGGTTTTTAAACATTGTAATTTTACGTTGTGAACTGCCCTGATGAATTTAACAAACAAACAAACGAATGAATGAATGAAATGATCTGTCCTCCTACCTGATTTGTTGTCGCAGCAACTGCTTCCCCTCTGGAGTAAAGGAGAGACGGCTGAGAAGGCCTTGTCAGGATCATTCCTTCACCTGTGAGAGACAAAGGTGATCTCGCTCATCCCAGAGTTCAAGTGACACGTCTCTAAGTGGTCACCGAGGGTGGAGATCAAGGTTGCACAGTTAGAATTGTTCCACCAGCAAAAGCATTTCTGCTTGTCAGATGAAACAGACTCCTCTCTCCTCCGACAACTGGGAAACACTGGCCTGCGAGCGCTCCAGTTGGAGAACAGCCTTTACCAAAGGTGTCATGAGCTTTGAAGACGCTCGAACTCAGGACAAAAGGGAGAAACTCCGCCTGGAAGCCTATGTCCCCACTGTGGAAGGATGTGTGGATCCAGAATTGGCCTCCACAGTCACTTATGGACTCACTTGGCAAACCCTCACCATGATCAACTCCCGCCCGGAAACCTGTATCTTCACTGTGGAAGGATGTCTGCATTCACAATTGGCCTCCACAATCACTTATGGACTCACTGTTAAGACTCTGTTTATGGAAGACAATCTTACTCGGCTACGAGTGATCGCCAAACAAGAACATAAATACAGTATATATATCTATATATAAATGGCACCCCTTTGATTCCTTAAATAAGCGAAGGAGCCCAAGATGATGCCCCGTTCAGCCTTACCCAGTGAGGTGGCACCTCCAAGACCCTCCTGGACCGTCTCTCTTTCTCTGGGACCCACCGGAGCCTTCTCTGCGTCAGGGAAATCAGGAGCCACTTCTGAAAACAGACCCTTTACCAGAAACAGGGAATGTGGGGAAGGGTGACAAAAAGGGAGAGTCAAGAGGCTTTGGGACATTTTCAGTGCAGATTGGACAACTGCAGAGAGTGCCAGGATAGCCTCCGGCACGTTGGAAGAAGAGAAGAGTTTGGATTTGATATCCCGCTTTATCACTACCCGAAGGAGTCTCAAAGCGGCTAACATTCTCCTTTCCCTTCCTCCCCCACAACAAACACTCTGTGAGGTGAGTGGGGCTGAGAGACTTCAGAGAAGTGTGACTGGCCCAAGGTCCCCCAGCAGCTGCATGTGGAGGAGCGGGGAAGCCAACCCGGTTCCCCAGATTACGAGACTACCGCTCTTAAACACTACACCACACTGGCACCAGGATGAAACCCTCTCTCACCTGCAGCTCTGTCTGCTTCTTCTCCTCTGCCTGACTCAGGAGGAAACCTTCGGCCAGGGCCACCGCCTGGGAACTGGTCTCCGCCCCACATTCCCTGACCCAGTTCTCCATCTCCGGGGGGAGGACAGCCAGGAACTGCTCCAGGATCACTAAATCCAGGATCTGAGCCTTGGTGTGTCTCTCTGGCTCCAGCCACCGACGGCAAAGATGGTGGAGTCGGCTGCAAACCTCTCGGGGTCCCTCGGCCTCCTGGTAGCAGAATTGCCTGAAATGCTGGCGTTGAGCATCTGAGCTGAGGACGACCTCCTCGCCCGGGATCCCCTGCGTGGTTCTTTCCCATAATCCCTCGCTGGCCCCAGTCTGGATGGCCCCAGGGCCTCTTCCTGCTTCACGGCCAGCTGTTTCTGGATTCTCCATCTTCAATCTTTTTCCAGGTAAACCGCTCTCTCCTTTCCTGCCAATTTCTCAAGGCAAAGCCAAGGGGCCGGCTGAAGGCACCGCTACCAAGTCCTGCAAAGCCAAGACATTGTCTTTTTTAAAAAAATTGTTTAACCATTTTTTTCGATACAAACATCAACCGCAAAAGACACATATCATCATAACAATAATAACACAATTTGACAATTCAGAATACACTGATATACCTCCGACTACACCTTTTTTGGGGGGGGCGTGGGTGGCGCTGTGGGTTAAACCACAGAGCCAAGGACTTGTGAAGGTCAGCGGTTTGAATCCCCGCGACGGGTGAACTCCCCTTGCTCGGTCCCTGCTCCTGCCAACCTAGCAGTTTGAAAGCACGTCAAAGTGCAAGTAGATAAAAAGGTACCACTCTGGCGGGAAGGTAAACGGCGTTTCCGTGCGCTGCTCTGGTTCGCCAGAAGCGGCTTAGTCATGCTGGCCACATGACCCGGAAGCTGTGCATCGGCTCCCTCGGCCAATAAAGCGAGATGAGCGCCGCAACCCCAGGGTCGGCCACGATTGGACCTAATGGTCAGGGGAGGGGTCCCCTTACCCTTTACCTTTACACCTTTTTAAACAATATTTTCACATCTCTCTCTCTCCTCCCCTTACTTCCCACCACTATGCGCCTTATCGCTTAAATATTCCTTCCAGATTTCTTCATATTTATCTATTCTTATTTTGCGCCCACACATTGTCTTGTTAGAAAATTGGGACGTTGTCAGGGCTGGAAGATTTTCCTTGAACAAATGTGGATAAATCTGGGTTAGCAACTAGTTCCCTCGCACCCTGAAGAAAAGGCAGCGGAATGACAAGTTTGAAACTATATAGAAATTAGAGATTTGTGGGTGGAGTTCCTTTCCTTGAGGACTAGTGGATTAAAGCCTTCAGTTTGGCTGGGAGTCAGAAGATGAGGGATCCCACCCCTCTGATCTCCCCCTTACAACTCTCCTCTTTTCCAGCTTCCACCCTCCCTTCACCCCAAAACCCCCCAGACTCCTCTCCCAATCCGTGCCCTGTAACCTTTAAAGCCCAGATTCGCACAGGCCCTTTTGCTTCCCACCAGCGTCTCCCGCCTTTGATCGACAGCTTCCCCCAGTTTTGCACTCGGGCGACGGAAGAGCCTCCCCACCGCGTGTCAAACCTTGCACGTCTGAAACGGCGCGCGCGCGCTTCTCCAGTGGATGCGCGATTCGGGGAGGGGGGGGGAAGGAGCACCCATTCGAATCTTGGCACAAATTACGCCGCGCTTCCGCCAATCAGCGCCGCGCTGCAGACCGACACGCCCGGCGCTCCCCCGCATCATGATGCGGGTGTTCTGTTCGTGTGAAAGGATGATCAGGTGCACAAGCGGGGTGAAAATGGGGAGAGGAGGATCTTGCTTGCTCTTCTCGGGCTCTCTTCTTTTCTATTCAGCCACAAATCCGGGCCTCTCTCTCCCCCTCGCAGGGGACTCCTAGCCCCCACCCCCCTTTTTCCTGCATTGCAGTTGCATCCTCCCGACTCCTCTCCACTTAAGTCAAATTAATAGGTAGGGGGGCTCACCAGATCATAGAAGGGTCCCCGATGCCGAACTGGGGAGACCCCGAGGCTGCATTCCTCCAAAGCAAGAACCAGGCAGGAGGTGCTTTGGGCAGAAATACCCATTTGCTTTGTAGGTCTTCCTCCCCCTCCCCAAATCCCCATCCTCTCTAGGAATCCAGCACAGATAATTTTAACCCTTGGCAGCTCAAACTGTAGGATGATTTCTCTCTCTCTTAAAACAGGAGCCAAGGAAGAAACGAGCACTGTGAATGCAGATCCCACACCCCTTTTCTTTCCTGATGGTGGGTGGAAAGAGTGAAACCAGTTTGGGGAAGAAGGAATGACAGAATCCTAAAGAGGACCGCCTCTTTCCATATAAACCTACCCGGACCCTGAGATCATCTTTTGAGGCCCTCCTTCGTGTGCCTCCTCCTCGAGAGGTACGGAGGGTGGCAACACAAGAACAGGGCCTTCTCTGCAGTGGCTCCCCGTCTGTGGAAGGCTCTCCCCAGGGAAATTAGCCTGGCACCTTCATTACACACCTTTAGGCGCCAGGCAAAAAGTTCCTTTTTAACCAGGCCTTTGATCTGATTTACATCCAATGCCCTTTTAAAATGTGGCTCTTTTGGGAGGGGGTTATTATTGGGTTGTTGTTTTGATTTTGATTTTATATATTGTGATCTGTTCTGTGAACTGCCCCGAGACCTCCGGTACATATATTCAATAAATTAATAATTATAATTATGGGACCTCAAGAGTCACCTAGTCCAACCCCCTGCCATGGAAGAATCTCAGCTGAAGCATCCGGGACAAATGAGCTGGGATAGCTCAGTCGGTAGAGCATGGGACTCTTAATCTCAGGGTTGTGGGTTCGAGCCCCACACTGGGTAAAATATTCCTTCATTGCAGGGGGTTGGACTAGATGACCCTCGGGTCCCTTCCAATTCTACCATTCTATGATTCTACGAACCTCTGCTTGAAAACCTCCAAGGAAGGAGAGTCCACCACCTCTCAAAAAAGACACTTCCGCCATCGAACAGCTCTTACTAGATTTGTGTAGCGTTTGCTCCCTAGGTTTTTCTCCTCCCAAAGATATCCTGCAAGGCAGTGGATCCGAATCAATGTTTTCCTTCACCTTCCCTGGTGGACGAGCCCCATCTGCCACTCACTTCCCTCTACAGCACATGCAGAAACCACCTTCGTGATTGTTAAACCCACTCTGGGTCTCAGTTCGCTGGAGCCTGAATTTGCACACAGTCCCTGGCTCCCCATAGGTGTAAACTGACCAATAGACAGCCAGTCGAAGCAGTGGCAGAGCTTCATGCTCCAGCAATGAAGCCATTCCCAAGATTGTGGCTGCTGACACATGCTGCCAGCTGGTAGGAGCTACAGGTCAGAGCTGAGTGCAGGTGGTCCTAATTCACAAAGACTCCGGAATTTAAGGCCCTGCTGAAGCCAGAGCAGATGGTGAATTAACTGTATTTCAAAACCAACTGTTATGTGAGTTGAATAGGATCCAAAAGGCAGCAGTCTGATTTAATTTAATTCATTTATTTATTGCATTTATACTCCTTTATCTTCCAAGAATCTCAAGATGCTGTGCATGGTTCTCTCCCTCCCCACTGTATCCTCACGACAACCCTGTGAGGTAGGTTAGGCTAAGAGACGGTGACTGGCCCAAGCTCATGCAGGGAGATGAATGGCTGAGGGAAGATTTGAACCCTGCTCCGTCTTGCAGGCCCTGCAGAAAGATGTCAAGTCCCGCAGGGCCCTGGTCTCTTGTGACAGAGCGTTCCACCACGTCGGGGCCCGTGCTGAAAAGGCCCTGGCCCTAGCTGAGACCAATCTAACCACCTTGCGACTTGGGACCTCCACAATGTTGTCATTTGTGGACCTTTATTAAGGTCCTCCACGGGGCAGACCAGGAGAGGCGGTCCTGTATGGGAGTTCCACAGGGCAGGCACCAAGACCGAGAAGCCTGGTTCCCTGTAACGTCACTTCTCGTAGGGAGAGAACCGCCAGAAGGCCTTCGGCGCTGGACCTTAGCTGAACGATGGGAGTAGAGATGCTCCTTCAGATGTACTGGGCCAAGGCTGTTTAGGGCTTTAAAGGTCAGCACCAACACTTTGAATTGTGCTTGGAAACTTACTGGATAAGACAGAGGGAGAATGGGGTGAAAGATCCAGAATGGTGGAGTGAAACCAGTTTTTCCTCAGGCGTCCAGAGCAACAAAAGTGGGAGGAAGAGAAGGGAGAAAATAAGCCAAACACTGTATTATAAAGGGTGCAAACTTGACTGGTGAGGAATCCCTACTGTTCTCCTGTGGCAACACCTGGAGCGTGAAACTCAAACCCTGAAGGTATTGGGCTGTGCAACACTTTTGCACCCACCCGTCTCCTCTCTGAGTCCTGGGGTCAAAGGGACCCCAGCCCCAGAGGACACTTTAGCTCCAACAAGAGCACACCCAGCTACCTGTTGGCAAAATGGAAAGGGACTGGTTTTGACCAGGAGGGAAACAGAACTTCCTGGGACTCTCAGCTTTCCTCTTTTTAAAAAAGCATCAAGTTACCAGCCCCTAAGAAGGAGCAAACACTTGGAAGCGGGTGGACTGTGAAATGAGAACAGAAGGTGCAGGAAAGAAAGCTTAGGCACTCAGGGAACTGGGAAACATTAACAAATTCTGCGAAACGGTGCTCTTTTTAGAGAAATACAGCTTGTGTACGCTGATTTCTTTTATTTGTTAAGCATGGAGAACACACAGACCTGGCTGTTAACTTACAAAATTCTCAACACCAGTTCTCAGGGCACATCCTCTCCCTTGCGACGCTACTGAGTGAAACTCATGGAAAGAGAACAAACACTGAGTCGTGAGGAGTTGTTTTTATAATCTATAAAACACCTAGATTGTAGTAAAAAACACACCAACAGACGACAAAGGAAAAAGCTCCCAACTACAACATGAGATGTTTCAACTCTCGCTATGTTTTTTGATATTCGGGCTGTGCACACAAATCTCTGTTTGTGTGGCCTTGGTTTTTTTGATATTTGCACATGTGCACCTTTAACATTTCTTCCTAACGCATTTACAAAAACAAATGGGATGTTAATCACAGAGTTTTGCAAGGCAAGAAACACTTAACGGAGAATATCCACCACCAAGCCCAATAGTTACACTGAGACACCTGTGTGCATACAAAAATATTCAATCAAACAGATGGAGGGGCTGTGTGTTCATCTTCCATTTGAAGCCTGGAAATAACTCTGGCAGGGGTCTCAATTTTTTTTATGCCTTTAGGTACCTCTGGGATTTAGAGATAGGGGCATCAGTGTTATCATATAATAGTGGCTCTGGGGCATGTCGTCATTCAACAAAAGGCTTCCTTGCTCAAAATGAAAATCTCTAAGCCAGAAATGGACCATCTCCAACTTGCATGATTACTGAATGAGACACATTTCCTTTTAACAAACAGCCATTAAGTTAAAGGTCCCTTAGCTGCAAACCAACCCTTAAAATCACAGATCCAGCGCCGATCAACACCACCACTGACAGAGACATTGCTTATAATACAGTGGTTGTTCCAGGGAGAGACCCCCCTATAATGATAATCTGGTTCCATACTGATCCATGTCTCAGATCCCCGTTGTTGGTCTATGACAGTGCTGGCAAGCACCGGATCTGTGACTTTTGCGTGTGGAGAACGTGGGCAGAGAGGAAGAAAGCGCCCAGCTGCAGATACATAGAAAACACACACAGCAAGAGACCACCACCCACATTTAGACGCTGTGCATTTTTGTGGGGTAAAGATCTGATCCAGTAGAATTAAAACTCATCCTCCTTGTGGGTTTTTATGCAGCTTCCTTTCTGTTGGTACAGGAAGTTGTCTACTTCTTCTGCCTCATTATCGTTTTTGTATAAATTTTCATAATATGTTTTAAATTTTTGTATTATTACTCTGGATCACCTATAATTTCCTCTCCTATTTTTATTCTATTTATTTGTCTTGGATTTTGCCTCTTTCTCAGTTGCCACGCCAGGTATTTTCCCGGTTTATTGGCAAACTCAAAATTATTTTGTTTCCACATTTCCACATTCCACTCCACTTCCAGTTCTATTCTGCACATATATTCTGTCTGTAGTAGCCTAATTTCTTTTTTAATTATATCATTATTTGGTTGTTTGATTTGCTCTTTTTCTTTTTTCCTTATTACTTCCATTAATTTTGTTTTTTTTCCTTTTCGCTTTCCTTTTTTATTCTTATGCCTTGTTTTATGAAACATCCCCTGATCACTGCTTTACCAGCATCCCAGAGTGCCCTTACGTCATCAACTTGATTTTTATTCAATTCAAAGTATTCTTTTAATGCATTTTTAGCTAGAGACTGTGTTGATGGCTATGCTCTGTCTTCCTTTTTTGTCTTCCCCCTTTCCCCTCCTCCCAATATGCAGACACCTGAGCAGGCATGGGAGCCTTGATTATATCATCCTCCAGATAGTGAGCCCCCCCAACATGTCCCAAAATCCATTACCAGGAGGCAACGCATTTTGGAAATGCCCTTGGGCAGATCCTTTGGCCAGCGCCGACCACACATAGGAGCTGAATGCTCCCACATGGAAGCATCACTACGTGCTCAGGAGAGGAAGGATGGATGGGGAGGGCAGAGGGGAGCAGCGGTGATTTCACATTTTGTATTAGAAAAGGAGCAAAGCTAAAAGAAAATGCTTCAGTTCCCTTGCTGTCATTGTTCAGGACAGGTACAGTATGTTGCTCCCTGCTTAGCATTCATTTATACAGTGCATGTCCGATGTGGGTCCTCACAATCAAACTCCTGTTTCACGTGGGATACAAGATTTTGCTGCATATTCAAATCGCTTCTGTGAGTTCTCTGATGATACGTGAGGTTTATCTTATTATTGTAGTTATTTCCACACTCTAAGCACTTATACGATTTCACCGCCGTGTGAGTTCTTTGATGCAAATTCAGACCGGACCGTCTAGTGAAGCTTTTTCCACACTCGGGGCATTGATATGGCTTCTCGCCGCTGTGACTTCTCTGATGCAGATTAAGGCTTGATCTTCTCGTGAAGCCGTTTCCACATTCCAAGCAGGTATACGGTTTCTGCCCTGTATGAGCTGTCTGGTGAGCAGAGAGGCCTATCTTCTGCGTGAAGCCCTTTCCGCATTCCAAGCATTTGTACGGCTTCTCCCCAGTGTGAGTCCTTCGGTGAAAAGTGAGCCTGCTCTTCTCTTTAAAGCTCTTTCCGCATTCGAGGCACTGATATGGTTTCTCTCCTGTGTGGATTCTCTGATGAGAAGTTAGGGTGCATCGGTGACTGAAGCTCTTCCCACATTCCATGCACTGATATGGCTTCTCCCCTGTGTGGATTCTCTGATGATACGTGAGGCTCCCCTTATGGCTGAAGCTCTTTCCACACTCTAAGCACCGATATGGTTTCTCCCCTGTATGAGTTGTTTGATGAGCAGCGAGGCCTATCTTCCACGTAAAGCCCTTTCCACATTCCAGGCATTTATATGGTTTCTCCACCCTGTGGATTCTCTGATGAGAAGTCAGGGTGCAACGTTGACTGAAGCTCTTCCCACATTCCACGCACTGATATGGTTTCTCCCCTGTGTGAGTCGTTTGATGATAAGTGAAACTTATCTTATGCGTGAAACTCTTCCCACATTCCAGACACTCAAACGGTTTCTCCCCTGTGTGGATTCTCTGATGAGAAGTAAGGCTACAACGTTGGCTGAAGCTCTTTCCACATTCCACACACTGATATGGCTTCTCACCCGTGTGGATTCTCTGGTGCAAAGTAAGGTTTGTGCTTCTAATGAAACTTTTCCCACATTCCAAGCACTGATATGGCTTCTCCCCTGTGTGGATTCTTTGATGCAAAGTGAGGTTTGAACTTCTGATGAAGCTCTTCCCGCATTCCAAGCACTGGTATGGTTTTTCCCCTGTATGAATTCTTTGGTGGAAAGTTAGGTGTATCTTCTGGCTGAAGCCCTTTCCACATTCCAAGCACTTATATGGCTTCTCCCCTGTATGAATTCTTTTATGAGTAGTAAGATACATCTTCTGACTGAATGTCTTTCCGCATTCTCTGCACTGATATGGTTTCTCCCCAGTGTGGATTTGGCAATGGGCTTCACATTCCAATTTCGGATACACACAGTATTTATCCTTTTCCTCTTCCTCTTCTTCTTCTTCTTCTTCTATGATCACAATTTCAGGGTAGCCACTGCCCTGAGTAGCAGAGGATATATTCCACCTGTTCTGATCTGCTTCAGTCTTCTTTCTCAGTTGTTCCTCATTTTTATGTGTGTCCCTTCCTGCCGACATCCAACATACGTCTCCCGTATTCCTGGCTTCCCATTTGTGGCCTGCAGTAAGACATGAAGTCATCATCATCATCATCATCATCATCATCATCAATTTTATTTATACCCCACCCTCCCTAGCCAAGACCGGGCTCAGGGCGGCTAGCACCAAGTATAAAAACAATTGATTAAAATACAACTTAAAAACAAGATTAAAATACAACATTAAAATGCAGCCTCATTTCAGTAGAAACTCAAATCAAAAAACTTTTTGGGGATGAAAACGTCAAATCTTCACCAAGGCCAACTATCCAGACTGGTCCTACGTAGGCCAGAAAAAAGCCAGGGAAGTCCCCAAACAGGAGTTTCATCCCAGAAGGAAAAAAGAAAAGAGGGGAAGGGAATCAAGTTGATTCCAAGCCAAAGGCCAGGTGGAACAACTCTGTCTTACAGGCCCTGCGGAAAGAAATCAGATCCCGCAGAGCTCTGGTCTCATGAGACAGAGCGTTCCACCAAGCCGGAGCCAGTGTTGAAAAGGCCCTGGCTCTGGTTGAGGCTAATCTGACTTCCTTAGGGTCCGGGACCTCTAGGGTGTTGCTATTTATGGACCTTAAGGTCCTCCGCGGGGCATACCAGGAGAGGCAGTCCCGTAGGTACGAGGGTCCTAGGCCGTGAAGGACTTTAAAAGTCAAAACCAGCACCTTAAATCTGACCCTGTACTCCACCGGGAGCCAGTGCAGCTGGAAAAGCACTGGGTGAATATGCTCCCATGGCAGGGACCCCGTGAGGAGCCTCGCTGCAGCATTCTGCACCCGCTGGAGTTTCTGGGACAGCTTCAAGGGCAGCCCCGCGTAGAGCGAATTACAGTAGTCAAGCCTGTATATATAAAAGCATTTATAAACCACTTCATATTTTCAAAAGATTCCAGTTTAGATGGGCTGCCCGTCAGTTACACATTTTACCATCTCTCTTTGACTGGCCTTAAGAAAGTCTTACTGAGATAGGTGACGAGGCGATAATTCTCCTCCATGACATCCCTGTGAAGAGCTCTCTGGTCAGGATCCAGGAGAGCCCACTCCTCCTCAGTAAAATACACAGACACAGCCTCAAAGGACCACGGACCCTGAAAGAGAAGGAAACATTTGTGTCTTGACAGAAATTAAGAGCGTCTGCTAGCAAAACCCAGAAGTCTCATCAGGGGAGAACGGCTGTGTATTATCCCACAGAAGTTAAACCTTCTGAGGAGGCCTTCACAGCCTTTCTCTTTCCCTCTCTTTAACTTATACTTTTCAGGTTTAATAATAATAATAATAATAATAATAATAATAATATACATTTCACTAATTTTACAATCATTTCGACATTTCAAAGCTTGACTGCCTTCCCCCTCTTTCTCATAGCTCTCAACTTTTCCCTTTTCTTGCGAGGAATCCTATTCGGAATAAGGGAATTTCCCTTAAAAAAAGGGAAACGTTGACAGCTACGCTCTTTCTGCGGTTCCTTAAATTTATTTTTTAATATCTTCTGCATATCCCAATTAACTTAATTTGCTCATTTATTAATCTACTTTAGATATATACTGCAGGTTATTACAATAATCCTGCCAATGTTCTTATCTGTTTGCAATTTATCTGTAAATGTTCAATAAACCATTTCCATTCTTTTATATAAAGAAGTTTGTTATCTTGATTTTTTACTCTTCCGGTAAGTTTTGCCATTTCCGCATATTCCTTAAGTTTTTGTATCTGTTCTTCCTTTGCTGGGACTTCTTTCCATATTGGGGGCGAGTAACATTCTTGCCGCTGTAGCAGCACAAATAAATAAATTTCTATACAGTTTAGGTCGTTCTGTCTCTATAATTCCCAAAAGAAAAGCTTCTGTGTGGTTTTTTATTTTATTTTTTACGAACGTTATTTTAAACATCCTTTTCAATTCATTATAGATCACTGCCTTTCTCTTGGGCAGCTCTGACAGAAGCAAAGATGAGGAGAGAATTTCCATCCGGACCAGGGAGATGAGAAGGCTCCTCCTTCTCCCCAATGATTCTTCCCTGATCCATACCTGATCATTTGCAACAGCAACTGCTTCCCCTCCAGCGCGAGGAAGGGACGGCTGAGGGGGTCTTGCCAGCATCATCCTGTCACCTGTGAAAGACAAAGATGGCAGGGAAGACATCATCTCTCCAAGGTTTCAAGCTGGGGTCTTTCTGAGGCCTACCTGAAGACGCCCAAGATTGAACCGGAAACCTTCTGCAGGCAAAAGAGATGCTCTGCCGCTTGGGCAAAAGCCCTTCTCAATGGAGCAACAACATCTACAGTGGTGAAACATTTGCACACTGCGGGGGTCAGGTTGGATTGCTATGAAGAATTATGAAAGATGGAGCACGCCATTGTGCCAGCGATGAAAGCATTGCTTTGACTGGGCTGGATTCATTGACAATAATTTCTGATTGAATCCCACAAGCCTCTGCACCTCTGTCATTTTCTTTCTCTCTGCCTGACAGTCACGTATAAGCATTCTTAAACACGGACTGGTTGCTTCACCAGGCATCCTGAGCCATAAAGATAGTAGGTTACTTTGATGTAGATTTGTTAATCTTTAGGTAGATCTTAAGGGCGAGGATGTGGGTGGCGCTGTGGGTTAGACCACAGAGCCTAGGACTTGCCAATCAGAAGGTCGGCAGTTTGAATCCCCGTGACGGGGTGAGCTCTCGTTGCTTGGTCCCAGCTCCTGCCAACCTAGCAGTTCGAAAGCACGTCAAAGTGCAAGTAGATAAATAGGTACCACTCTGGTGGGAAGGTAAACAGCGTTTCCATGCACTGCTCTGGTTCGCCAGAAACGACTTAGTCATGCTGGTCACATAACCCAGAAGCTGTATGCCAGCTCCCTCGGCCAATAAAGTGAGATGAGCGCCACAACCCCAGAGTCGGCCACGACTGAACCTAATGGTCAGGGGTCCCTTTACCTTTACCTTTAAGGGCCAGGAAGAGAGTTCACAAGATGGTAAATACTATTTTTCATTGCCATCCTTCATCTCCTGTTTACTGTTGTTTATGACCTCCGGGGGTACTAAATGCATTTCTCCTTGATTCCTATTTTATTTACTCCGAACCATGTATGCATGCTCAAGTAGGAAATAGTTTCTTTGTAGTTAAAAGGATTTCTCTGATCTAACTTTGTCCCACGTGGGGATGTTTTTGAAATGCTCAGAGGACATCTGATTGGTTCTTACAAGCACTGTGTTATAAGTTCTTTTGTTAATAAAATGGGCCAGGGCCAGGGTGTGACAGATTATTATTGGCACCTCCTCCCAGAGTCTTGCTGGTCAAGCCTCGTGTGTATTTTATTAATCAGGGTCCAATCCTTCCTTGCTTTGGGAACGCAACACACACCAGAAGTTTTGGGGAGGAAAAAAATAATTTGCAAATGCCGCCGACCGAAATATGCATTTCCAACAGCTACAAGGATGGCAACACGTCCTCGTATACAAGAAGTGTCCTGTCGACATGTAAAAATAATAATAATTCATGGACGTAATGAGGAATAGAATAGAATCATAGAATCGGAAGGGACCATGAGGGTCACTCACGGAGGGACATAATAATTATTATTCCTTTGGTTTATTTTCCACCCTTCTTCCCCAAGAGAGCCATAGGTGGCAAACATGTCAATAAAAATATCCTTAAAAACATTGCAAAGCTAGTTAAGAACAATCACATGCACTTTAAATAACTACCATCATCCACTAAGGAAATGTTTTTCAACCTTGGTTCTGCCAAGATTGATGGACTACAACCCCCATCATCCCCAGCTATCTTAGATGGGCTGGTCAGGGATGGTGGGAGTTGTAGTCCAACATTTGGGGATCCAAGGTTGAAGAAGACTGCACTAGGGAAAGGATCCAAAGTGAGGTCCAAATGCAATAGAAGCCCTACAACCATTTACACAAACACAACCAGTAAAAGAGCTGAAGACACAACGTCTTACCGAGACAGGTGACGAGAAGATAATTCTCCTCCATGACTTCTCTGTGCAGAGCTCTCTGGTCAGAATCCAGAAGAGCCCATTCCTCTGCTGTGAAATACACTGCCACATCCTCAAAATAAATTCGAGCCTGAAAAGAAAAGGAAAACGGCGGCCCTTTTGCAAACAATGTCACAATTCTCTACTTGCAAAATCCAGAAGACTCAACAAGGAAAAGTGGTTGACGTTTACAGCATGTTATTCCCTGAAGGAGAACTACTTGAAAATGATTTACAGGTGGTATTTGACTCTGAGTAGGCATGCGCGGGTGGCGGGTGGGATGCGGGTGGCGCTGTGGTCTAAACCACAGAGCCTAGGGCTTGCTGATCAGAAGGTCTGCGGTTCGAATCCCCACGACGGGGTGAGCTCCCGTTGCTTGGTCCCTGCTCCTGCCAACCTAGCAGTTCAAAAGCATGCCAGCACAAGTAGATAAATAGGTACCGCTCTGGCGGGAAGGAAAACGGCATTTCCATGCGCTGCTCTGGTTCGCCAGAAGCGGCTTAGTCATGCTGGCCACATGACCCGGAAGCTGTCTGCGGAAAATGCTGGCTCCCTCGGCCTGTAGAGCGAGATGAGCGCCGCAACCCCAGAGCCGTCCGTGACTGGACTTAACGGTCAGAGGTCCTTTACCATTACCTTTAGACATGCTAAGATGTATAATATTGAATCAGATAAGCGAGATGCAAAGAGGTAGCGGGAACGTCCTTTCATATGTGGTGGACATGTAAAAGGGTAAAAGAGAATTGGGAAATAATTTATAATGAATTGAAAAAAACGTTTAAAAGCCCTTCCCCCCAAAAATCAGAGTCCTTTCTGTTGGGGATAATTCAAATGGAAATGCCCAGATGTCAAAAAAGGTTATTTAAGTATGCCACTACTGCAGCCCGTGTTTGATTAGCCCCCAAATGGAAAAGGAGCGAGGTCCCAGCCAAAGAAGAATGGCAACTTAAGCTGCCAGAATATGCGCAGCTCGCAGAGGTAACACGTAGAATAAGAGAACAAGAAGAACATACGTTTAAAGAAGATTGGAAAATGTTTATTGAATATATGGGGGGGGAATTGTGTACACTTGGAAACGTTGGCAACATTGAGATAAATTCAGCAGTGCAAATAAGTTTTGATGGAAGTAATAACGGAATACTGAATGCTTGAGTTTATATAAAATATGCAGGGATTTATGCTATGTAAAATGAACCACGGAAAGAGAGGAAGGGAAGTCATTGATATTTCAAGCTTGTTTAAATGAATCTTTTAAATTGTAAAACAGTAAATTTAATAAAAATGAGAGAGAGAGAGAGAGAGAGAGAGAGAGAGAGAGAAGTGTCTGGGTATTATTCTGCACGACTGTTCGAGTGGCATTCGCAGCCTCCTCGGTGGGCAGCCTAGAAAGAAGTGATGAGATTCCTGCATTGCAGTGGGGGTGGACTAGATCCTCAATCCAGTATACCTGAAGGAGCGTCTCCACCCCCATCATTCAGCCCAGACACTGAGGGCCTTCTGGTGGTTCCCTTGCTGCGAGAAGCCAAGTTACAGGGAACCAGGCAGAGGGCCTTCTTGGTGGTGGCACCCAACCTGTGGAACGCCCCCACCAGATGTCAAAGAGAACAACAACTACCAGCCTTTTAGAAGACATCTGAAGGCAGCCCTGTTTAGGGAAGCTTTTAATGTTTGATGCATTGCAGTGGTACCTCGAGTTACATACGCTTCAGGTTAGATACCCTTCAGGTTACAGACTCCGCTAACCCAGAAATAGTACTTCGGGTTAAGAACTTTGCTTCAGGATGAGAACAGAAATCATGTGGTGGCGGTGCGGCGGCAGCAGGAGGCCCCGTTAGCTAAAGTGGTGCTTCAGGTTAAGAACAGTTTCAGGTTAAGAACGGACCTCCGGAACGAATTAAGTACTTAACCTGAGGTACCACTTTACTGTATTTTAATATTTTGTTGGAAGCTGCCCAGAGTGGCTAGGGAGGCCCAGCCAGATGGGTGGGTATAAATAATAAATTATTATTATTATTATTATTATTATTATTATTATTATTACCCTTGGGTCCCTTCCAACTCTAAGATGCTATGAATGTATAAGGAGGACAGAGAATTGTTCAGATGCAGGGAGATGAGCAGAGGAACTTGGCTTCCTCTTGGCAGCCTTCCCTGGGATGCTTCCACCTACCTGAAATGTAGCTTGTACAGGTTCTTCCGCTCCCCCATGAAGAAAAGATGCCCAAGGAGTTGTTGCTAACATTAACCCACCACCTGTGTGAGAGAAAGGTGACGGGAGGCCATCAGAGCAGACGTTAATCTCAGAGGCTGAATGACAAATTTCTCTTTTCTTTTAATTTAAAGCATTCTTTTGAAATTTCTAGGTCCGCGCTGACATCACAAAACGACACACCCATCCTATGTATCTTGAACGTCCCTTTGCATTATGCGGTTTAGTTGTGCAAAACTACAGCTCATCCCATTTTTCCTCTTGGGAAGAAATCCAAGGGGTCACAAAGGAACGCCTTTCTGAGCTGGGGAAATGTCTGAAAACCAGCATCCTGTCGTGCCCTGTTTCAGGAAAACATCAAATGCATCTCACAGATTTATGGCAGGGTGGTCCAACTTCTCATGGGCCGCAAGAGAACTCTGACGTAGAACAAGGGGGCCGCACACTTAATTAGATTTCCATATTGAAGATTGAAGCGTTCACAGTAGATTTAATATTAAACAGTCATACCTCATGTTACGTCCGCTTCATGTTATGTTCTTTCAGATTACGTCCTGCGGCGACCCAGAAGTACCAGAAAGGGTTACTTCTGGGATTCGCCTCTCGCGCATGCGCAGAAGCACAAAATGACATCACGCGCATGTGCAGAAGCTGCGAATCGCAACCCGCAGGTTGCACTCTTTTCATGTTGCAAACAGGCCTCCAGAACAGATCCCGTTCGCAACCAGAGGTACTACTGTATATATAATATTTAACACACAGTTAATAGATTTAATAATTTAAAAAGTTTAATACACAAATAAATTATGGGCTTTCGTTAACAGCGCGTGAAACAAAAAAATGAAATTTAAAGGCTTTAAGATTTTTTTTTCATGAACGTTGATGAGACCCTGCCAAAAGAGGCCTCCCAGGCCAGACCCACCCTGATCAATAAAAAATGATCAATTTAAAACTTACCCAGCGAGGTGTCACCTAAGTCCCTCTCTGGCACAGACTGCCTATGTAGGGGATTCTCTCTGGTGTCTGAGGGAAGCTTCTCTACCCTGTGGAAATCTGTGGCCACTTCTGCAAACAGATCCTGGAGCTGAAACAGCAATGAATGGCGAGGATTATTAGGAAAGTAAGGACAGAGGTAAACAAAAGATGAGGAGGTCAAATCAGTCATGATCAAATGGGCACAAGATATAGGACATAATATACAATTTGAGGATTGGGAAAGGCTGTGGAAAGTTTACAGATTGTTCTCTTTTGAAAGAAAATTACATGAAAATGATGTACAGATGGTACATCACACCAGTACAAATAGTAAAAATGTATAAGACCGGGTCAAATACATGTTGGAAATGTAAAGAAAAAGAAGGTACTACGTATCGTATGTGGTGGGAATGTAGAGAAGTTTAAAAAAATTGGGAAATGATATACAATGAATTGAAAAAAATGCTTAAAATAACATTTGTTAGAAGCATTTTTGTTAGGGATTTTAGGACAAGACCTGCCAAGAAAAAGAAAGAATTTATTTATGTATGCTACAACAGCAGCATACAGTTAGCACAAGGATGGAAGGAGGAGGAAATCCCAACGAAAGAACAATGGCAAGAAAAATTGATGAGTTATGCAGAGTTGGCAAATTATGTGAGAAGGACAATCATGACTTCAAGGAAGAATGGGAACTTTTTACAAACTATCCAAAAAAACAACAAAATTTGGACTCCTTGGCAGGTTTTGAATAAACATCCACAAATTTATTAGTAGAATATATGACAGATAAGGCAATGATATGTACAATTTTTAACATGCAGAGAATAACATGTGCAAATAAATCAGAGAGGGGAGCTGAGGGAAGTCTCAGGTGGTGGGGAGAGGGAGGGATGGGGAGGAATAAAAAGGGGGGAAATAATGTAATTGATTATTTGGATTGATAATTTGTTTTGTTGAAATTGTTTTATAATTTTTTTTAAAGGACAGAGGCAAAGGCCTCTGTGGTTTGGCACATTCCTCCTTGCAGGACTTTCGGAAACAGTTCAGCAATTTTGCGCTCACCTGCTGCTCTGCCTGACTCAGGAGGAAACTTTTAGTCAAGGCCCCCATCTGGGAACTGGACTCTGCTCCACATTCTCTGACCCAGTTCTCCATCTCCGCTGAAGGACAGCCAGGAACTGCTCCAAAATCACCAGGTCCAGGATCTGATTTTTCATGTGTTGCCCCGACTTGCAGACAGTGTATTAAGCTGTTGAAACCAACATTACTCATGAAGGTGTGTTTTCGCTCTCGTTGGGAACATTTTTAACGGTTTCACGTGGATCAAAGTAACATCTCTTTGCTGCGTCTGAGTTCAGGTAGGCTGCTGCTGTATATGGAGGCTCCATTTCCTGCACAACTGATCCCATTGCCCATTCGCTACATCCTTGCATCTTACTAACTGGGCCCCTTTGTCCATATCCTATTATTATACAGACACAATGTCTAGGCAGCGGTTCTCAGCCTGTGGGTCCCCAGATGTTGTTGGACTACAACTCCCATCATCCCTGAGCTCTGGCCTTGCTAGCTAGGGGTGATGGGAGTTGTACATCTGGGGACCCACAGGTTGAGAAAGGCTGGTCTAGAGGAAAACCCAACACGCCTCCATCCACCTGTGCTTCAATATTATATTCAGGCATAACGCAGGCTATTCAATTTCATTTAAAAATGTGTTTAAAAAATCAGGGTTTTTTTTAAAAAACAACCACCATCAAATCATAAAACACCAACAACTGGTTGGCCACTGTGAGAACAGGATTCTGGACCAGATGACACCATTGGCCTGTTCCCGCAATGTCCTTTTTTATTAACAAAAACATAAACCTTCATCACAACCAAGTCAGGTGCCAAATCCCTCATGCAAAGTCTGGATCAGGACCACCTCTAGATTCCCCTACCCCCTTCCATAGCTGTCAACTTTCCCCTTTTCTTGCGAGGAATCCTATTCGGAATAAGGGAATTTCCCTTCAAAAAAAGGAAATGTTGACAGCTATGCTCCCTTCCTTTGACCATATCTATTTGCAAAGGGAGAAACTCTCCACATCTGCTTCCAGGTTGCAGTTCACAAAACTTTAACTAGGCACGTTGGTGGTTTGGCCCCACCCAAGGAAAACCGGATCACGATTCCTGCATTGCAAGGGGTTGGACAAAATGACCCTGGGTGTACCGGCGGGGTATAAATAATAAATGATTATTGCAGTGGTACCTCAGGTTACAAATGCTTCAGGTTACAGACTCCGCTAACCCAGAAATAGTACCTCAGGTTAAAAACTTTACCTCAGGATGAGAACAGAAATTGCGAGGCAGCAGCGGGAGGCCCCATTAGCTAAAGTGGTGCTTCAGGTTAAGAACAGTTTCAGGTTAAGAATGGACCTCTGGAATGAATTAAGTTCTTAACCCGAGGTACCACTGTATTATGATGATTCTATTAAAAAGCTCCCAGTTTCCAGCTGTTGGAACCATAACCCCACTTGCAAAACCCCAAATCTCCAGCCTCTGTCTTGGGTGTGTGTGTGGGTGTGTGTAGAGATATCAGGAGTCCCAAATCTCCTGTCAGCTGGAGAGAAATACTTTTCTTCTCCTGTCAGCAGCATCTTCTCTCTCTCTCTCTCTCTCTCTTTGTGTGTGTGTGTGTGTGTGTGTTGGGGCATCTGTTTGCCTCAAGAAGCAATGGAGTGTGCATCCAGGGGTGAAGTCAAATCACAGCACTTGAAGTGACCTCCCCAGGGTGCAGGCTTGTGTCTGGAGGTCTGGAAAGCAGAGCAAGACGTTTGGCACCAGCTTGGCTGCAGGAGTTCATTGAATGGCAAAGTTAGAAGGGACGCCAAGGGTCATCTACTGACTGTGCCCCCAAATACCCCAGTAATAAGATCATTAAGTTTGCAGATGATACAACGGTGGTTGGTTTAATCACGGCTGGAGAGGAGAGGCAGCCTATAGGAAGGAAGTTGAGCAGTTGGGGGAGTGGTGCGGGAAAAACAACTTACTCCTTAACTTAAAGAAAACAAAAGAGATCATTGTGGACTTTAGGAAATGTAAATTGAATATTCAGCCACTCATTATTGAGGGGAAGTGTGTGGAACAGGTCTTGGTGTTTCAATTTCTGGGAATGGAGTTGAGAGATGACCTAACCTGGGGAGAAAACAGCAAAGACCTGATGAAGAGAGCACAGCACAGGTTATATTTTCTGAGAAGCCTCCGGAAAAACAATCTCTCAAAGGACCTGTTGATGGCATTTTACCATTGTACTGTGGAGAGTGTATTAACTTATGGTCTGTGTGTGTGGTTTGGGAGCTGCACGGTCAGGGGAAAAACAGTGCTGTCCAGGGTTGTAAAGACTACGGAGAGAATAATTGGGTGCACTCTTCCCACCATGGATCAAATCTATGCTTCCAGGTGTCACAAGAAAGCTGCAGAGATAGTGCAGGATAGTGTGCACCCCGGAAATGATCTCTTTCAGCTTCTGCCTTCTGGAAGAAGGTACAGGGTTATAAAGACTAGGACTAGCCACCTGAGAAACAGTTTCTATCCAAATGCGATTTTGGTTTTAAACGGAGTGTAAGGTAGTCTCTATGTGAGTATATTGTATCTAATTATGGGGTATCAGAGTTTTTAGGGGGCTAACTTGGCTGGGATAGCAGGCTTGTTGGTTTTTGAATGTCTGATGTAGATTTTTTCAATTTCGTTGCTCTGTATGGGACAAGGACAATAAAGATCATCGTATCATATCTAGCCCAACCCTATGCAATGCAGTTGCTGGAACGAGACACGCAAGACACCATCCAACTGCCTTACAGACTCCCCTCCACATTTGTGGAGAGTTTAAGCAGAGGTTGGACGGTCGTCTGTTGTGCATGAGCGACCTGAGCTTCCTGCATTGCAGGGGGTTAGGCTAGATGACCCTATACGGGCCTAGGACCCTCGTACCTACGGGACCGCCTCTCCTGGTATGTCCCACGGAGGACCTTACGGTCTTCAAATAAAAACATCTTGGAGGTCCCGGGCCACAGGGAGGTTAGGCTGGCCTCAACCAGAGCCAGGGCTTCTTCGGCTGTGGCCCCGATCTGGTGGAACGCTCTGTCCCAAGAGACTAGGGCCCTGCGGGACTTGACATCTTTCCTCAGGGCCTGCAAGACAGAGCTGTTCCGCCTGGCCTTTGGCCAAGCCACAGTCTGACCCCCTCCTTCGGCAATCCTCATAGAACTCTAGCCCAATGGTTGCCATTAATTTGACTCTGAATTGATTTTAGAATGAATTGATTGTGACTGTGTTACTTTTACCGCTGTTAGCCGCTCTGAGCCATACCTGTCAACTTTTCCCTTTTCTTGCGAGGAATCCTATTCGGAATAAGGGAATGTCCCTTTAAAAAGGGGGAAAGTTGCCAGCTATGCTCTGAGCCCGGCTTCGGCTGGGGAGGGTGGGATATAAATAAATTATTATTATTATTATTATTATTATGACCTACGGGTCCCTCACATCTCTACATTTCCATGACCGAAGGTCCCCTCCATGTGCGTCTTGCAAACTGTGTTACTTTTACTGCTGTTAGCCACTCTGAGCCATAGCTGTCAACTCTTCCCTGTTCTTGCGAGGAATTCTATTCGGAATAAGGGAATTTCCCTTAAAAAAAGGGAAAAGTTGACAGCTATGCTCTGAGCCCAGCTTCGCCTGGGGAGGGCGGGATATAAATGAAAATTTTATTTTTATTATTTTTATTATTATTATTATTATTATTATTATTATTATTATTACCCACGGGTCTCTCCCATCTCTGCATTTCCATGACCGAAGGTCCCCTGCGTGTGCGTCTTGCAAAGTCTGCAAGTTCCCCCCGCCTCGCAGAAAAAAAGCAAAGGACCCTCTTCTCCTGGCTTTGCAGAGCGGAGGCAGGGAAGGCAAAGAAAGCCAGCGGCACTCCCTGGGATCTCTAGTTGAGAAACGGATCTTGCCAAGTAGATCACGGGGCGAAAGGGGGCGAGGGTCTCGCTTCCTTCCAGTTGCACCCTAGCAATCGATTGATACCCCCAACCCCAAATTGCAACCCCATCCCAGGGAGGGGGGGGTCTCCTAGCATCCTCCTGCCTGCGGCCCAGGGGATCCCCTCCAGCCCAGTGCACAAAGGGGTCGGGGGAGGGGGGTGTCTCACCGGATCCGGCCTCGGATGCAGCGCCGGGAGGGGGCACCTGGGGTTCCGAGCAGCCGCTTCCCTCCACGTGAGGAGCCGGGCAGGAAAAGGACTGGGAGACGGAGGGAAACTCCTCCCCCGATGGCTTTCCTCTCTAGCAACGGGAGCTCCGTTCATCTTAACCCTTGGAAAATCGAGCAGCAAAAAACACACACAGACAAAAATCCCCTCTATTAGTATTAGGCAGAAACATGCATGGCAGACATTAACGCGGGGGAACTGGAAAGGGAGCTGGCCGTGCAATCAGTTAGAGCATGAGGCTCTCTCCGGGTCCTGAGTTCGAATCCTGAATTTCAACGGGTTGGGCTAGATGACCGCTGGCGACCCCTTCCCACTCTGCCAGCCTGTGATTCTGCGAAGTTGCATCTCCCCCTCCTTCTCTGGCGCAGAGAAATGATCAGAGCTCTTCGGAGAAACAAAGCGACATTTGGTGGGTGGGATCGGGCTAGCTAGGAAGAGAAGGAGGCGGAGAGGAAGGGGACTTGATTTATTTGGGGCTGGGGGAGAGAAGAAAGGGACAAAAACAAACACACACACTTTTGAGGCTTGGGGGTTTCTCCCTGCAGTTCAAACGCAAAGTGGGGCCCAAAGTGCATCTTGCGACCTCCTTGCAAGCCCCCCAAACTCTCTCTTTCCCCCGTTTCTGCCGGACTATAGACGCCCCTCTACTGCTTTGATCGATGGAACTGCCACCGTTAGTGGTGCCACGTGGTACCTGTAAAAAATCGGTCTTTTATTGGCGTGGCAGCAGCTAGACTTTGGAACTCGCTGCCTCTTGAATCCACAGGGATGGGGGTTCGATCTGGGGAGGGGAGGGTCCCTGGCATTTGCCTCCCGTGCGATGGAAATAAGAAGGGCAGCGGCGGGGGAAAGCTCAGCAGGGGGAGGAAAATGTGGTTTCCTTCCCCAGCCCTGCAATTTTTAGATTTGTGGAATAACCTTTAGAAGGCATCGGAAAGTAGCCCTGTGAAGGTTTTTTTTTAAAAAAAATGTGCAATGTTATATTACGTATTTTTTATATATAATAATTTTTCTTAGTTTTCAATTATAGTCCAATAATTGTTATTGTTTAGTCGAGTCCGACTCTTCCTGACCCCATGGACTAGAGCACGCCAGGCACTCCTGTTTTCCCGGCGTTTCGTCAAATTCATGTTGGAGTCCAATAGCCTCATTATAACAATGCCAAATTATAATACAATAACTAATACCAATTATTCAAATGGTTTGGTGGTTTTCTTTATTTCTGCGTTCCAAAATCTAATTAATTTCAGTTACATTCCGGTCAAAATAACAATCCCTTATACAACTGCAATATTAATAACTTGTATTTGCGTTGACACATTAAATCATAGAATCATAGAGTTGGAAGAGACCACAAGGGCCATCGGGTCCAATCCCCTGCCAAGCAGGAAACACCATCAGAGCACTCCTGACATATGGTTGTCAAGCCTCTGCTTAAAGACCTCCAAAGAAGGAGACTCCACCACACTCCTTGGCAGCAAATTCCACTGTCAAACAGCTCTTACTGTCAGGAAGTTCTTCCTAATGTTTAGGTGGAATCTTCTTTCTTGTAGTTTGGATCCATTGCTCCGTGTCCGCTTCTCTGGAGCAGCAGAAAACAACCTTTCTCCCTCCTCTATGTGACATCCTTTTATATATTTGAACATGGCTATCATATCACCCCTTAACCTCCTCTTCTCCAGGCTAAACATGCCCAGCTCCCTTAGCCGTTCCTCATAAGGCAAATGATTTGTAAAATTACAAGTGAGGCACTCAGACTGTATCCTTCTTCTTCCTGTGTGTGGCAATTATTCTGCCCAGGGTGTGTCTTCCTGTCCTTGTAAAATTTGTTTACAGTGGTACCTTGGTTCTCAAACACCTTGCTACTAAAACAACTTGGAACCCAAACACTGCAAACCCAGAAGTGTTCCGGTTTGCAAACTTTTTTCGGAAGCTGAACATGCTCCATTTTGAGTGTTGCCACACTTCCATTTTGAGTGATATGCTGAGGTCTGTCTGTGTTTGCTATTTATTTTGCAGTATTGTTTTTGCGGCTCCTTTTGTTTTGTTTTTGTGACTGTGTGGAACCCAGTTCAGCTACTGATTGACTGATCGTGTGATTGCAGTACATTGTTTATTGCTTTCATTTTATGGATCAATGGTCTCGTTAGATGGTAAAATTCATGTTTAATTGCTGTTTTAGGGGTTGTTTTCAGAAGTCTGGGACGGATTAATCCATTTTGCATTACTTTCTATGGGAAAGCGCGCCTTGGTTTTGGAATGCTTTGGTTTGGGAACAGACCTCCGGTATGGATTAAGTTTGAGAACCAAGGTACCAATGTATATTAATCCTGAGGGTAATGCCCATTCACCTCCCCTTAACAAGGCTTTGGGATTTTGCTTGTAGGCCAGTCTATTTTGATATTTGCAAGGATGCATTTTTTTTTTATAATAATATTTATTAAAATATCAGAGGAAATACAAAAATATGAAAAAGAAGAGAGAAAAAAAGTGAAGAAAAAGAAAACAAAAAGATACAAAATACAGAAAAATAAAAATAGTTAAAAACAAATCAGTCATTCCATATCCTATCTTTCATCTGCCTATTTCCCCGACTTCCTCACACCTCCCTCTTCTTGTATCCTGATTCAGTCATTGTTTCAGCAAATCCTTTCAATATTTTAGCTTATAACCAATTAATTAACTCTATATATCCTATCCATCTTTCACCATATTCTATTATTCAATTTACCTTACTTTATTTAACCTTATCTTACCATAAAATACCTTAACCTTATCTTACCATAAAATACCATAAAATACCTTAAAACTTAAAAAACTTAATACTTATTTATCCTTATATCATTTCTGCTAAAGCCAGACAATTTCATTCCAACATTCTCCCTAATATTCATTAATTTTACACTAATTCCCAAAATAAAAACTTTTCTTTATAGACTCTTCCAATTTTCATCCAACGTCCCTTCTTTCTGGTCTCGGGTTATGTCAGTCCTTGCTATCCATTCCATCTAGTCCATCAGCCTGGTAGTCTGATATCCAAGGCTCTTAAGTCTCTTCCATGCCCCTTCTGCAGATCTTTTTCTTCTTGTTTATTTTTGCACTTTTCCTTGTCTTTGTTGGTCTCTTTCTTAGTTTCTTTCCTTTCTCCTTAGGGAGTAGGTCTCCGGGGAATTTCCACCCATACTCATGTCCATCTCCCCGCATCAGACCAGCCCATTCCCCACAGTCTCACTCCCCACAGTCATCAATATAATCCAAAAGATCTTTAACAGCATATTTCAAAATCTCTCCAAAGTTGAGAGCCTCCTCAGCTCCAAACTCCCTCTGGCCTAATTCAAGTTCATTCTTCCAAAACAGCGGCTTATGCTCCTGCAGGGCCTCGGGTCTCTCCATTTGTGTTGCTTGAGGTAGCTCCGTAGCTTCCTTCATTATTGTCTGCCCTTGCATTTGCCCAGTCGAACCAGTTTCCTGGGTTGGTCCCTGTATGATTTCTATGTCAGTATTTCCTACTTGTCCACATTCACTGATTACAACAGTCATCAAATCCAACTTCTCGTCCATCAAATCCACCTTCTCATGCAACTGCTCCAACAAAGCACTTGTCTTGCAAAAAGCAAGTACCAGGAATTCTTCCAAACACATTTTTATTCAAGGTCACAGTCTGGTCCCACGATGTTAATCTCGCAGCTGTGAAGTCTCCAAGTGAACTGCAGCAACAATTTGACAAGCTCCCTCTAGAGGATACAATTTCTATTTGTGTCCATCTTTTTAAATCATGTCCAACAAAAGAAAGTTACTTTCAATTTTCGAATACAGTGGTGCCTCGCAAGACGAAATTAATCCGTTCCGCGAGTGTCTTCATCTAGCGGTTTTTTCGTCTTGCGAAGCAACCCTATTAGCGGCTTAGCGCTATTAGCGGTTTAGCAGCTATTAAAGGCTTATCAGCTTAGCGGCTTAGCTGCTAAAAGGCCATTAGTGGCTTAGCGGCTTAGAAAAAGGGGGGGGGAGCGAAAAAAAATCTCAAGACTCGCAAGACATTTTCATCTTGCGAAGCAAGCCCATAGGGAAATTCGTCCTGCAAAGCAACTCAAAAATGGAAAACCCTTTCATCTAGCGGGTTTTCCGTCTTGCGAGGCATTTGTCTTGTGGGGCACCACTGTATTTTGTTTCTTTAAAATACAACAGGCAACATTGGAATCAACTTGTTTCTCTTTTTTCTTACTATCTGTCAAAATATTCCATTCACAGTCAATGGACGTCTCCGATAATTTCTGTCTCTGACACCCCGTTCCCAGGTTTGAGACGGTGGAAACTTATTCTCCTTTGCTCCCTCTCCAGCAGGCTTGAACAGTTTAATCCCCCCCCCTTTCCTCCTGCTTCCAAGGGGGTTTTAATGGTTATAAATGAAGGAAATTTCGACCTTTGTAAAGCGACTTTCCAGGCTATTGGCTTACAAGATTTTTGCTTCAGTCTATTTACAGAAAGCGGAAGGCGGACTTCCTGTTTTGAACCTTCCCGCTTCGGTGCCAAATTAAGATATTTCTTGATCCAATTTTCTGTTTCTACTCATGGGTACTTGTTTAGAGTCCAATTGTCGACAGGAAAAAGTCAGCGCTCTCCGGCAATGGCAATGTGGCTTCCCTCCGTGAAAATAGCAGTCAGTTCGCAGCACCGCGCCGATCACCCTACTTCACTCCGGAGTCCCAAAAAGGGGTCCCCTGCGAGTAGGGGAGGCGCTCCTGGTGCTCTGCCGAACCCCACGTTCCCAGGCTTCTTCCACCTGGGATTTCTAGCGGGTCCCCACCTTCGCCGTGGCGGGTAGACCCAGTTTCCACGGAGCCAGTTCCTCCAACCGGAGGAACTCCGCCATTTCGCTGATGGCGCTAACCCGGAAGTCCTGCAAGGAAGCATTTACCCCCTCCCC